TGCCAATTTTCGTTGATCGCCTAGAATTCAAGAGGAAACTCAAATTTTTGGCAATTTTTTTTCGAAAAAAATCGATTTGTCACGCAAATTTCATTTAAAAACGTGAATTTGTTCAAAAATTTTTCAAATCGACCTTTTTTGGTTTTAAAATTTTAAAAAATTGCCAAAAATCACACAATTTTCTCGAAAAATCGTGAGAAATGCCAATTTTCGTTGATCTCCTAGAATTCAAGAGGAAACTCAAATTTTTGGCAATTTTTTTTTCGAAAAAATCAATTTATCACGCAAATTTCTTTTAAAAAACGTCATTGTGTTCTTTTTTTGGTGTTAAAATCTCGAAAATTGCCAAAAATGGCAATTTCTCTTCAAAAAGTTTTTTTTCAAAAAATTATTTTAAAAAGTCATTTTTCGTTAAAAAAAAATAGGTCGCAGAAATTCAAACAAAACCGATTTTTCAAATTACTTCTTCTTAAAAACGTCAGTTTATACAAAATTTGTTAAAATCGACCATTGTTAGCGTTAAAATCTCGAAAAATCGCCAAAAATTAGAGTGGAAAACTCAAACTTTTGACAATTTCAAGAAAATCTCATCTAAAATGACATAAATCGATTTTGGATCAATTTTTTTAGAAATAACGACGCGATTTTCAAAAAATTCGCGAAAATGGCGCGCCTATCACGAAAAAAAAACGACTGTTTGAAGAATTTGATGAGAGCATTCACATGACACTCACACACAACATATGATGAGAAAAAATTGCGAACACGAGTGGGATGGGAGCGTTGTGCAAATAAATGCCCATTTTTCTCATTTCGGGGCTTAAAATCAGAAATCAGCGCCAAAAACGATCGAGGATTTCGAGAAAATCCAATGATAAATTCGAAAAAATCGCAAATTTTCAGATTTCTTTCAACAAAATGTTGATTTTTCTTCAATTTTGAGAAATTTCTTTCAAAATTCGATTTTTTTTCTAGAGATCTGACAAAAAAACTAATTTTTATTTTGGGAAATCTCGGGAAAAAAAGACGAAAAACGACATTTCCAATGTTATTTGTCAATTTCGAATAATTTTGAGGGAAATTTTTCATTTTTTTCCGAGAATTTGCCTCAAAATTTCAAGATTTTCAAATTTTTTCGAATAAAAACCCAGCAAACATTGAAAATTTCGCAATTTCACCAAGCAAACAAGAAAAAAATCACCTGTTCAAACAAACAATAACAAATCGCCGGCGCCCTGAGGGAGGCGACGCTACAATCTTTTTTTGTCTGCGCTTGCGCGGCCAGGTACCGGCTTTTATTTACGCGTGGACCACTTATCTTACTCAACAAATTTCGAAATATTGCATTTTACAAAAAAAAAAAGGTTGAACGAAATCATTTGGGGGACGCGGCAACAGCAAAATTTGAAATGAAAATTTTCTTCAAATTCTTGATGCTTGGAAAAATTATATTAGGAAGCCATAGATAAAAAGTTTAAAATATTTGAAAAAAAAAGTGATTTCAAAAAATCGAAGACGTGAAATGTCGTCGAGTCTGCAATTCCGTGCAAACACCGAACCGCCTACCGTACCACGCGGAGTGAGAAAAACATTTTTTTTTTCGATTTTATTTCAAATTAGGCATCATTTCAGGCGAATCAACTCAAACTAGCAGCAATTACGCGCAAAAATGAGGAAGGCGAAAGGGCGGCGACCTCGGAGAAAATGAAGATGATGCGAGGGGGGCGATATTCAAATAATATCGGGTCAAATAATTGCAAACGAATGGCCTTGGAATACAGGGTGTCATTTAAGTTCCCGCACAACTTTGAAGACGTATATTTCTGAAACTAAAAGTCCAAATCAAACGAGACTCAAAATATTTTTTATCTATAGTATAACAAATATTTATCTATTAACTCTTTTTGATTCGGCCTCCTTTCGCAGCTATGACTTCACGGAAACGCTTCGGGTAGGATGCGACTGTGGTACGCAGGTATTCGATGGAAAGATTGTCCCATTCCGCCAGTAATGTCTTCTTCAGAGCCTCTACACTTGAATGGGGTTTTGCGTTGACCTTCTCCTGCAAGACCCCATCACGGGAAAGTCAAGCGGGTTCAGGTCTGGGGAGCAATCAGGCCATTCGGATGACTTGATGAAGTCGGGAAAATGGGTCTGGCACCACTCCTGAGTAGTTTTGGCAGTGTGGGCGGCTGCTCCGTCATGTTGAAAGACCCATTTCTGCCCACCGAAATGCGTTTGGGTCCAGGGCATCACATGCTTCTCCAAAATGTCCCGAACGTAGACTTCTTTGTTCACTTTCACCCCCTGATCCGCGAAAACCAGGGGGCACTTCCCGGTTGAGCAGATGGCAACGAAAACCATCATGCTGGCAGGATGTGAGGCTGGATGATATGTTCTTCTTTTCTCAGAAGCTTGCTGGGATGTCTGGGCAAGTACTCAATGGTTTTGTGAGTTGAATGCCGTCTCCACAGTGAACAGCATCTCGTCGGAGAAGACAGTGACGAGGTGTTGTCCAGACCGCGTGCGAGCAAGAAGTCGTTATGCTTTTTCGAAGCGTCTCTGCTTGCTGACGGCCGATAGAATTGCCGCTTTTTGGACACGATATGGGGTCAGTCCAAGCTTCGTTTTGACAATTTGTTCCATAGCGAAGATGCTCATTCCCATGTCTAACGCCATCTTTCTCATGCTCCTGTGGGGGTTTCGCCTGATCCTCGATTTGACGGCGTTGATCTTCTGAGGAGTGGTTACTGAGACGAGTCTTCCTTGTCTGGGACGGTGACTGGTCGTATTTAGCTCCTTGAAACGTTTGATGGTGTCGCAAACCGTTCTACGAGGCACACCGACCCGTTGAATGATGTCTCTCGAGCTCACATTTTGCTTATGAAGTTCGATAATGGAAGCGCAATGGATGTTAGCCTTCGCCATTTCTCGGAAACACATCCGAATGAGGTGAAACTTGGAAAGTAAGTAAAATATACCTTATTTAACAAAAATAAATTGTATTGGTGCACGAAAAGTGCGACAGCCAAGCTCTTCATGGCGTCAAACTTTTGTGCGGGAACTTAAATGACACCCTGTAGATTGGACGGATGCCAAAAAGTGCGAAGTGTCGGCGGGCGACATGATCCGATCGCAACATCAACAATAAAAAAGAGGGTATTATAACACACAAAATTCGGCGCAACTTTTTGTTGTTGGACAAAATTTGCATTTGAATCAGTTTTTCGTCAAAATTTCACGTCCCAAAAACTGGAATTCCGGCGTCAAAATTTTGAACCCATTTGTCCGTGTGTTATCAATTGCGGAAGTTGAGGTAATCGCATGCGCGCGTACTACACAAATCAGCGCGAAAATCAAACACAACCAAATATGGGCGGGCGAAAAAATAATCATCCATACAATTTTGATAGCAAAAACTAGTGAAATTTGGCAAATTTCGAGAAATTCTCAACATCCACCAAAAAAAAGGGCGATAAAAGAGAATTCGAGTCAACCATTTTTAACACACAAATATTCAAACGTTTGCCAATACCTTTAAACAAACCAATAAAGGGAAATGGCGAGAGGAGAGCTTGTCGAGGTGCTAAGAGGCCCGAATGACAGTTTCTCTCAATGTCTATTTGAGAGGTGGGGGGGGGTCAACCAGCCGATTTGCGGGACCCCCCCCCCCTTCCCAGCCTATTGTGTATATGAGTGTCTCTCGGCCAATGTGTGGTGTGACATCGTCGAATTCTATCTACAAACATACATACACACAGCGTGATCAACGACCAGCTGGGGTGGAGCGACAGCGAGAGAGTACACCAATTGGCGGAGGGTGCAGGCTGGATTGGATCGGATCGGATCGGATCGGTGAGTAGCACCTTGTCGAGACGTGCGCCATATGGTCCCTAGTTTTCGAGCGCGCAAAAAATTACGACGCATTTGTTTTTGTTCAACTCAAAATTTTAAAGGCGCATACCCATTTGTAAAAATGTGACCAAAAAAAGGTCAACAAACATCGAGTCGAAAAAGGAAAAAAAAAACGAAAACGAAACAAAATATTTGGATCGTATTGGCCATATTTGGAAAAATTTATTTCTGAATCATTCAATATTTGCGCAACCGGCTACAATTCAACCAAACCGAATGTTTCAATGAAATCGGCAACAAAAATTGCGAAATTTTCGATGAGACTAAAAAAACCTTAGATAAAATCGTGATTTTACCAAATTTTTGAAAAAATCCTTTCTTTTTTCTTCAAAAAAACTCAAATTTGTCTCAATTTTGAGCTTGAAACCTTCGACAAAAATTTTTGGCAAAACCAAAATTTTTGATAAAATAAAACATTGCGTCGGTCGGCTTCTCGGTTTTATTATAGGGCAATTAATCGAATGCAATTCGTTGTTTTATTGGCTCCAACAGCTGCCCAATCGCAACGGACCATTCGGCGACAAAAAAGGGGAGAAGAGGTGGGGACCGTCATACATTTCTAGGCGCCTTTAAAATTCTACAAAAAATTTCGACTCAACACTTCACAAAGATTTCCGTCCTCAAAATCGTTTTAGAATTATTCGAATGCGCCTTTAAAATAAAAAAAATCCAAAAATTTTGGCTCAAAATTACACGTGGCATACCAAATTTGGCCTCAAAATCGCTCTAGGACCATTTAAATTTAAGAATGTTTTGAATGGTCCAAATCTGACCACAAAATCGTTCTAAGACCTCAAACTATGCACTTTTTAATTCAGAATTTTCAACAAAAAGTCCCACTGCGTCTTTAAACTCCGTTCAAAACGCATTTCTAAAAAAATCAAAAAATTAACCTTAAAAGGCCTATCGTGCAAAGACCCATATCATGCATTACGATGCGCCTTTAAATCGGTAAAATCTGAAAAAATTGGATCCATTTTTTTCAATTTTCACCCAAAATTATTCAACAATTTTCTTCTCTACCAACAACAAAAAAAAAATCAAAAAAAAATTTTGTTCGAAAAAATTTTTTTATTTGATATGTATTAAAAATTGGGCGTCGGCATGCCGTGCTGAGATTTGAGTTGATAAATGCAAAGCAAAAGGCCGGCCGTGTACGAAATGTACAGAATAAACCTGTCGCGACGATTTGGGTAGTTGCCTGCAGTGAAATTCTCGTTAAATTCGTTTTTTTTAATTTATGAAATCCGAAAATCGCAAAATTTCGGCTCAGAATTTGGAAAAATGCAATTTTCCCCATAAATTTGACTCAAAATTTCTTGAATAAAATGCGCAATTAGCGAATTATCCACTAATTAACGTCTAATTTTCAATTTTCAATAGTGTTTGCTAAATACTTCTTCGAATTCAACAATTTTTTTTAGAAAATTTAACAAATTTCTATAATTTTCTCAAAAAAATCGCAAAATTCTAGCTCAAATCTGAGAAAAATCAATTTTTAAACACATTTTTTAAGCGATAGTCTAAAATTTCCAAAAAAAAAATGATAGAGGCGTTTGAATTGCCGCTTTGGGTCACGCAACGATCTCGGATAGATCAAAATGCAGTCGAATTCCGAAAAATCGTCAAAAAAGCCAATCTTACAAAACCGATTTTGAGGTATTCCTCATCGATTTCGAGTTTCGCCCCAATTCGCTAATTAATCACTAATTATCTCGCAATTTTCAAAACTCACCAACTGCCCAATACAGTGGTAGTCCTTGCGAATTGCAAATCATATGAGCAACAATCGGAACAATGAAATGACGAGTCGTCAACATCAAATGGGTCACGAATAGGCCAAAAACGAATGTGTAGCAGAATTGGAAAGCTGCAAAAAAATACTGATGAGGCTTTGGGTGGTCCCATTTTGGAGAAAAAAAAAACAGTTTGGGTGGTCCCATTTTGGCACACAGCATCTCAAATTTCAGGATTGCGCAAATAACTTTAGAAATCGCCGAATACAGAAAAAAACCTCGGCCACGTCCAGCCTACATTACCAGATTCCCTGTAAGAATCATTTCAAAAAATTGATATATGCGCCTTTAATGACAAGAGAGAAGGAAATAGGAATCAATTCGTTGCGGTTCAAGGCGCATACCATAAAACTTCATGAATTTCTTGCAGCGATTTAATGAAGAAAAAAATTCACTGCGTTACTGTAGGTGTTGAAATACGTGGACGCGGCTACAATTCACATAGTACCAAAAAAAATATATGAGAATGGTCCCATTTCTCAAAATTGACCAATTTCGGCAAAAAATGGAACCAGTCTTTTTTTTCTAAACAGAAATTCACGCCATTTTGGCATTTCTCAATCATAATTGGTCAATTAGCTCAATTTTTCCCGCCAAAAAAAAAGAAACAAGACACGAACTTCTCTGCAAAATTGAATGCGCCAATGAGTGACCTCGTCGTTGATCATCGAAGATGTGATGGAAATGCGAGATGGCGAACGGCAGCGGAGCGCAGAACAACGTCCATTTCGCGCCGAGACACCGATTCATCAGAACCGCCGAGCAGCATCGAAACGCGATCTCTTCGGTGATGGGACCCTGGAATGCGCCTTTAAAATTCGACAATTTCTTTCTTTTTTTTTGGAAAATTCCAGATATAGCTGATTTTTTTGTGAATAATTTCAGATTTTCGGCTTCACACCGCCAATTTGAAATTCGAAAACAAAAATATTGGTTTAATTGACCATTTCAGGTCTATTTTTCTAGATTTCCAGTCAAATGTGACCCAAAAATTAGTTTTCGCCACCAATTTTTGTCATTTTGAATCTTGCCACCTCTCAAATATGTCAATTTCAACAACGAATGGTCCATAATTTAAAGGCGCATCGTCAAAAAATTGATGTCGCGCGATAAAAATCATCGATTTACCACGATAATGTCACGAATCCATTGCAATGAGCGAAACGAGCGTTTCCATTCGTCAATGTCTAAAAAATAGATAATTAGGCGCCTAATTAACGTGTGACAATTGATTGACAACACATGGCAATCAACTAATTAAGGTATTAGAGAAAATTGTTACTCAAAATACGCAAAATTTTCATTTTTGACGTTTTTTAAAGGAAATTTCACATTTTTTTCCCAAAAAAATCAATTTTTCACGAAAAATTCGCCAATTTTGTTCAAATTTCATAAATTTGCACATTTTTTTGCTCAGAAAAAATCCAATTCTCACCAAAATAATAATGAATCGTTCGATCAATGTACATCATGACGAATTGTCCAAAGTACAACGAAAATCCAAGTGTCATCGGATAGGAAATCTGCAAAACCATCAATTAATTAATTGGCCAATTAGTGATCAACTACCGCTTCTCCAATATGATCAAATCGGATGCCCATTTCCAAAAATGGCGAAGAAACCTCCTAAAATTGCGCAAATATGGTCAGTTTTCATTCAAATTTTTGCTCACATCTTTCAAATAGTAATATGTGATCGAAATCGACGCTAAATTGCTTAAAATTGCGCCAAAAAATCGCTTTCGAATCGATTTTTCCTCGTTTCGATTCGTTCCGTTGTAATCGAACAATTGGACTAGAGAAACATATGATAATGGCAACAATATTGAGACTATTAATGTCGAGCCATTTGCGCCTGCAATTTTCTCCATAAAAATGTTGATTTTCGGCTGAAATTGCTCAAAAAATTGTGGTTTTCATTGAAAAATACAAAAAGTTTAAATAAAATTCGAAAATGTTAATTGTTTTACAGGTTAATTCTGTGAAAACTCATTTTTTGGCTGAAATTGCTAAAAAAAATTGGAGATTTCATAGAAAATCCGAAAAATTTCAATTGAAATCATTTATTCCAAGTTATTTTCAGGAAAATTTCAAAATTTCTTCATGAAATTGTTGAATTTCTTACAAATTCCAGTTTTCTCACGCAAAAGCTGAAAATCAGGAGATTTTCCGAATTAAAATTTGAATTTTTTTTCATCGGTTCACGCAAAAATCAATACTTTGAAGGATAAACTTCAAAATTCACAAATTTGACTAAAATAGCTAAAGAAAAAATTGGCTGTCATCATCAGATTCCCAAAAATTCCGAGTTTCGATTGAAAAATTGGCTTGAAAAATCCAAGAGGTGATTTTTTAATGGCTATTCTTGCAAATATTTCAATCTTCTAATAGTAAACGTCCATTCTTGATTAAACTTCGATTTTTTTTTAAAGCCAATCGTTTCAAGCTTAAAAATTTCAATTTTTTCGATTCCCAAACTCAATTTTGGCTTAAATTCCAGCAGCAAAATTCAATGTTTCAAAAATTCCTCAAAATCGCCAACAAAATCCTACCCATATCTACACCTAGACGATATGCAGCCCTTCAATATTCCATGGATATTTCTCTGAAAAATGATTTACTTGAAACAAAAATGCTCAAAAACAAATTATACAATTTTCAATTCGAAATCGGTTTTCATAAATTCAAGCGACCAAAAATTGCGTGTGTGTGATTATGTCATAATTTATACGAATAATGAATGAATACATTGAGCATTGAATGATACAAGAATCGCAAAAATCAAACAAGAAATGTGCAAAAAAAAACATGTAAAAATTCGTTGGCATGGTGCCACGGTGTGCGGTGGAGCGCGTTTGCCGCAATTCATTAGCAAAACCCGTACAGTGGGGGGGAGGGAGGGGGGCGAAATTCGAGAAATTTTCACTTTTTTAGTATTTCAGGGGTCCCTGGGCGAGCAAAATAAAAAAGAAGTACAGAATAGCGAAATGGTACAGAAGATTAGTTATCCGGCGATTTCGGCACGATGCGTCGTCTGTTGGTTCAGCTGATTCGGCTCTGTCATGCAGTACAAATTGAGTCTGCAAGAAAAAAAGAATGGAACAAAAATTATTTCAACTTTTCAATTCCACTAAAAACCGACAAAATTTGGTGAAATTCGCCAATTTTTCCCAAAAAAATTGGAAAAAATCTCAAAATTCTTCCAATTTCTCTTTTAGAAAATATTTCCATCACAAAGATGGGGTATTTTTTGAAAAAAACAATTGCAAAAAATGGCTGAAAATGGCTGAAAATCTGAATTTAAAAATCAACCTTCTTTAAAAATTTATTAAAAATACAAAAAAATGAAAAACTTTCGACAAAATCTTAGGAAAAAGCAAATTCACCCCAAAATATTTGAAATTTTCTCAAGAAATTGCTGCAAATTTCTAAAAAACATTGCAAAATTCAGAAAACTCATTCAAAAATTGTCCAAAATCTCTTAAAAACTGTTTAAAAAATTTCTGAAACCGGAGTTATTTAAATTTTCAAACAAAAATGAATAGCTCTTGACAAAATTTTTAGCAAAAAATCCAAAATTCACAAAACTTGCCTAAATTTCACCCAAAAAACGGCAAAAAAAAACTTAAAAATTTCGTGAAACCGACAAATTTTTCCCAAAAATGAAAAACTTTTCGACAAAATTTTTGGAAAAAATCAAATTTCCTTAAAAGCTCACCTGACATCAAACGGCAATTCATCCTTCAAGCATTCATAAATATTCGTATTCGGCAAATTTCGCTTCAACACCTCAGTTGCCGACAATTGGAAAAGCGATGGCGCTGCAAATCGATTTTGAATCCATCAATCAATTATCTCGCCCCCCTAATTGCCCCCCGCTTAATTGGCCTACAGTAATCCAGAACATGCATATCGGAGAGGTCGGAGAGGCCCGATTGCAGCGACGAGAAATTCGACATCACATTATTGAAATTGCGATAGCATCGATTCGAAGGCCTGCAAACGAAATGCTCAATTTCAGACAATTTTAGCTCCAAATATGGATTTTTCGTTTTTTTGGCAAAAAATTCCATTTCAAATAAAAAAAAAGACGCAAGTCTCAAAATTTGAGCAAATTTTTGCAATTTCTTCAAAAAAACATTCATTTGCCTCTTAAAATGTGAAGATTTTGCAAAAATTTTCAACAAAATTGTCAAGAAATTTGAAAAAATTGGCACAAAACTCGGCAATTCTGACAATTCGCAACCAAATTTCGACTAAAAATCATCGAAAAACTTCAATTTTCAGCCAATTTTTGCCGGAAAATCGCAAATTTGACAATTCCGAGCGAAATTTCCACCAAAAATCATCATAAATTTGGCAAAATTCACACAAATTTGAATTTTTTTGCTCAAAATACTCGATGAAAATCGACATACGAGGTTCCGCCAAACAGAAAAACGCGATTGTCGACAACAACAGAGCAATGACGTCGTCTCGGCGATGGATATGTGCCAAAAGCCTAGAAAAAAATAGTCGCCCATCACCATTGTTCACCAAACTTCACCAACCTCGATGATGTCCCATTCGTTCGTCTTCGGATCGAAACAGTACAATTCGTTGAAATGACGATTGCGGGTTCCCAAATAGCCTCCAAATATGAACATTTTTCCATTGTAGACCCCTGAAATTTAAACAAGTTTCAACATTTCATCAAATTTTGCATTAAAAGTCGGCAATTTCTGAAAAAAAAATGAGAAAACTTTAAAATTTCTCTATCAAAATCGCAAAAATACTCAATTTTTCGCCAAAAAATCATCCCCGTCGAGCTACCTTCGTATTATACGACGTCTACCAGTACTACTAATAATAAGACGGCCCGAAACCAATCAGGAGAAGAGTCCCTCCTTCCCGTTCATTTTTTTTTTCAAAAAATTGCCAAACTGCAAAAATGTGTCGTATTTCAACTCACACGCCGAATGGCTTCTCCTTCCAAGTGGCGTCTTTCCACTGGCCTTCACCACACGCCAATGGGCCGTCTTAAGGTCCAACGCCATCAATTTATCATCATAAGTGTCGCGCGACGAGTGAAACTGAAATTCGCATTAAATCCCTCATTTTGATTTTGGGGGAATTCTCATTTGCAAAAAAAATTTAAAAATTAAAAAAAAAAAGAAGCTAATAAGTATGCAGCAACATTTCAAAATTTTCAGAAGCGAAAAATCGAAACCGGATTTTTTTTTAGCAAATTAGAACCGGAATTGTTTTTTAGAAAATTGAAACCGGAATTGTTTTTTAGAAAATTGAAACCGGAATTTTATTTTTAAAAGATTGGATCCGGATTTTTTTAGAAAATTGGATCCGGATTTTTTCAGCAAATTGGATCCGAGTTTTTTTTTTTTTTGAGGAAAAATTGAAACTGGAATTTTTTAGAAGATTGGATCCGGATTTTTTTAGAAAATTGAATCCGGAGTTTTTTTTTTGAGGAAAAATTGAAACTGGATTTTTTTTTAGCAATTTAAAACCAGAATTTTTTTTTAGAAATTTTCCAAAATTGCTAAAAACCAAAAACCCCCAACAAAATTTCCCAAATATTTTCGTGATTTCCGCACCTCCCTGATAATGTCATGCGAATTTCAATGATTAGGCTGCTTAGTCGTCACTGCACACATACCAACTCATCGTCACCGACCTGACCGTTCTGGTCACTCCGTCCGCCGAACACGTACATGACGCCGTCGATGGCGGCCGCCGTATGAAAATCGCGCCACAATGGTGGGGTGCCCTTAAAGCGAAAGAATTTTTTTTCGTTCGTCCTTTTTTTTAATCAAATTTGCCAAAAAAATGACAAAATTCTTCAAATTTTGGCGATTTTCACCATTTTTTTGCCAAAAATTATGTATCACTCACCGTCGTCTTCAATTCCGACCATTTTCGGGTGTCAAAATCGAAAATGAACGTCTCCTGACTGAATCGTTGCGCGTCTTCTTCGAATCCGCCGAACAGCACCATTTTATTTTCGACGACGACGGCGGTGTGACCGTCGCGCGCCGCCGGCACGAATCCCGTCACGTCGATCCTCTCCCAACGTCGATTTTCTGCAATAAATCGACAAATTTTTAGACATCGCTTTTTTTGGTTTCAATTTTTCAATAAAAAATCTCAAAATAAATATGAAATTTTCAATTTGCTGCTGATTTTTAACGTCAAAAATTTCAAAAATCACATTTTTCACAAGAAAATTCCAGCAAAAAAAACCTAGTCACCTGGATCAAACGAATGCAGCACATTGCTAGCTCCAAAATCATCGTTCCGACCACCCCAGAGGTACGCTTTTCCACCGTACTCGACTACAGTGTGCCCATATCGCTGATAGGGCGTCTCGTCGCGATGCGTCACCGGTCCTTGAAGATAATCGTCAATATTGACCGAATCCTAAAGAGATTTTTTTTTCAAAAATTCCAAAACTTCACCCAATTCACCGTTTCGGCCAACAAGTGTGCCGAGCAAAACTCGTTCGCCTTCTCGAGCTTCTTCCATCGATAATTAGCTGCAATTCAAAACAAAATTGGTGATCGTCGAACATTGATTGCCAAAATTTTTGCGTTTATCACGTTCGTTTCAACGCTATCAGTTTCGCATTCGATTTCTCAAGGTCAACGCGCAAAAATCGAGCAATTTTGTCAATTTTCAATTTAACAAAATTGAAGCATTTTCGGAATAATCGAATTCGAGCAACTCCAAACTCAAAATCTTCACGTTTTCAGACGGCCACATTAAAGAAAATTCAAAAATCCTCCTCACAAAGATGAAATTCGCTGATAACCTCACCTCAACCCCACCTAGCAGATGTCATTTCACTTTTTTTTTCGACGAATGACCTTATATGGGAATCAATTGAATGACCTCAAGACGATTTTCGAAATCACCGACATATGGCACGCGCGGCGGTGATTTTATCGACGGGTCTCGTTGGGAAACGTTCGTTTTTTTTAATTCAGTGTTTAAAGGCGCATGGGAGCACTATAGCTAATTATTTGACTAAAACGTCGAAGGTAAAAAATCTTTTTAATTTAAAGGCACATGAAAATCTTAAAGCTACCGTAATCCATCGTTTCGCGACAAGATTTTTGTTGGGGAATTCCCTCAAAATTTAAAGAAAAATACTCCCCCATTGTGGCCCCTTCAAAATTTCAACGCAACATCTACAAAATAAGTTACTGTAATCCAGTCAGGACCCAACGGGTTCAAATTTAATTTAAAAAAAAAACAAAACTCACTAGTGTCCAAAACATGCACATCGAGCAACTTCCTCACCTCCTGATGCTCACCGCTACAGTACCCGCCAAATGAATAGATCTGAAATAGAAAAAAATGACACATTGTTGGTCCCTTGATGAAGACGAATGTAGGAAAATTGGAAAAAAAACGAGAGAGAGAAGAGCAGGATTAATTCATTTTGGCATGTTTTTTAATTGAATTCCTCTCTTCTTCGTTTTTTTTTTTCTTTTTTTTTGGAGGGGGTATTCGTTTTTGGAGAATCCCCATATTTGGACAGATGCAGCTCGATGCGTGAATGTTGCAAAATAAACAACAACAAAAAAATTCCGGGGTTTTTTTGCCAATTCAGGGGCGCAAAAAAAAAAGCTCACATGTTTGCCGATCGCGACCGCCGCATGATTCACCCGACGCGGTCCGCCATCGAGACTGATCGTCCATCTCGTCATAATCTGAAATTCTTTTGAAAAAATCAATAACGAAAAATAGGAAATGAAGACGAACATCTGTTGAAACTCGCATGTTCGATGAGAAAATCGACGAGAGTTTTCAACAAGAAAAAAAAGAGAAGAAATGTGGGCGGGAGATCCAAAAAAAAGTGCACAAAATCGCAGAAAATCAAAGAAATTGCCTTTGGCGACCTGAGTTAGAGGAAAAATAAAGAAAAAACATTACGATTTTCGACAAGGTCATTTTCATTATTGGCAGTGGGGCCTAACTGGTTTGTTCGAGGCAGTAGAGTGTGTGTTGGTGGGGCGCGGAGGGGTGGGTTTGGCCGAAAGAAACGCGTGTTCGAGAGTAATTTCCGAGCAGCTTTGACATAATTGAGTGAAAGGGTCCGTTCCTAATGGGTTTCTGGGCTGGTGTGCTCTGACCGAGCGGGTCCGAGAGTGCGAGAGACACAAGGAGGGTGTGTGGCGAGATGAGAGACGCAGGCATGCGCGGGATGCTCAGCGCACGCGCGCGCCCGCCAACAAACAGTAAGCCAATCAAAAAAAGAAACATCAAAAAAAAAAAAAAGAAATCATTGATTTATTGATTTTTATTGTTTCGGCACAATTTTTTTCAGGTAGATCAAATTTTTATGAGTCAAACAATGGCATCTTTTCCACAAAAAAATCCGAGAAAAAAATTTCACAATTTTTAACCTATAATTCGAAATTTTCTCTTTAAAAAATGGATATTTTAAGGCCAAATTGTCTCATTTTCGAGCTAAATTCTAAAAAAAATGTTTAAAATCCAAAAATTAGGTCTCAATTCATTGTATCCCTCGAAAAATGATGTTTTGAACTGTTTTCGGTTTGACGTTTCCAAGGTCGAAAAATCGGGTTTCATTGATAATCAGTCTCGAACCGAAAAGTGCTGATTTGATGAGCTAGCGGTGATAATTTTTGGATTTTTTGGAAATTTTGAAACCAAACCGCAAAAATATTGGCGAGAAATGGCTTTTTCTCCTCTAATCTTTAAATCCATCGGCAAAGACATTCTCGAAACTCAATTTTCAGCAAAATTTTGAGAAGTTTCGCATTCTAAAACAGTATATCTAATAATCATTTTTTAAACCATAAATTTGCCCTGTTTTAAGCGAACAATTGAAAATTTGACTCAATTTTCAGGAAAAATGTTCAATTTTTTTTGTCAAAAATTGAATTTTTCAAAAATTTGGTATTCTTAAATTGAAATAATCAATTTTCAGCAAAATTTTGCTCTTCGTCGAAAATTGAAATTTTCGAGATTTTTCAAAAAATTTGGTATTCCAAATCTGGGAAAAAAAACGAATTTTTTTTGTCGAAAATTGAAATTGTCGAATTTTTTTTAGAAATCGGGCATTCTAAAACAAAAAATTTTTTCGATATCAAAATCAGCCAAAAAACTCGCCACGAGAGGCGGGGGCCGGTGTTTATATACAAAAATTTGTAGTGTCCACTAGCACGTGGCGGGTTTCTATACAAAAATAGTGATAAGAGCGTCAATTCAAAATCGAATACAACATTTTATCAGTTAGGCGACATATGACAAGCGAACAAAGTATAATAACCGAAGAAATTTCAATTTCCACCAGTCGCAAACCGTTTTTGGCTGAAATTCGCGCTAAAAATGTCCCATTAAATTTGAATTTCCTCTCAGATTTTTCCTATAAAACAAAATTTACACGAATTCTGGGCCAATTATGAGCCAAAATACCTAAAATCTCACATTTCGTTGGGGGCAAATTTCAGAAAATCGCCGACTTTACTAGGATTTCAGCAAATAAAAAAGGTACGATTTTGTGCGGAAAACCCGATTCCAAAAGGCCAAAGTTTAAATATTCACGCATTCCTGCCAAAAATACGAGCAATTGAAACAAAAACGCATTTTTTCTTATCAAATTTGTCAAGCACATGACCACAAAACAAAGTATAATTCAAATATGGGCGAAAAAATGCAATTATTTCCGCATAATAAATTATTTCTCATTTTTCTTTTTTCTCGTTTTTGGCCCAAAAATTCACCAAAACAAAAAATATTAAAAAATTCGTCAATCGTGTTGTTCAATTTCACGTCTCGGTGTACATGCGGACTATCGCGTCTACAGTACTCACAACAGTTAATTTCTTGACAAAATCCGTTTTTCAAAATATTCAGGCAAAAAATCATTTAAAAAATGGCATTTTCGGTCGACTTCGAGTAAAATTCTCGATTGCATGGGAAAAAAACTGCAAATTTTTGCAAAATTAGTTGAATTGGGCGACATTTTTCGCAAAAAAATCTCGAATTTTCATAAAATTTCGTACTAATATCAAACACGAAAAAAAAATCGAGGAAGAGCTGAAATAAAACAAGTCATTGACAATTGGCAAAGATGAGCACACCACTGCCGTTTGTTTGTTTGTTTGTGTCGTCGCCTGCGTCTCCAACGGCAACAACAACAAACTAGTAAACAAATGAGTAAACAACAACAAGAAGGCAAACGCGAATAGTTGGAATACAAAAATGGCAGATGGGACGGGCTTGCGGCGTGTGTACAACGAAACGAGATATCGAGAAAGGTCGATTCGAGAACTTCAAGCTTCCCGACCTTCTGAAGGCCGCCGATGGCATTGTCTGCCGACTGTACAACAGCGAACAATGGCAAAATTTTTGCGCGCGGCGAAAGTGAATCAGCCAGTGATTTTTATCGGTTTTATTACTTTACAATACTCGACAGTCGGCCCACCACACCACGAGTGGTTGTGTGTGTGTTCTACTCAATTCAAAAGGTGAACACGAAACGAGTTTTTTTTTCCCACTTTTTTTGGGTGGCCAGAAAAACCGCAAATCTTATGATTTTTTCGAATTTTCCTTCTCAAAAATTAATAGTTTTTGCCATTTTTCTTCGCCAATTTCTTTTGGGTGCCATTGGTGATTTTTCACCATTTTTGGAGCTCATTTTTAGACGAATCGCCAATGACACCCTTCGATTTTAAATAATTCACTACTAAGATGGATTTTTGAGCAAATATATTCGAAATTCGTCAGGAAATTTGATTTTTGCTCAATTATTACAATAAAAATCCTTAAAATTAGAAAATTCGATCTACAGTAATCATTTTATTAACCAGTAGGAGATGGACAACCTCAAACTTGGGTAATTAAACTTTATTGTAAAAGAAATAAATTGAAAATAAGTTAAACATGAATTGGACATAAATTGAATATAAGTTGAACAACAACCAACGAAGGGAAAGAAAGTGAAAAAATGGGCGTTGAGGCTCCCTTTTATAGGGGCACACGAATGCAATATAAAGGTTACACTGTGTGCGTAGGTGGCTTTGGTGGCGTGTGGCTTTGGCGGTACAATTTAATAATAGTTTATCAATTTTAAACTTTCAATAATGTGCTTTAGATATTAAATTGTGATGGCGAGGAATGATTTGTGATGGCCTTTAGACTACTTTCCGGTAGTCATTAATGACAATCATTGCTGAAATAAATTCTGGTGGGTCTCTTTAGTGCTTAATAGTAAGTTGGTCATTCGCAAAAATCGAAAATTTTTCCATTTTTCAACCTAAATCCTGCTAATTTACAATAAAAACACCCAATTTTTCCAAAAAATTGAGAGGATTTTGAAAACGATTCAAGAAAACCCAAAAAATCGGCAAATTTTGAGTGAAATTGCCCCATCCCACATACGATTTCACAAAAATTTCGAGCATTTCTCGAATATTCGAAACTCGTGCCAAAATCGTTTGGCAATGGCGCGCGTTTGCCCGATTTTGGCACATTTTCAAATCCGGTTTTGAAAAAAAAATTAAATAAATGTCAATGGAGCGAACTTGCCGAATATTCTCAAGAAAAAAAATCTTAACAACCAAAAAAAAAGAATGAAGCGGGAATTCCAACAAAAAGGTTTTTTTTTAGAAATTTTTCAAGAAATTGAGGTTTTTACGAGCGAAAAAAACCATTTCCAATTCCAAAAAATGTCAAAAACGGCCACTTTTTGCATAATTGACTTGTTTGTTGGGGAGTAAAAATGCGGAAAAGTGAGCCCGGGAGCACTTGTCGCTAGCACATGTGCCTCGACACAGGATATGAGGTCATCGATCGATATTGAGACGACGGACCATTGAGATAAAGCTATCGAAAACCTTTTTCTCGGAATTTTCGAAAGAAAAAAAAAAGAGAAATGCGATTTTTATGACAAGAAAACATGCAAAAACGGATTTTATGTGGAAATTTGCCCGGCGCTTTTAAACCAATTCATTTTTCAATTAACTCGTACCATAATAACACCCGTCGCATTTTAATGTCCAATTTGTCATGTATTTTTGGCGATCAGGCGCGCTTCACGTGCCGATTCTCTGGTACGCTGATCCATTTATTGGGCTCAAAATGAGAATTCCGGGTTCAAATGACGCTCAATGAGCCATTTTAAACGCTTGAATAGTGCTGTTCCGAATCTCACTGCAAATTTCTCGATTACGAGATGCTAAAAAGCGAAAATTTCACCATATTTGAGCATAATATTGAGTTTTGAGTACAATTTTAACCGAAAATGTCTTTTGGTATTACATTTTTAGTGTACGGCAGCGAAATTCGCTAATAAACGGCAAAAATACACATTCTAATACTAAAAGAAGCCAATTGAGTAGGTAATTAACTGGGTAATTAAAGATAACAAGGAAGAAGAGGACGGGAGAAATGAAACAATTGAAATTGAAATTGCCAGTCGATGTTTCGCCTCTCGGCAGCGTGACCGTGTTGTTTCGACGACGACGGCCAATAATAAGTGATTGAGTGTGAAAAGGGAAGAAGACGAGAACGAGGAAGCGAGAAAGTAACAAAAGGGTTTCGGTTTTGCCAAACTGGAAAGTTTCGGTGACAGTTTTCGATCTCGACATGCCGAAAAAACTGGAAATTTATGGCATTTTGGAAAAGCTGAAAGCAATTTCCAACGAAAAATGTGAAAAGAATGACGGAAAAGAAACGAAATCTTAAAAAAAATTCAAAGATTCGAAATTAAATTACAGTACTACGCGTTAAAGGCGCATGGGAAAAAATTGCGTGATTTTCGCAGCGCGATGTTACTGTAATTCACCGCGCATCCTTTTTTTAAAAGAATTCTTTTCTCTTTCATATTTTCTGGATTTTAGCAGTTTTTTAAAGAAAAATTTGCATTGTGGCTTTTTACATCGAAATATATAAAATTTCCCAAAAAAAATTTCACGGCTGCGCTCAAAAATGGACATTTTTTTCAGATCAATACACATTTCCGGTTCAGCGAGCACATTAACGAATGTGTCACCTTCTATGTAATGAAAAATTACACGAAAACACTTGCGCAAGCGACCACTAATTAATTCTCAATTAAATAATTTATCATAAATTAATCAATTAATTAATTAAGAGATCTCTATAACAACCGTAAAATGCGTCATAATAATGCCCAAAAAATATGTAATTATTGAACAGTTCCGTAAAATCCATTCTCGACAACTGTATTATTCGCGTCCAAGTGCGAATATTTACCATCATCCTGCAATTTTCTCATATATTTTTTTTTGTAATATTCAAAAACAAATTGTTTTTACATCGTTTATCCTCATCTCCTCATCCGTCTTCACAAAAAACGATGTCAAATTGAACTGCGGCACATCGTAAAGCGTCGCCAAGAACAACATCATGCAGCATAAGCCGCCCATCAGGTATACGGTAGCCATGATCTTGTAGAAGCCGCGCAATGGCTGATCCGGATTGTCGCCAGGCTCGTAATCGCCTGAATCGACTCGTTATGAATACGACGCTTCTGATTCGACGACGCCTACCTAATCCGATGGTGGTTAGCGAGACGAAGCAATAATAGAACGCGTCAAGGTACGTCCAATCATCTTCAATCGACGAGAATATCCACGCAGGGATGGCGAACACGAAAATGAGAAGCGCGGCGAGCACAATTCCAACATGGATGATCTAGAATCGAGTTATTCGTTCAAACACATACAGACAAAAATTACCTGAATATGGCTCAATGTGAACAAATGGCCGAATTTTCGATTCAAAACTCCACGTAATTTATTCGACGGCTCACGCATTCGGGCGACGATCGCCGAGAGAAGCGCCAACGTCAGCGGGATTCCTAAACAATCGCCAATTTGTTGAGACAACGTCTAATGAATCGACGAACCAATAATGCAATAAATGATTGTGAACAATTTTCCGTGTTCGGTTCGCGGCGAGACCCTACCGTAACCTAAACGTGACCATTTTTTTTCGTCGTTAGGCACAAATCATCCCCACCTACTGTACTTATGAGGGTTCCCGCAAAGAAGAACGCCTGCCCAAAACTCCAATTCGGATCCGACGTCACATTTCGATCCATCCAAATTCCATTCCTCGCCGCGTCACGAATATTCGAGAACAATTTGTCAATTTCAGTCTCTGAAATTCAACAATGGTTTTTAATTTGCCAAAAATTCCCCAAAATTTTTTTGTCAATTTCGATACGATTCACGCGATTTTCCCTCATAAACGCTTCAATCGCCGTCTGGAATCGCTCGCGAGCCTTCAAATCGTTGTCGATTTCGAGCAGCTGAACGATTCGAGCGCCGCCGAGCAGATAAGCGCCGACAACGATGGTCCCGATGACGATGGCCCAATCGAGACGAGTATAGCGATATTCTGCGGACGTGCACGACCACCACAAACACATCTATATAATGAAATTCATTTTTGCATTCAAAAAAAAACTTCTCGTTTTCAGGAGAATTCGGAAAATCTACGAGTATTTTCAATTTTCGGCTAAATTTTGCACATTTTTCAAAAAAAAAAAAGAGAAGATCAGAACGTTTCGAGCAACAATTTGGGAGCAGCACAGAAACAACAGCGAAAGAAAAAAATCGATAGTGCGTTTTCTTATCATTGCATAAATAAGTAATAGCCAAAAAAGGAAACGATCGCGTCTACCGTCAATGTTGAGTTGAATGAGCCGCTCGCGCCATTGATTCTGATATTCCCAATAAGCTTCTCGTTCAATCTTTTCCAGCGGGTACTCGATTCTAAACAAACAGAACAGCATTTTGTGATTTATGTGGGAAAAATTGGCGATTTTTGATGATTGCGAAAATCACGCAAATTTCAGAACAAACGAATTTCGAGAAATTCGCTTCAGATGCGATTTTTATGAGAAAACGCACAATTCTTCAAATTCTAGAAAAAACGGCATTTTTTTGGTTTTAAAACACTATTAATTTCAATTTTTCGCCAAAAGTCGACACAAACCTCACAAAAACAATGGCGCCAATGAGCAAATACACCAAAGCGACGCCAAGTCCAATCAAAATTCGAATATTCGATTCGCGCATTCGTCCCTCCATTCCGTTCATCACCTTATTGTGAAGCGAGAACATTTCAAGACCCATTTTGATTATTGGTCTGCAACAAAAAATGAACCAAATTAGAAAAATGTCTGGAATTAAAATTGCGAGGGAGGGGCGGGTGATGCGACAAAACGAGAATTCCAAATATAGAGATTTCAGAGTTCACGAACGGGGCGTGGGAGAATTGATGGCGATTCCAGAACTCAAGGCGTACTTTGAACATTTCAAATTTATTGTTTTTAATGCAAAATGCCCTTCTTTGGGCACAATTTTGTATTTTTCAAATTACAATCTTCATTTTATTGGTGTATCTCAAATGGTGAGTAAACCATCGCCAAGGCGCCATTTTTTCAATCAACAGCGATTCGCGAGAATTATATCGAAAAGAATCACAAATTTTAAGAAAAATTCAAAATTTCAGTGAAATTTGAGTTTTTTTTTACCTACATTGCCAAAATTTGTAATTATTTACAATTTTTTTCAATTGCATGAATAAGTCCATTTGGTATATTCTAAACAATGCAAAAAAGGAATTATAAGCTTCAATTCAAGAGGGCTTTTGCGTGAATAAATTTATGGCCGACACCATTAAAGGCAGGGTTCGATTTTTTTTTGCAGAAGAAATATCGTCGGTGAATATAAGCCGGAATCAATCATCGAGCGTCGAAAAACGAATGAAACAATATGAGAAAGCAGAAAAAAGTGGGGAGGAAGACGGAAAACGAGCGACCAAAATGATTTATGTGTCAGGGATTGGAGCGCTCGAACGAGAATGCCCTTTTTTTTCTGGTCGATTTTGGAAGGCACCCCAAAATGAAACCGCAATTATCGCGTCACCAACACACGCGTTTGATTGCTTTATTGGCTTTTCGTCGTTTTTTTTTTGACGCCGAAAAACACCAAAAAAAAGCTAATTAAAGTCGAGAAAATTGGCTTGTCACGGACAATTTTGGCCTAAACTGCCGGAAAGACAAAAATTCAATTCTCTTCCTCATTAATTTTTTTTTAAAGGGAATTTGTACGTACAAAAATTTATATGAGAAATTGCACCAAAAACGACATTTTGAAAACTTGGAAAAATCAAAAAAGTTTTACTGTACAATATTTTTTTTTAGGTTTTAAGAAAAAAATGGGCACAACGTGAAGTGTTTTGCTTGAATGTTCATTTTTCAAATTTTTCCCCCAAAAATTGTGGAAGTTTGCGCAAAAATTGGCGACTTTTGAGATTTTTTGCGCCAAAGAAGAGGTGTGTATGACAACATGAAGCTTCTCCATTGCCCGCACCGCTTCAATTCAAATGCAGCGACCATCCTCATTTTCTTCTTCATCTTCTTCGTTTTTTTTTTGCCATTTTTCAATTATTCTTGAGTGGAAATCGTATGAAGCACAATGCAGACAAAAGGAAAATAAATGGGAGGTCATAAATAATTCTGGACAACGATAGGCGTTGAAGAATATTGAAGACGTCGTTGAGGAAAATTTCGGCGCGATAAAATGTCGATGATGTGCCCGAAAGTTTTGCGTAGCCGACCACTTGGGAATTTTGACGCCGCTTCACACAATCTCAATCAACAAAAACTAAAAAAAACGAGTGAAAATGTCGAGAAAATTGCCCAATTTTGCGCAATAATTCAAAATCCAATTTTTCAATTTTTTCAAAAATTTTGAGCAATAAATCTTACATTTCTTCTTATTTTCTTCATCGTAGAACGTTTTCCCATCATTGTTTATCGCCAAAATCACTCAAAACCTGCAAAAAAATAGTAAAAAATTAAAAATTTTAGCGAGAAAAATTAAAAATCAAAATTTACCATTTTACATTCAAAATTTCTGGATTCCGTAGCATTTTGAGAGGAAATTTATCCTAAACAAAAAATTTCTAATGAAAACTCAGAAAAATCCAAAAAAAAACTCTGGAAAATTAGAGAAAAATGAAAATGTAAAAAGAAAAACTGTGGGCGTGGCCATGTTGTTGCCAACCGCCGCATGCACTTGAGAAGGAGTGCGGCGCGCTTAATTTATTTTTCTTTTTTTATTTTGAGAAATTCACTAAATCGCTTATCAGTACAACTATAGTCAAATACGACGACAATAAACCAAAAGGAGAAAACCGCGAGAAACAACGATTTGACGGAAATCGGATATTTTCTTCTGGACGACGAGCGCTTTGTTTTTTCCTGGTCTCCCCACCATTTTTTTTCGTAATATGAGATTTTTTCGCGTATTTCGTTGGCATGCTCGATAAGAGGGAGGCTTATCTCACGAAGCAGAATGACGACGATTGCAAGACACCCTCGTAAATCCAACCAACTCGTAAATCGACACGCGTGTGGCGAGACCCAAATCACGGAACAGTAGACATCCATCATTGCTTAAAATTATTCATTTTAAAACTGTATTTACAAAATCTGTATTCGCTTTTTTCTTCGAAATGTTTAAAAAGTGGTATTTTTGCCAAATTTTTGACTTTTGAAAAATTAGGTTTAAAAAAAATCGTAAAATTTCCATTTTTGGGTGTTCAACAACAATTTTGCTGTTGTTTATTTGCTGATTTGTTGTTGTTGTTGTTTACCTCATTGTTTACTATTTTTCGCGTCGCCATGTTCACCACCCACCCAAAAATTCATCATCGGTACGAATCGACACAAAATCAATGTGAAGCGACGGTTATCAGAAGTGGGGAAATAGTGTGCGGTTGGCGAGAGACGCAGAGAAATGCGATGTTTGCACAACACACGACATATTTGGTTGAAAATCGCTGGGTTTTTCAGAAAAAAAAACTGTTTTTTTTTTCGATTTTCGCCAAAAATCAATTTGCCGACTGAAAATGCCTGAAATCTGCGAGATTTTGACGAGCGCCGAATTGAGATTCTTCAAATACGAGCAGGGCAATGTAGGTTTTCGCGTTGGGACCCCAATTTTGGTGTTGTTGTTGCAGAATAAGGACAAACGTGTACGATTGCGCGTCGATCCGAATGCCCATATACTATTTTGGAGATTTAAAGATGTCATCACTTTCAAGCAGAAAGAGGTCCCATTTTTTTGGTTGCAAAAATTCCATTTTTGGACATTTTCTGATTTTTCGAGTAGAAAATTGCGAAATTTCTTTTTATTTTTCAAAATTTTGATTCGAAATTCCTTTTTTCCCATTTTTTTAACGGAAAATTGAGATTTTCCGCGTTTTTTTTTTTAAGTTTTCCTCAAAAAATTAAAATTTTGATCATTTTCGCATTAAAAAATGTGGAAAAATTGAAATTTTCATTGAAAATTTCGAATTTCCCTCAAAAAAAAAAATGCTATAAATTTCGAATTGCGTCAATTTTTGCTGGAAATTTCCACGTGTTTTCAATTTCGTCAAAAAATCTCAAATTTTTGCGGATTTTTCAACAAAAAAATTCCAGTTTCAATCAATTTTTTTCCGGATTTCAGATTGATCGCGAAAAAAATTTCATTTTTTTGGATCGAATTTACGATGTTCGAGTCGGAAAACCGACAAACATTATACTGGTATGAAGCCAAAGGAAAAAAAATTTTTTTTGAATTCCCTTCTTCTCCAGAAGACGTCGGAGCCATATGAGCAGAATTTTCTGACAATCGTCAGCGGCACGAATATCACTCATCTTGAGTTCACGCATTTCGTCTATTTGAGCAACGATTCGGTGAGCGCGACTGAAGCAAAGGCGCAAACGCGCTCCATTGCGAACCTATCCGTTTTTCTGTTTTGTAGACGCTTCTCGCCAAATTCGCCGCCGAGCTGTTCGCGCTGGCGCGACGCGTCAAGTCCGAAGAGCACGGATTGCTCTATCATTTCCGCAAAATGTTGGCGCCGAAAATGTACGCGGCGTTCACGCCGAGATGCATCGAGGAAGAGCAAGTTTTCATCGTCAGCCCACCAACGACAATTCCGAAATTCAGCGTGATTCACGTGTTCGATCGACAGAAGCGCATGACGACGAAGGAGCAACGCGTCGAGATTGGCAAACTCCTTTCGGCTGTCGGTTTTGTCGTGTTGAGACCCAATTTCTTTTCATCGACATGCTCCTTTAAAGCAGCCGCGTCAAAAATGAGATTTTATTCTTCTTAATTGAAATTCAAATCCTCATGCTCCTTTAAAACGGGTGACTTATCGAAAAAAAAAAGGATTTTGGACAATTTTCTTGGAAAATTCATTATCAAGCTGCCTCCTCCTTTAAAATGGGTCCCGCCTGGAATTTGTGATCTCAATCTTTTACACAATGTGTTGTTCGATATGAGTAGACGCCTAATTCCCCACTATGCTCCTTTAAAATGGGTCCCGCTTGGAATTTGTGATAAGACATTTGATTAGAAACACTCTTTGAGACTCGCTCAAACCAGGGTCTCGTAGGCGAAATTTTTAAAGGCGCATCACCCGATTCGTCGTAAATCGACAACGCAATGACAATTTTTTGTTGCAGGCGCACAAATCGCGTCAAATCGTCGACATCGATGATCAGAAGCTTGTCAAAATCATTTGTGTGCTCACCGGATTCGAAGGGTCCCGGTTCGAGTCGATTTTTCGAAAAATGTGGGTCCCTCATTGTTTTTTTTTTGTGAACGCCACGTGGCAAAATCAATTTCTGAATGGTCCGCACCGAGTGGAGTTGATGACGTCATCATGCCCTATGATATACATATTTCGTTGAATGATGAAATTGATGACGTCACTCTTCACAGATGGGACCAATTGATGGTCCCAATGTGATTGGGTTCGCCTCATTTGCAGCAGCGATGATTCGTCGGTGTCGCGCGCGTCGTTCGGCAATTGGATTCGCAAAAATCAGCACGATCATCGTCTCAACGACGCCCGATTTCAGGCGACGTCCGATCGAAAAATCGACAAAATTTTCGAGTCCTGGAATTATCCGAAAGGTGAGCGGTGTTTGGGTCTCGACGCGAATGGGAGGGGGCGACGCACCTCTCGTAAATCGACAACTGATTCAGGCATTCCGATCAGCTCGCAAATGTTCGCCCATTGGCTGATGTCGGATGAATGCGGTGTGGCGGTGAACTCGAAACGGATGCGTCTCGACGTCACCACGATGAACGAGCCGATCAATCGCTATTTCATCGACTCGTCGCACAACACTTATTGCTCAGGTCAGCTGCCGACATTGTTGCGGGTTTCAATAAGAATTCCAAAAATTGCTATTTTGGCTATTTTTTTCGAATTCTTGCGAGTCTCGATTTAAAAAATTTCTGCTGCCGACATTTTTGCGGGTTTCGCCGATCAGAATTAATTGCTGTTTTTTTTAACGATTTGAGCTGCCGACATTGTTGCGGGTTTCAATGGGAATTCAAAAATTACAATTTTGGATATTTTTTCGAAATTTTGCGAGTCTCGATTTAAAGAAATAAATTCTGCTGCCGACATTTTTGCGGCTTTCGCCGATTTGAACTTTTGTGATTTTTTCTATTTGATCTGCCGACATTGTTGCGGGTTTAATGTATAATTCGTTTTTTTCAAGCTTACAACCCGAAATGGCAATTTTGACTAATTTCTTGTTGATGGAGATTTAAAATTCAAACGCAAACCGTGACCGGATTTGTTAAGTGTTTGTGCTGCCGACATTTTTGCGGGTTTCGCCAAACTCGGCAATTTGTGTTGTGAAAATGCCCGTGTCGATTTCGAGCCACTTCCAGGCAACCAATTGGTCTACGCGCTCGGGCATTGCGGCGCCGACGTCGAAATGTACCGTCAGGCGCTGCTCGCCGGCTGCCGTTGCATCGAGCTCGACGTGTGGGACAACAAGGACAAAGACGATGGTCCGGTGATAACGCACGGTCCGACGGCGGTGATGGGCATGAACGAGATCGCGCTCATCGACGTGTGCGAGGCGATCAAAGAGTGCGCGTTCAAATCGTCGCCCTACCCGGTGATACTGTCGATCGAGAACCATTTGGGCCGTCGCCAACAGCACAAAATGGTCCAGACATTCCAGCAGGTGTTCGGCGAGACGCTTCTCGCCTCGCCGCTTCCCGACTATCCGCTCTACGCCGACGACGTCGCCGGCATTCGCTATCCGACTCCCGGCGAGTTGAAGCACAAAATTCTGATCAAGGCGAAGAAGAAGTTCGAGCGAGGCGTCGAGGGACGCTCACGCGACGACTCAACCGTCGACATGAGCCAACTGCAACGCGAGCTGTCCGCCGATGAGCTGCAGCTCATCGCCGAGTTGTCCGACGAGCAGCGTCGAGCCCAATTGTGCTCGGTGAGCGAGGAGACGTCGGTGTCGGAGCTGTCGGCGATGACCAACTACATGCAGGCCTACGAGGCGAATCGCGGCGTCTCGATCGAGAAGAACTTCGAGTTGGCCGCCGTCGAGCCGACGCATTGCGTTGTGTCGATCGACGAGAACGTCGCGGCGAGTTGTTTGAAGAATGGAAGCGTCGATCGGCTTCAGGTGAACTCCGATGAGAGCTTCAAATCGTTTCCCATATTCATTCATTTTTTTCAGGCGTTGACAAAACTGAAAATGGTTCGAGTCTATCCGAAGGGCTCCAGAATCACGTCGACTAATTATTGTCCGATGGTGAGTTCGGTGCATACACGCTCACGCGAAATTGCACACATTTTGAAATTCAAAAGAAAAAATATTGATTTGGTAAAAAGCGCGCATTCATTGTCCGTGCGGAGTACACAGGTCTTCGAAATCCGATTTCAATGGTCCCCCACCGACTAATCGATTTTTGTCCGCAGATGGATTTGCCCAAAAGTGAAATAAAAGAATTAGGTGTGGTCAGACTTTGACGAATTCTTGAAATCGGAGGACCCCACAAATCATTTTTGCGGACCAAAATGCGAATTTTCGCTTCTCAAATGATTCGAAATCGAAAAATTTCAATTTTTTTCGAGAATTTCTTGCAGATTCACTGGCTAGCCGGCGCTCAAATGGTCGCGCTCAATATTCAGACGAATTGCCCGAATATGCAATTGAACTTTGCCATGTTTGAGAGGAATGGCGGTGTCGGGTAGGCAGATGGCCGACATTTCTAGTGAAAAACGGTTTTTTTTTTAACAAAAAATGAATAAAAATTGATTTTTGATGGAAAATAATGAACATTTTCACATTTTTTGATGAAAAAATGAATTTTTTCAAATTTTTTGATGAAAAAATGAATTTTGTCAAATTTTTTGATGGAAAGATGGCATTTTTCATATTTTTTGATTAAAAAAAAAATTTTTTTTTTTGCAAATTTTCGATTTCAAATCGAAAGCGCTTCAGATACATCCGAAAACCCGACTATCTTCGATTCCGCGACATTCAGTTGACGCCTTATTTGGAAATTCCGTTCACAGTGGCGTACACCGTCGAAGTCGAGGTCGATCTCGAAAAAATTATGAAAATTTTTATGAAGAAATTCATCAAATTTTCAGGTGATCGCCGCTTATTTTTTGTCGACAATCAATCACGACAAATATCGGCGAAAATCGATGGTTTCGGTGAAGTTGTTCGATGTTCCCGACGAGATTTCGAGAGACGACGGCTGGGGTCAAAGGTCGTTCGACGAGATTCGCCGGCGAGCCAAAGACGAGATTTGTTTCGTCACTAATTATTCGCGCCAAGTTCATTGTTTCGAAAAGGTTGAATTCTCATTTTTTTTTTTTGAGAAATTAAACCAAAATTCGAATTTTGAGACGAAAAATTTGCAAAAAATCGAATTTTGCCCATTTTTTTTTTGAGATTTTCAACATTTTAAAGACCAATCTATTAATTTTAAACCATTTTTGCCAAAATTTTCGCAATTCTCGAATGGTTTTCAGCGAAAACTGCGCATTTTCGACGTTCTAACGAAAATTTAACAAAAATTCAATGAAAACCTCAAAAATTGATCGTATTGGTTGAGACAAAAATCTAATAATTGCAAAATTTTTGCTCTTAATCGATTTTCGCCATTTTCTAAAATGAAAATCACTTCGAGAACCAATGAGTAATCAAAAAACTAAAAATTTTCCTCAAAAATCTGCAAATTTTTGGCTTCTTCGGCAAAAAGTCGAAATTTCGTAATTCTCCCGATGTTTCCACCCAAAAATTTGATTTCAATCCAATCTTTTTCGAGCCACCTGCCGACAATCAACCGGGCCGTTCTTGCAGGTGATGCTCAACGATTTGTCGTTCATCCAATTCAATGTTCAAAATGAGAACAACCATCTAATTGCGCAGAGAGTCCTTCATATCGACACAATGAATAATGGTAGGCGTTTAAAGGAGCACGTCTTTCATTGTTCCTAAAGATCGTGTTGGGACTTGAAACGATGATTCTGTTTTTTGCGCAGGCTATCGCTTCGTGACGCTTCGCTCGTCGTCGAATCAATGCTTGGGACCCGCGTGTCTGTTGGTCCGCTTCGACATCTACATGCACAGCGATCGAAAGAGCATCCAGCACCACAAGCAAATGTACAATCCGCACGCGTTCGAGCAGGAGAACGACAAATGGGAGCGGCGATTCAGCGATCCATTTCAGGAGTTCGACGACGCCGAGGTGAGAACGAAAAAAAAAACGAAATGCGGACGAAAAAACAAATTCTAGACCAACGATTTCCTGCTAGTCGAGGGCACTCGGCGCGGCTCGTCGAGCATCGACACCGCGCCGCCAACGACACCAACCAAATCGGCGCCAAATTTCGCCAATCACATCGTCGACAAAATCGCGTTTTGGCGAAAAAAGGACAAAAGTTGAGAGGTGTTCATAAAATCGTTTTTGTTTGTATCACAAAAATTGTTTTGAATTTTTTTTTGAATCCAACCTATTCTCTACGACGACGTCCGTTTCGCCAGAATCTCTTCCATGAATTGTATCGCCAAACACTGAAACTAATGCGAATTAATTTTTGTCTTTCGCATGGAGCCGATCGTACCCAATTTTCAGCTTCCTCTTCGCCAACCACTTCGTTCACGATTCGCCGCTCGACGTTCTTAATAAATTCCAGCATCTGATTGTCGACACCTTCAGCGATTTGCGAAACGCGAAACAATTCCAATTTCAAATCGTGTTTCGTCTACAAAAATTCGATATTTCTTCTATACATCGCTTTTCAAATCATTTTTTAGTCTACGTATTTCTTATTTATTTTTTATTTCACAAATCGCGTCTGTCAGGCGCATAATTTTCTGCAAATTTTGCAGACTGCAAGGTCTTACCAATTCTGAGAGCCAGCATTTTTTTTTCCAAAAACAGAACTAATCATTGTTTTTGTAATGGAAAATTAATGTAGCAAAATTGAGCCCGTCTATTGTCAAAAAATTGGTCCCGAGACGACGAGACGCGTGATGTGTACTCCTCACGGACAATGCGCAACTCGTCGCGAGACAAACGGGCTTCGTATTGAATATTTCAAAATATAAAAAAAAATGAAAATTTTTGGTATCAACTTCTGTGATCTTTGAGCATGAATTTAAAAATAAACATTTTGCGGTTCATATTTGAAAGGCTTCAAAAAATGAACGACTATTTTTCATAAAGACTATACGTCCTGAAAGAGGATTCTCGACGAAATTTGGCATTACTCGAATTTATATTCCATTCGCCAACCTTTTTCTCCATCGAAAATCGATTGTTGTATTTGATTTGTCGTTTTAATCGAAGCAAAACGTCGATGCGCTCATTGTCGGCATTCGAGTTGTTTCGCTCGCGCGCGATCCACGCGTCTAAATATTTTTCGATGTTGATTACCTGAAATTGATTTGGTTTCGGTTTTGAATCGTCTCATCGTCGTTACCATCTTCTGAAAACATCACAAATTTGCGGCCGATCACATACAATCGTGGTACCGAATATGTAGCGCCCATTTTCGGGAAATTGGGGAGAGGGGGAGAGAAACTGCAAAAATGGGAGTGCGAACCAGCAATACTTGCTAATTTCCGAAATTTTATCAACAGAAATCTCTGAATTTTCACATTCTCCACCGATTGCCTTGTCTATCGCTACTTATTGCTAATGGAAAAATTCGATGCAATTGTTGATATCAATGTTGATTTTCATCATTGATTTTATTCGTCCCACAAAAATAAATACAGCTAGACAGAATCCAACTAAGGGAATGTTGTTGTAAACGAGAGACTCGGCGGCGAAAATTGTTTCTTGAAGGAATCTACAAAACAAAATTTTTGCGATTTCGCTTCGAGAATCACGCACTATCCCGAATTGTGCATTTTGTATTCGGCGTATAGTTGCACATGGATTTCAGCGATTCCATCGTTTCGCGTCGCAATAGTCGATTTCCAGTGACTTCAAATACTGAAATTCGAAATAATGCGACAATATTTGAGCAATTCATACCGTTATTCGAAAAATTGCCGTTTTTATAGTATGGAAATCGAATTCTCCGCAAATATGGCATATTTCTGATGATGATTTTCGCGTTCACCAAATATTTAAGGTGACGAAACAGGATATCAGGATACCCAAGGCCATCAATTGTCCAGGTGCCGTTTGAAAATGGGTCGAGACGAGCGAAAAATGGCTCATACTTTAGAAAATCGGCGCGTTTGAGATCGAAATATTTATCCTCAATAATTCTAGTCGAGAAAAACGGGATTTTTTGAAATTTCTAGCGATTGACTTACGAGATTCCCGATAATTTTGTGCATGATCGAAGGTGATTATAGACCTGGCAATCGTCGCCTGCAAACCAAAAAATTAATTCCGCATTTTAATTGTCGCCATTCTCAAATACTCCTATCATATTCGGGAAAACGACCGATGCAAATTGCGAAGGCGCGAAAAATCAAAATATTTAACAGAATAAGGGGTTTTATAAAACGAGACATTTTTAAAATGACTAATTTTCGAGTCTCACGCGTTTTGGTCGAGCCCATTTAGAATTAATTACTGCTGCACATTGTCTACCGGAATGCCGGCTTTAGCCCTGAAGTAGCACGTTGAAGTGTAGTTGAAAGATCTGAGATTGATGTATCTTCCGTTTAACTGAAAAAGAGTCATGCTTGGCATTAGAATCGCAGAAATTAAACAAATCAACGTCTATATGCACCCCAGGATGCTCGCTTTCGTTTGCAATATCCTGTTTGAAATGAAAAGCTCGGAATACTGTTCATCATTTTCATTCGCTGGAGCCTATGTATATGAAATCTGATTGAATTGCACTGCAACTGGGAAAAGGACAAAAAATGGATGAAGACTATAGAAATATCTATTTTTTAACATTTTTTTTGCCCCTTTCCCAGCAAACTAGTTTGAGTGCGTAAAAAGAAATATAATTGATTACCTTGGCGATTTCTAGTAGGACATTGCGAGAAAGCTCGTCGCATGCCATATTTTGAGCAGTAAAATACATTTCTTCGAGTATATGAAAAAAAACTGGTTGAAAACGTCGAATAAATTTATAGGAAACTTGATTTTTTTTTAAATATTCGCAGCTGCAATGATATTTGTGCAATCGCGGTTGCATGATGTTTGCAGACATGCATTTAAATCTACGCCTGAATATTTTAAAATCTCATGACGACGTGAGCGAAAACGTCGCAAACCTTGCCAAATTTTTCATTTCACTTGGATTTAATATTTTTCTGGCTTAATTAGTATTATTTTAGATGAGCAAGCGAACAATTCGATTTGCAATGAATAAGATCGACGCGGACAAGTTTTTTTTGTTCAAATCGGACTATGATGGATGATCAAATATATCCTATTGGCCCAAAAAAAGAGGTTTTTGTTATTTTATTCGAATTTTACTGTTTCGTGGAAATTTTGGGATTTCGAAGAGTCGCGAACAAAAATAGGGAGCAATCGGGAAATTTCTACAAAAAAATGGTTTTTAGATATGTTAGAGTGTTCTCGATACCGATGACACTATGGTCCGATCACGACTCGTAAAGTTCACCTTAAAAGACTAATTGAAAAAAATTCTTTATAATATTAATCGAACAATTCGAATTGCTGGCTCTAAAGAGGGCTGTTGGAATTCGGCGCATTTGAGTTGTCTCTGAATACTTCTTGCGACTTGCCAAGGTCGCTGAGAAGCCGCCCGGTTGAGGATGAATATCCCCGACCTGCGTGAGACAGTGTGTCGATTAGCCTGACTCGACATCCCCCTTGAAGGAGTGTCGAGTCAGTTGATCTCCTTCGCCACGTAGAGGCTCGACACTTGAAGGAGAGGCTCACCAACATCAGGCCGAAACCTGATGTGGGTCATCGCCAAGAAGCACGGTCCATGTGCACCCGAAAGGCTGGACATATTGACATAGCTGGCCAATCCACGTCAATATAGGTCTGGGCCAGATGCCATCCTGACTAGTATGGAGGACACCCGGTGAAGCAAAGTTCTAAAGCATAACCATCCATAACGCCCAACAAGCACTCGAGAGCACTTGAAACGGACGTTTGGGTAGGGTTCGATTCCCGGCTACGGAATCAGGGCTGAAGGGCTTGCCAGGCCAATCACCCGAATTTAGGATACAGCGGATAAGCCGCCATCCAGCCAACGCCTCGGCACTATGGGGGACGGGAAGCCTTGGCGTTTGGGGGAACGGCCGACTACGGCCCTAATATAGCCAGCTACGGCTCTAATAATGCCGACTACGGCGGTAGAAGTAGAAGAGAGGACCTTAGTATGGCTAATGCTTAGTGGTGGGGGAAATTTAGTAGTTGTGGTGAATCGATTCACCTGCAGGATCCTTCCGTCGGCGGCAGCGACGATACCTAAATACCTAAACACCTAAAAAAAAAATACACATTAATACGAAAAGTATTAAAAAAAAAATACGGAAGGGGGAAGCCAGTCATTAGTGGAATGACTGGCATGGTCGTAAGTGGTACGACTTTCCCCCCGGAAAAAAGAGATGGTTGGTCCCAAACGGTAGGACCGAGAAAAAAAAGAGAGAGAGAATCCCAAGTGGTGGGATATAGAGGAGAAAGCAGCAAGTGGTACGGCAGGAGGATCAGTCGACTGATAGAGAGAAGGGACAGTCGTAAGTGGTACGACTGGTGGCAGAAAGGGGGAAGGGGAAGCCGGCTTTCCCCCGAAAAAGAAGAGATGGTCCCAAGCGGTAGGACCGGGAGGAAATACAGACGTAAGTGGTACGACTGTACAGAGAGGAGAGAGGGGAATCCCAAGTGGTGGGATATAGAAGGGGAAGCCGTAAGTGGTACGACTGGTGGCAGAAAGGGGGAAAGGGAAGCCGGCTTTCCCCCGAAAAAGAAGAGATGGTCCCAAACGGTAGGACCGGGAGGAAATACAGACGTAAGTGGTACGACTGTACAGAGAGGAGAGAGGGGAATCCCAAGTGGTGGGATATAGAAGGGGAAGCCGTAAGTGGTACGACTGGTGGCAGAAAGGGGGAAGGGGAAGCCGGCTTTCCCCCGAAAAAGAAGAGATGGTCCCAAACGGTAGGACCGGGAGGAAATACAGACGTAAGTGGTACGACTGTACAGAGAGGAGAGAGGAGAATCCCAAGTGGTGGGATATAGAAGGGGAAGCCGTAAGTGGTACGACTGGTGTAAGTGAAAAATAATAATAAAAATAAATTAAAAAAAAAACTTGGACCTGACCAAAAATTACCAAATATCCGACAATTTTGCTCCTTCCTCGTGGCTTCTTCGATCCGTCGCCTCCGATTAGATCCATTCGATTCAAGATGCCTGAAATGTTCCGAATTATTCTGATGGACTGTGACTCCCTTTACCTTTCGAATCCGCTTCCTCTTTCGTCATTCCCCATTCTTGCTCATCTTCACGTGTTATGTCTACTCATGCAATGTGGGTTTAACGTCAGCCTGGACGCGACACTGCAGTAGGGTTAGTACCGGCTGACCGAGTCGCACCAGTCGAGAATCCCCGACACTTTCGACATAGCACATCAGAAGAGCTCGGATGAGCAACGACTGTGGCTCTCATCGGATCTGCAATAGAAGGAATTGAGAAGGAGGATGGCAATGAATGTGACATACCGTGTGGATCCTCGGCCGTGGCGAGCCCGCCAGGATGTGCGAGGCGCGCGGAGCCCGCAGGTTATGCGGGGGCACGTGGAGCTCGCACGTTTTGCGGGGGCACGTGGAGCCCGCAGGTTATGCGGGGCACGCGGAGCCCGCAAGATAGGCGGGCTTCCCGCAACTCGAGGAGCTGAGAGAACTGACGGAATTGCGCATTCGCCGGCCTTTTATAGTGCCACTCGGGTCGGTGCACAACTTGCAATAGAGCGCATTTGTAGAAAACGAACTGCAAATTGAGGCCAAGTGTCCGCCGACTCTCTCGTATTGGCACACTCTTTCCTATCAGACGCGCTTTCCCGATCGACGCTGCAGTGCTGTAGAGCGCGCTTGCCTCAAGAAACAAGCAATCGCTGGGCGGGGCTTGGATTGTTGCTGACTACAATGGAGCAGACTCTCCGATTCATTAGACATCAGTTTTTCAATTAATTGACTCCTCCTTGAATTCAATTCCTGGAAGCAGATTTTCGAGGAGATTCGTTTGAATTCATGTTCCGAAATCTTATTTTTTCGTTGCTGAATTCTTCTAAAATTGCAGCATGAGCTTCAGAATTCACATAATCATAAAACAGCGTAGACGGTAATTATGTAGTAGTCTCTGGTAACTCAAAACCAGTTTCGACTCCGGAATCAACCTTATCCGATTGGAAATTCTATGGATTTTTTCAGTTCCGACAAATCGATGACTAATTAATTGGCTTTGTTGATTTTCTCGCACATTCGCGATACATTTTGTAATTCGGAAAATTCAAAAAACCACTGATTTCTGTTATTTTTGCACAAAAATTGAAATTATAAATCGATTTTTAGCTATCAAATCCCCCATTTTGATTAATTTCCAAACACCTCCTATTTTGAGCACCCTTCACTACTACCTTGAATAGCTTCAATGTGGTTCAGATGGTTTCCGTTGATTATAATTTTGAGTATCTCAAAATTGTCAAAAAATATTCATTTCGGTGTCGATCCTGCTTTTTAAAAAGTGTAGTGAGTGAGGAGTCCGAATTTTTCAAAATTTCAGAAATTGATCCCTCCGGATCTTGATGATCCTACTCGTCACAATTATTCAACTTTTGCATTAATATTTTCAATTTTTTTCACTTTCCATCATTGTAATTCTTGTTTGCCTGATTCTTTATGTTAAACAGATTTTTAAAAACGTCAAAACTCTTTGAAATCAAATGTTTGTATCGTTTCAAGTGTAATAAAACTTTCATTAATAAGAAAAACAATGTGTGTGAAGCTCGTATTAAAGAAAAACTTGTGTGCATCTATACAAATCAAATAGAGGGGGGTCCGTTTTTTTGGGTCTCACGACGAATCAAGCACTTTTTTGCGATATGAAGACGATATTGAAGCGCGTTCATCGGCGATCGGCTCACGAGTGCTAAAAAAAATGAAAACAACAAGCGTGGACAAAAAGCCAACATTAAGCGTCACACCTATTATTAGCAAACGACGATTGGGTGTCCAACTCGTCATCATCCTCAAAATAATTGTCGGGAGTTGGAGAATTATAACCATCAAGTGAATATTGCTCCAAATACCTGCAAATTTCGAAAAAAATATAATTCAAAATCAGAAAGAAATGGCTCACCGTTGTACCGCATCGAAGGCGTCCGAAAGCCTCTCCAGCTGCTCGTCTAAGCTCTCATTCGGTCTTGGCGGCTCGGCGGCAGCTGATAGAAGATCCTCAACGGAAACCGACAAGCATCCCTTGTTCTGCTTCCTAGCAAATCCAAAAATCAATATTTTTCAGATTTTCGCGCCAACCTAATAAGTTCAATGCTATTTTTGCACTTCTTCGATAGCATATCGACGGCTTTCGCGAGTCCCGAAATTTTCGGCTCATCGTTTCGACGCCCCGACAGCCGATACTTCTCATTCCGCAAATCTCTCGGCTCTTGCGATCGATTTCGCGGGCTGCGCGGCACAACACCCGGCGAATTCTGAAAATTCTCATTCACTTTTTTGTTGCCAAATTCCGATTCCCACCTTTCCTTGAGCCTCATTGTTCATCGTGTGGAACGTCATGCTTCGTCGCGAAGTGAATTGCTGCTCTCTGCAATACCAACTCCATTTATGAGGGGGCTTTCTCATCCAATATTCTATTCACCGCGTTTTCTGATTGCTGGTCCTTCGCGCCGCCGCCGCCGACTTCATCGGGTTATAATCTTTGCGACGCAACCATGCGGTCATCTCCTGCTCACGCTGTTGCTCACTCTGGCCAAACTGCAACACCAAAAAGAATAATTAATTAGCTAATTAACGCCCTACCGAAATTCCTCGCGAGGTTCCCGTGCGGAACGGCGGCTTGTTTGCCATCAGCGGCGATGACGGCACTTGACGGCGGGTCTCGGCACGACGACTACAACACGCCGGCTTCTCGGGCTCTTTCGTCTCGCGTGTTCGACTCGTGAACGAGGCGCGACTCGGATTCGCGTTTCTCGCGCCGCCGCTCGAACGTTCCGATGCCGATTGCGATCCCGACGTCCTACCAATCTCATTCCTCTTCATCGGCGCCGATGATCGTTTCTCATCGTTGCCCGAAATTCCGCTGGCCGGTAGTCCGGCCATTAGCCGGAGTTTCGCGAGCTCTTGCAGAAAGTCCGACCCATCAGAAGGGCGATTCGCGTTCGTCGGCGTTCGCGCCGATGACGGTCCCGCTTGCGGTGTTCTCGCCGTTCGTTCGGGCAACCTCGAGCTTTGCGGAGCCGTCGGACGAGGGGATGATGGAAGAGCGCTGGGTCTCGACACGACCACCTCCGGCTGCACCACCGACTGGTAGTCGGACTCGCTGTCACTTGACGAGTCCGAGTACTGCATAACCTTCGACATGAACTGTTGTCCGTTCGGCCGTCGCGACGTGTCAATGACAAATGTGAGCGCTTCGGATCTCGCATCAAAATCGCGGGACTCGGACGTCGGCAGCATACTCGGCACCTCGCTCAACTCTTCGGCATTCGAGCTTTTGCCTGTTAGAAGCTTCTCCAGCAAATAGCTCTTGTTCGACTCGGTGTTTGGCGGCATCGGTGGCTCATTGCTCGCCTTTTTCATTCGTCTCGCCTAAAAAAAACTGCGTTTTTTGAAATTATTCTCCTTGGCTAAATTTCAATTACCTCGGCCAAATTTCGTGCGGCTTCTTGCAGCGAAAGCTCACGCTCCTTCTCGCCAAGATTGACAGTAAACGCGGTGGCATTGGATCGACGGCTAGCTGCAGAAAAAAAACGGAATATTATGAAAAAAATCGTCCGCAAACACCGAACGTGCAATTACACCAAAGCCTAAGTAAAATCACTCACGTTTGCTGGCTTCTGGAAGCGTCGGAATGTCGGCCAAATTAATTTCCATCTTGATCGACTTGGACGGCACCGGTTTAGGAGTTGGCTCGGGTTCAGCGTTCTTCGGCGACGCCGGCGGCGGTGTTTGATCATCGATCGAATTATTCGTCGGCAGAGAAGATATCCGTCTCAATGTCTCGACGTCCGACAATGATGAAGCTTCTCTATTGGCGACGAACGCTTTGGCGCGCCTAAAAACCAATGCCGTCGTTTCGTACCGGAAAATTTTTTTTAATGTTACCCTTCGAAATCCGACTGCGTTGCCCGTTTCTCATTTTCCAATAAACTAGAAGATGTGCTAGCAACATGACTTCTCAACTTATTCTGAAAATTCGATTTATTATTTTTTTTTATATTGGGATTTTTGAAATAAAAAATCGCACCAAAAAATAGCTATTTTGCGTGTTTTTCGGCGTCTCCGAATCGGGAATCGAGTTGGTCCGTTGCGATTCCGATGATGTCGCATTGTGAAGGCGCGATCTCATGCCGGCGGAGACGTTGGAGCTCGACGAGATTGAATCGTCATTCGGCTCGCTTTTGGTGTCATTTTCTGCCGAATTCGGCCGATTTGGCGATGGATACATCGGCATTTGCATATAAACTAAATTTTTTAAATAATTTTTCGAATTAAAAAAAATCGAAACCTGATCCATTTGGTGTCGGTTTGACATTCTGCATAGGATATGGGTACATTAAATGACCCGGTGGTGCTGGAGGCGGATAATACATAGGTTGAATAGGTGGATAAAATGGTTGGGGTACAATGTAGTGTTGACCAGTCACCGGATCGATTAAAACATGTGCTTGAAGCGGGTATCCTGCAAAATATCCATGCTATAATATTTTTGCCTTAAATCGGCATTCCCAATTTTTGAAAAATCTGATTTTCGCGCTAATTAGAATCGAAATTCCCTATAATTATTACTAATTACTCACTTAACATGATTAATATTGCGAAATTGGAATGCTTCAGCTTCAATCACATGACACATTCAATAAAATATGATAAATATCAACAACGCGGTGTTATCAGCTGATCAGTTGGAAACGACATACCTTGCTGGACATTTGACTGATTCGGAAACGCGAATGCCGGACTCCGCGAGTCGGCCGTCGATTCCGGCGGAATCGAATGCGACGGCGAGCTCGGCACTGACCGATTCTCCATTATTCACGCATTCGAGATTCTAGAAAACAGCAAAAAAATACCAAATCGATAAATTGTCTAGAGAGAAAGACAAAAAAAAAATTGAACAACGAGTGTTCGGCATTGATCGGCCCGACGGGGGTGGCGCGAAGAACGAGAGACAGCGCGCAGAATATGAAACGCTTATGACAGCAAGTGCGCTCCATCGAACATCGAGGCTAGCAAATAAAATGACCACTGGCTTATTCGTATCGTGTGTGTTTGTGGTGATGGTGGTGGGGTGCCCCCTTCACTCACACACACACACTCTTACTCTCTGTCCCCCTCATATATTCTAGAAAGACATGTGTCGAATGGGACAATGTGAGTATAAAGGGAGAAGAACTCGTGATAATCTTCGTTCTGCTTCTTCGTATTGGGTCCCCCCGAAGATATACGACGATTTTAGGCCCGAAACTGGTTTCCTGTTATATCTCTTTCTATTGAGACCTCCCCCCAACCCTTCTCCTATATCGCAACTTGTGACACAAATTCTGTTCATTTTCAAAAAGCGTTTCATTCGTCGCACATTTTGATCTTTGGCCACTCGAAACCTGTACTACTTATCAGTCGACGCCTCGTCTGTTGTCGTGATAAACCGAACGTTACAAATTGATATTTCATTTGTGTGGGAATTGCGGCGAGAAAATGAGAAAATTTTTTGCTGAAAAAAATTATTACGTCGCCTACCGTAATTATTTTTTTCAAGGCGCAGATGTAAAAATGTTGCGTCGACTCTTGAGCGGAGCACCAATATTTCAAATTTCCCCATTGTTTTCCCACATTATTTCTATGGAGTTTTTGAATCGAAAAATCATGAATTATTGAATTTTTCATAAATTTTATTGAATTTCTTCCTAGGAATGTGAATTTTCTGCAAAATTCTCGCGTGTACCTTTCGCGAATCTTCTCGAATATTCGTTAATGCAAAGACTTGCATCATTAAAAATCATTATTTTGATTTCAGAGTAATTTCGAACATGACAAGCACGCTTTTCAAAATCCAACATGATGCAATCATATGTCAACTGCATCATAAGTAAGCCGATTTTATATATATGTAATTTTGCAACCAAATCCCACATTTTCTGTTTTGCAGATCAAACGCGACCATCAACGTTGTCTGCGAGACCAGCGATGAAATAGCGATGCCAATGTTCGATAATTGCCAACAAACTTGGGTTGTTCCAAACGACGTCGTTGGGCTCGACTCGAAAAAGCCCAAAATGCTCAAAATCCGCTTTCATCCCGATGTTGTCGAGCTCGCCGCCTCGAATGCCGATATTCATTCGGCGGCGTGCGCGAGCTCGCTTCAATATCTCGACGTCCTTTTGGAAGACAGCGAATGGACGCGTCGCGCCGAATTCGACACCGTCGGCGTTCAACTCGACCGTTTATCGCAGCTTTTCACCAATTTGGACATTTATGTCGATTTCAAACCAAACCAGTATGTCATTCTTGTTATTGTCGTTGATGGCGTTCTTATTCTTCGTATGATGACTCGCAAACAAATCGCTCTAAATGCAATTTCAGAATCGCGAAATCGGCGCTACATTTAAAATAAAAGTCTGCAAGGTATTCCAAAATGTGAAATTGATTAAAGTATTTTTCAAACTCTAATGCGCCTTTAATGAAAAAAAGAAAATTTTTTGTTTTAGTGCGACAAATTCTGGAAAAAAAAACAACTATCAAAATTGCGAACTATTGCAGTCTTGAGATCACTTGGATACCCGGCGAGGACCACGACGAGCTCGTCAAACTGCTAACCAGCAAATCCGTGCGGGCGAGCTTGTTGCAGCGAGTCGTCGTCGATGGTCCGACGACGTCCGTATTCATGTCGTTCGAGAAGGACGCCAACCATCGTCGCAATCTTTTAGAAATCACCATCAATAACACGGGAATCATCGATGATCGCGCGACGCCAACGCAATGCGAGATCGACACGACCGCCACATGTGTGACGTGGCGAATTCCGGAGCGCGACGACGGCGACGAATTCAAAAAATCGCCGCCGCGTTGGTCGTCGCTTCTTGACTGTACACTTCATGTAAATAATCAGCACCGAAAACCATTGCAATTCATTTCGCCGTATTCCACCATCGCCAATTTGTACGAGCGACTCTGCGCCACTCTTCACACATCGGCATCGAGCCCAATACCAACCGGCTCATTGTCAAAAGTTTCGGCCAATATCGAGGATCACGCCATTATTGCTTTAGATAAGGTGCGATTTTCAAAAATAGGAAAAAAAAATCATTGCTGAAAATGGAAAATCCAGCGTATTCCCTTGAATATTTGTGAATTCCTTCAGAACGAGGCTCCACAATTGACCAAGCTCATCTACATGATAACGAGCACTCCGCTAGTGATCAACACCGACATCGAGATCGCCACCGAGACCGAGCTGACATGGTCGCCAACGGATTCCATCGATTCCGGCGTCTCGCTATCGCCGACACTATCGTTGGACGAGCCATTTTTGCCGATGCCGCGCGGTCGATCGGCTAGCGAGTGCGCGCCGCCGAGTGCCGCCGGCAATCATCACACAAGCACAAAACTGAAAGGCATATTGAAGTATCCGATGAGATTCGGCCGATTCTCGAGATCGGTATCGGAATGTCATCACGACGACGTCGCCTACCACATATCGCCGTATTTCGCGATCGATTCGCATTTTTCGGAGGATGAGGAGGATTCGGACGCGTTTCACGGTAAATTTTCGCTCGTTGTTCGTTTCGTCGAAATATCTCTCGATTTTTGTGTACGCCGGCGGAGAACGCAAACACGTGATGTTTGTATTCGAGGCGACCTTTTTTTTTTGTTCTGTTTGAAAGATAGAGCGGGTTGGGGAGGAGGAGGGCTCGCATTGAAGGTCATTTTGAAGATGTCTCAATCACGTTTGCAGAGAGTTGCGCCGAGACGACGACGCCGCCGCCGCAGCGACGCAAGAAGTGCGTCTCGTTCAGCGAGCGAATCGAGAAACGCGTCTTCCATTCGAATACGAGCATCGACGCGCAGAAGCGCAAAAATCAGAAGAAGAATGAGAAACGCAAGCGAAGAGATGCCGCGCATTATGGTAGCGCTGATGATGCCACTTTTGAAGAGGTTCGATCTTGTAGCTTTTTTTGTTGCATCTGTCACCCAAGATGCGGTAGAATTTTAAATTTTTTATTGGGGAAGTCGTGGAAAAAATTGATTTTTTTGAAGTTTTTTATCGGGAAAGCTGCTGAAAAATGTTCGTTTCAGAATTTTTTGAATTTGATTGACACTGAAATTATTAAAATTTCGCTGATCTTGGCAAAAATTTGAAAATGCTTCCGTTGATGAAATTATTGTTGAGATTTGTTTTTAAAGTTAAACATATACTGCCTTTTTAGACCGGAAAATTGAAAATGAGGAGGAATTCAAGCGAAAAATTCGGATTTTAGTAATGTTTTCAATAAATTTTTGAACGAAAATCACTTTTTTTGCTAAAATCAGTAATTTTATTTTCGTTATAACAGAAAAATTCTATAGGTCTTTAAGCGAAAGCATCTAAATTTGAAAATTTTCTCTGAGAAATTAAATTCGAAATGTAAATACCAAAAATTATGGATTTCTAATAAGTGGCGGCTTTTAGGCAAATCTTGAAGCGAAAATATTTTTGAAGTGGGTCTTGTTTCGAAAAATGAATAAACATTTCGAGGCGGGTCTCGAAGCGAAAATGCTAAAAATAGAATATTTAATGCATACATGTATATACATTTTTTGCAGCTTGGCCGCGTCGCCGGACGCAGTGTAACTATGTAAATGTTGATCGTTGTTTTGTATCATAATCACACCCACCACCCATCAATTATTCATTTTTCTTCGTCTAAATTAATTAAGCACAAGAAACGGTAAATGTATTCAAACAACTCTGTCCCGAATCGTGTAGCGAACCTGTCAATACATGTTATTTCCATATTTGGTGTCTATATGTTTATCATGTCTCTGTTGATTTTCAAACATCCCTGTTACTAATTTATATTCTAGTTTTCTTTTTTTGTTGTAGAATGTTTGGTCGTTGTCAGATGTAGATAATAATTAATAATAAAGGTTTCATTGTTGGATTATTCGCGGGTTTTGCTATCATTCTTTCGGACCGATAAGCGCCTTATTTGGTTTGATAACGCACACAAACGGCGCTCGCCATTCGATTCGTTTTTTTTTGTCGGCTTGTTTGGGCATTGGTGATGAATTCGCACAACAAACTCGTCATTGGTATGATTTTTTTTCCTCATTTTTTTTTCAATAAATTTTTCAGACACCGATGGCGTTAGCGATGATGTCCGAGCGATTTCGTTGGCTTTGCAACACCCAAAAGCTGAGGTGGGGTATCATCCAGAAATCGCCAATTTTCAGAAATAAATCGGCTATCGCAATTTTCGACGCGTTGCGGCTCGCGTGCGGCTCTTTATACAAACGTCGGGTCTCGCGGCGAAAAATTTGTGATGGCCGCTTTTTTTTCGGGAAACTGACAGTATATTGCAAAAATAACGAATGGTTAATTTTTAAAAACCGACCGCGACGCATACGCAACGCGGCCACCTAAGCGCGCGAATTTGAATACTCGGCTTCGAAACGACAAGATCGCAATAATTTTGAAAAATTCATCAATGTGCCACCGCTGAAAATTTGCAGATTTTTTTTGGCCGTTTTGGAATTTCGCATTCCGCCCAACTTTGTTCAGGATCTCCGGATTCCTGAGCATGTTCGTTTTTGACAAAAAAAAATCGGCCATCAGAATCGGTACAAGACCCAAGCCCTCATTCGATTATATATATGTTTTAAATTTGGCGTTTGAATTAAGTTTACTCACAATTTGAATGGAAATGTGATAATATTAAAAAAAAATGAAAATTGAGACGAAATTTGTGATTTTTAAGAATTTCGAAAAAAAAATTTTGGCGACCCATTTTGCTCTGGTAACTCAAAACCAATCGGATCCGAAAAATTACAAATCGGATCCGACCAAATTTGGCTCCGGAATCAACCCGATCCAATTGGTAATTTACCGGGTAAGATTTGTATTTTTTCGGATCCGATTGGTAATTTCTTGGATCCGATTAGTAAATGTTTGGATCCAATTGGAAATTGTTCTGATCAGATTTGTTTAGATAATTCGGATCCGATTCGATTTTTGTATTATTTCAGATCCGATTGGAAAATTTTTCCAATTCGAAATCCGATTGGTATTGAGTTACCAGAGTGGAAGTCTTCAACATTTTTGCTCTCACATAAAATTTTTTTAAGCCGAGCCGTATCATTTTTTTTGTTCATCAAAGAAGTACTAATGTCTTTGGTTTGAATTTTTCCAATTTTTTTATTTAAAAAAAAATTTTGTTTTAATTAACAAATTGTTTAAATTTTATTGTTTCTGTGGGGAAAATAACAGCGGCTACGATAATTTTTGTCAAATACGGTAATTAAAGGCGCATGCAGTTATCAAATTTCGGCATGCGCCTTTGATGATTCTTATTTGTTTCAAAATCAATTTTGCGATGCTCGTCGGGGCAAAATTTGAGGCGATAGATCAGATTTGAAATTAAATAGTCAAAAATGGGTCAAAAATTTTACCAAAGGTTCAATTTTGAATCCGTCACTAATCTGCACCAAAGTCCGATTTTCAAGGTTTTGGCGATCACCACAGTTCACGGTTGTGTTCCGGTAGATCAAGCATGCGCCAACGTCAAGAGGACACTTCGAGCGAATGGATTTGAAGTGAAATTTGCACCCGAAAAAATGATTTTTAGGCTCATTTTTAGGGAAAAATTCCAGTGTATCGCGGAAGTGCGAAATCGATTCTGAATTTGTCGAAAGACTCGACGGTTTCCGATTTTTTCGGTGTTGACGGAATCGGCGACGAGCCGAAATCGTTTCCGGAAGTCGTCGCCGATGATTTTGTGGCTGACGAGAAGCTGGCGCCGTTGGCGTTGTTGGAGATTTTCGAGAAGAATCCCGACGCCACGTTGGTGTGAGTTTTTTTTCGCCACGAAAAAAAAATCCCACCATTCATTGGGTTTAAAGCGACCCATTTTCAGCCGGAAGATCGAACATTTGTGCCTTGCTTATTGAGTAAAATTGCAGAACAATCGGCCCGCTGACAAATGTCGCCGTAGCTCTTCAACTCTCTGAAGCGTTTGCGAGCGCGCCGGCGAGAATGGTAATAATGGGCGGCAATTATTACGGTAATTTAAAGGCGCATAGCGATTTGAATATTTTTTCTCAATTCTTATTTAATGTAAGGTGTCGGAAATGTTGCTGACGGCTCGACGGCCGAGTACAACTTTCACGGTGATCCCGAAGCTGCCAGTATTGTGCTGCGTCGAATGAAATGCCCGATCACAGTGGTCCCATGGGAGGCGTTCTTTTTTGAATCGCATTTGGTATGTCGGGTTTTTCCAATAGGAATTTTTTTTTCGGCAATTTTAGCACGAGAATGCCGTCGATTTTCATGCGCATCTCTCCTATGACACCCCGTTGGCGAAATATTTGAAAATGGCGACCAGTGTTGGTGAGTTGAGCGTAAAAAATGCCGAGAACCGTAATTGCCGTCGCGAGACCTTTCTCGCAACATTGCGTGCGCCTTTAAACGGATTACTGTAATCGTCAATCAATAATGTCGATTTTCTCCCGACTATATTTCATTTAATTGCGTTTTTTTTTCAAATTTTTTCTCTCAGGACGCAAAAAATTGGAAGCAAACGGTCGCCAATATGCATATTGCGACGAAATCGCCATGGCGGTCGCGATTGACGAGGAAAAAATAACAAAAGAATCCAAAAATTTGCATGTTGATGTGGAACTCGCCGGTTATCAAACAAGGTTTTGCGAATTATGCGATTTTTTATTTATTTATATTTTTTTCAGAGGCCAAGTTGTTGTCGACTGGATGAATGAATTATGGATGAACGAGTCGAGAAATGTAAATTTTCACACGATTTTGGAAAATTAGTTTATAAATTTTAGGAAGGCAATCGTCCAATCAAATTCATCACGTCGTACAACGTGGAAATCGTTGACAAATGGATTCACGCAGCGGCATCAGGAAGCGGCAAATTCGACTAAAAAAAAGCATTTCGTTGTTTGTTTTTAATTTCAAATGCCAATATTTATTCAAGGAAATGCAAATTTTCGTTTGCGTACAATTTGCCCATCAAGCTCATCATACATATCAAAGTGGCGTCGCGTCGTTTTCATCGTCGGCGTCGTCGGCGTCGTCACTCTCAAACGGGTTCTCATCGTCTTCCTCGTTGTCATTTTTATTCTCTTCGTCGATGCCGTCGTCGTCGTCCTCGTCGTCGTCATCGACTCCTCCAGAATTCGAACTATCTCTTCCGCCTGCTCCCGAGACTGCTCCATCCAAAACTCCAGCGTTCTCATATGGAACATTTTCTGCAAATCGACATCGGCTTTTTAGTTCTAATCGACGGATAATGGGTGTCCACACGAAAATCGAGGGTTAAATGAAGCTACAATAACCGGGGAGTTCAGAATTTCATGAAAAAGTTGTCTAAATCGAGATGCTCATATTCAAAACCAAAAATCAAATGCATTAATTTTCCATTCACCTTAATAAACGCACCTATTGTTGGATTGCTGCGGACAAGTCGCGCGACGCTCGGCGCCTCATTCAACGGCAATTCTGAAATTTGTGACATCCGAATTTTGCCCTACAACCCCCCACGATGAATATGAATCGTCTGATGAATGATGATATCGAGACCTTCTTGAGTTGTCGGCGTGTCGTCGAACGTCGAATGCGCTTCCATCTTCAATCCGTGATCAAGCTTCACCACAGTGATGTTCGATTCTGAAATCAGCGTTCTCATGAAATAATCGATTTTGCAATAAATTACCTAATTCCATTTCAAGTTTGTCGTCATTTCGAGCTGGTCGACCTTCTGAAATTCCGAAAAACGCCGTTTTCAGACACCAAAAAAGAAATGGAGTCCTCCTCCCTCGTAAAACTAACCGGAGCCCAGCAACATGAGCGCAATGCACATCAACACCAGCATTTTTATTATTCAATATAATTTTTTTAAACAAAACGGGAAATGACGGGGACAATTGACGCGACCGAGAGGATTTGGATCGGGGGTTTTTTTTTATTTTGGGGATTAAATTCGATGCATGCTGACGAGCACGAGGATGATCGATATCGCGAGAAATACAACGAATATGATTACGGCGAGGACAGCGAGGCTGAAATATTGAAGTGTTGCGTTTTTTTTTGCCAAAAAAATAATGGAATTAAAAAAAAACAGATTTTGAAACTATGCGGCATGATTGCATAATTGCGCGCCGCACTTGCCGAAGTTTTGTGTTTCAAAATGTTGGTCTCACTTTTCCAGTTTACTCTATAATTTAAAGTTTTTTTTTTCACGATTTTTTTCCAGAATTATTCCCAACAGCGAATACTACACGTTTACACGAAAAAATGTCAGATGAAATGTAGGAAACGTGGAGAAATAGGTAGAAATTGAGATTTCTCGAAAAATTGGATGTTTGCCTAGTGAATTTGATTATTTTCAGACTTCTTTGCATTTAATTTTGTGAGGATAAAAACCGAGGATTTGGAGGAGATATGCGAGGTTCGTCATTATTTTAAATGAAAAATTTTAATAAAAATTACGCGTAATTTTTTCTAGTTCACTTTTAGGGTTTTAAATCTGAAAGATTCTTCATTTCACTAATCAAATAGAGAAAAAATACTACTTTAATTCTCAATATTTTGATAATTATTAAAAAATTTCCATAGAAATTAATTTCAAAAAAACTCACCGTTTCTGAATTCGATGGCTAAACGATTTGCGAATCGTCGGCGGCGGTGTCAGCGGATCGGTAGCGGAATTGCTGCAAAACTCGACAATTTTCTCACCGCATTTTTTGTATCTGTGCCAAAAGAACCCACCCATACATCATTTCTCGAATATATGTAAGTCGCCACACTCAATTCTTCAGACATGGCTGTCTGTGTGGTAAAATATTCAATTGAATTGAATATTTTATAATAAGGACGCTAATCCGGATAACAATAGGACAAAAAAATGTGGCTGGAATGATGGCTTTGCCAAACCACAAAATTGGTGATTTTTGAAGGGTCGATAAAAAAGGCACTCACACCGAACCCGAAATGGTGATATCGAAATCAAGACTATCCTCATCGGCGTCATTCATCGCTTCATTGGCCTCAAAATCACAAAAATTGGCGGCGATTCTGGAGAGTGAAGCGAAAAACACGAATGAAGGCAAAACACGAAATTTTCGCCAAAAAGTTTTCGCTCGTCCGAATCCATCATTTGCTTCGCGCGGTTTCGTTTTTCTTTTTTTGGTGCTTCGACGACGTCCCACGCGAGAGAAAAAAAAAGACGCACGGAATATGTGTTGAGAGTCGCTCAATCTTCAGGGATTTGCCTTCACAGTTTCAACTTCTTCGTGTGTTTTTTTTTTCTCGCGACGGCTTATTGGCTACCGTAATCCGAAGGATGATTCCGACAGTAATCCATTGAGCGATGCGCCGCCCCTTTTTTTCAGATGCCCTAGCATTCAGAATTTAAATGTTTGTTTGAATACAGTAATTTTGTAATGCCGCCCCCCCCTCATGATTGGGAAGTACGGTAGGAAAAAAAGAATTTCGACGTGGGCGATCTTGTGTACTCCACACGGACAATTCGACGCTAAACCCGGCGATTTTGACAATGCAGTTAGGAAAAAAAATCGTATTCTTTTTTTTTCGCGACGCATTTTCACTCGAAACACTCGCTGGCGCCGAGTTGACAGTGTGTTTGGCAGAAATCCACTCGTCGCGCGCACCGATGTGCAAATAATAATCTCGACGAGTTGTACTCGTCGGCTGTCCCCCGCCTCCACATCCATAGGCCACTTATCTCGGCCCCGCAACAAACTTTCTTCCCGTCATCCTTGTACATTGTTTCATTTCTCGTTGTTGCAGCCCGAATTTGCCAGGCGCCCATTGATCATCGAGAATGTCCGACGAGGAGGAAGTCTAGTATGTTTTTCAATTTTTCTTTAAGGATTATCGTATGCGCCTTTAAACTGACCTACTCTAAACGTTTACTGTACAACTATTATGCATAGGAATATGTGCCTTTAATTTTGGTTACTGTACATCAAACTCAATCTACCTTTTAATAACCTAATTTTGAAAATTTTGGAGGGTGTTGCTTAGTTACTGTAAGTTATGCGCCTTTAAACTACTAGATTTTGGAACGTGTGCATATTGGTTACTGTACATAGGTTACTGTATTTTAAACCATGTGACCCTTCAGGAATTCTTGTGAGCTATGCGTGTTTAAAGTAATTTATATTGAAACAAGACAATTATTTGTTTCTATGCGCCTTTAAAATTTTACCGTCGTCAAACGAATTTCTGCAGTTCCGAGGAGGAGTACGAGGAGGAGGAAGAAGTTGAGGAGGAGATCGAGGAAGCCGCCGAAGAGCCCGAAGATCTTGCCGAGCAAGAAGAGGATGATAGGTTCGAGCACACGAAACGCGCCTCTATCGACACCATCGGCCACCATCAGTACTTCTTTTTTTTTCTATTCTATTCTGCTTTATTTTTCGCCTCTCACTTTCATTTCCACCCGATTTCATTTATTTTATTTTCTTTCCCTTCTTCTAACTGTTGGCACCGACTAACCCGAATTTGAGGGGAATTGAATTGATATTTTTACGCGTGTTTTTTTTTCTAGCAATGAAAACTTGAACGAGGCTGAAAAGGCGATGCTGGTAGGTCAAACAAAAAAGGAAAATTGAGAACGCAATGACCAATTTTTAGGCGGCCAAAAAGCGTCACGAGGATGAGGATCAGGCGAAACTTCAGGATTATGAGGAGCGTCGTCGCGCTGAACGCGAGAAGGAAGAGGAGGAGCTGAAGAAGCTCAAAGAGAAGCAGGTTAGCGCTTTGGGTTTGAGATTTCCATAACATTTATTATTATTATTATTATTTTGTATTCTTTCTCCACAGGAGCAACGCCGTCTTCAACGCGAGCAAGAGGAGCGCGAGGCGGCTGAGAGGAAGCGTCAAGACGAGGAACGCCGCAAAAAGGTTGGTGTTGTTGCATTTATTGGTTGCTTGCGTGTCAAACTCATCCCAATTTGGACGATGCGAATTTGACAGGAGGAAGAGGAGCGTCGAATGCGCGCCGAAGAGGACAAGAAGCGCAAAGAGGAGGAGAAGATGAAAAAAGCACAAATGATGGGCGGCGGATTTCAGCAGGGCGGCGCGCCGGGACGGTAAGCTCATCAACGGGGTTGCATGATGTTTCATTGAAATCGTTTCCAGCAATTTCGTCATCAACAAAAAGCCGGACAGCGGCGTCGGCGATCGATTCGGTAATATTGTGCAGGCGAAACAGGAGATGGGAATGACGAAAGAGCAGCAAGAAGAAGCGAAAGGCCAATTCATGGCCAACATTCGCAAAAGCATTCCCGACGTGTCGACAATTCTGCCGAGCGATCTCAAAGCGCGCATCAAAGAGCTTCATCAGCGTATTTGTAAGCTCGAGGCGGTCAAATATGATCAGGAGAAGCGGCACGAGCGGCAGGAATATGATGTAAGTTGTTGGCTAGGATGGGGTCGAGAAGGATTACTGTGGCTCTTGGAATTGTTACAGTAAGAACGTTCCTTTGCCTTGTTGTTGTTTTCGTTGTAAGACCCCATTAAGCGCTCCTGAGATTACTGTAGTTTTGTTTTTTTTTAGTTGAAAGAACTCAACGAGCGTTCGCGTCAAGTCGCGCGCGCCAACATCGCCAAAAATGGGCAGACGAGCGTCGACGACACGAACGGCCGACATCCGCCAAAGGTGCAAATTTCTTCGAAATACGATCGTCAAATCGATCGAAGAAACTTCAAAGAGCGCCGTCAGGTTTATGAGAATGTGAGAATATTTTCGTTGATTTCGCATTTTTGATGATGATCGATCGATCCTTCTAGAAATCGGCGTTCCCATGCTTCCCCGGTGTTCCGCCACCGCCAGCGATCTATGAGAAGGTGATCAAGAAGCTTGATTACGAGATTCAGGAGGAGGAAGAAGCTGCGGCGGCGGCAGCTGAAGAGGAAGACGAGGAAGATTATTAGACGATTCCTATGTTACCTCTGTTCCTTTTTTTGGTTTTTAGCAATAAACTTCAATTATTCTTTTATTTCTGAGAGAATGTTCCTTTAATCCGGATTACTGTAGATCATTTTTTTGTCAAATTCCTTCCTTCAGGTGATAAGGAGAGGAGCGAGACGATTGATTTAAAATTTTGAATTGCCGCGTTGGCTCTTGCGGGGAAAACTCAAAGCTGATTTTTTCTTGATTTTATGATGCCGGAAATGCAAGAACAATGGTCCCATTGATGATGATTTTTGCTGGAAAAAATTGGTTAAAGTATTACGGTAGAAGGCCGGTGGGTACAAGATTTTTAGAGTAAACTAAAAAAAGATTCAGCGATAAAAAAACCACTTGATGACTAACTCGCCGTCGTCCGTTTCCGTGTTGTTTTCAACCGCAAAAAAAAAGAATTTGGGCAAGGTTGTTGTATAAATAACTGGTTTAGGCGGGTCGGAAATTCCTTGGATGGACACACCGAAATTGGTTGGCCTTGTTTGGGGGGTGGTTGAAAACGATGGCAAAAAAAATCAATTGAGAATTCGCTCGAAATTCCAATTTTTTGTAGGCCTCTAAAAAACGCTGAATTTTCTTTTTTTTTTTTTGAGAGAGACTTGTTTAAAGGCGCATAGAGTCTCAAAGAAATTAAGCTTGCATGCTCCTTTAATTACAGTAGCCGATAAAAGGAATTTGAGAACCACAATTTTCAATTTTGTTTTTTTTTTAGAAATTAGATTTTGAAAGAATAGAGATAATATTTGTGTTACCGTATCCCACGCTACAGTAACCATATTCATAGGTACCGTAATCGTTCCCAAGGTCCCCTTAACCTTCATTATTCGAAAAAAAAAACACCCAACGTCATTGATTTGGACGTTCACAGTGCGGATTATCACTGAACCATTTCTATTGACCTTGAAAAAAAGAAAAAAAATAAAATAAAAGACGAACTTGATTTTATTTGTCGCAATAGGTTCCTGCCACGAAATGCGCGATTACGGTAGCGGCGAACATTTCCAAAAAAGAAGTCCAACAAAAAAAATGGTGAATCGCGTTATCAAATTCTCTCTCGCGCGCGCGTCGAGGCTTCACTGTGTTCAGATCGAAGACGTCGCCGACCCCCACCGTGCGCGGTTTTTTATCAGTTTTCTTGTCTCACCGCGAACATTGGCCGTGAATTGACCATTGGTTTCGGTCCCACACCGCGCGCGCCGCGCCTTCGGGTTGTCCTCGCGATTTTTTTTTCGATGGCACAATTCGCCGACACCAATTTGACATTTATGTTTTTTCTAATGAAAAATTGCATTTTTCAAACCAAGAATCCCTTTTTCCAATAGTTTTTTTGCCCATTTCTCAATCTGCAATTTCAGTGTCTCTCTTTTTTTTTCGTTCCAGATGGAGGACATCGACTTGGGCCGAGACCGTTCGCATCTCATCGATCTCATCTACGGGGTTAATCATTTTTTTTTTGTATTTCTAGAAATTTATTGAAATTATTCACCAAAAATTTTCATTTTTCATTGTGTTTTCTTTTGCAGAAGAGCAATGGCTCGGAGAGTGTTTCGCCGTCATTGGAAAGTCGCGAGACGTCGATTCCGCTGAGCGACGCGTCGACGAAGCCGCTTAAGAAGAAACCGAAATCCAACGCCGTCAAAGAGAAGAAGGTTAACGATTTCACAATGTTTGCCCTTGAGACGTTATCACTTCCCTACCGAACATCAAATAGATCAATTACCATTGAAACAAGTTACCAAATTTGGGGCTTAAATCGCTTAAAATTGATGTAAATTTTAGTAAAATTGCAGAAGATTTTGTATATTTTTAACTAGCCCCCTCTAAATGATTTTTTGGCGGTTTCTGATGTTAAATTCGATCATTTGAAGTGAATTTTAGAAAAAAAAAACAAAATTTAGGCGTGAAATTGTTACTCAATGATTGGTATGCGCCTTTGAACGCGTTACTGTAGCTATTTTTATTTCCCCTCAGAAAATCCTATTTTTTCTATTTTTCTTTGTTTCGAGGCAAACTTTTTTTTAAAATATTTCCATTGAAATTATATAAAAGTAAAATTGTATTAATCAAATATTCAGCCGGCAAAGAAGGTTGCGTGCTCAAAAGGCGTCTGCATTTGCTTATTCCTATTCTTCGTGCTCGCCGTCCTTTTCGCCGCCTTCGCCGCCCATTATGTCACCAAACAGGAATATTCGAACATGTCAGATAGCGCAAATGAGCCAATTGTGAGCTGCAAGAATTTGTAAGAATGAAAAAAGGAATGTTGAAAATGACAATTTATTTTTTGCAGTACCCGCCCCAATAAGCGACCATACAAGCCAATAGTGAATGAGGAAGACGCCGATGAGAATGACGTCGTCAAGACTCCAACGAAAGAGGAGCTCGCGCTCCCCAAGAGCCTCAACCCAGTATGGTAAGCGGTTTTTTAATTGATAATGCCAAAATTGGTATTTCTTGAAGGTACAAAGTGAGTTTGACGCCGAAAGCTGGCGCTGCTGATGGTGTCGCCGAGGTGAAGCTCAAAGTCGAAGAGCCGACGAACAAGATTGTGTTGAACTCGAAGGGAATCGATTTCACCAAAGATTTGGCGAAGATCCAGATTTCGAAAGAGACCACTCGAAATAAGGTGAGAATAATTCGGTCGGTCGTTTTTTTTTGTCATTTTGATGTTTAGCGCGATTCGGAGCCGGTGGCGAACACGAAAACCAATCGGGTGATGGCGGAAGGGTCCGGCGAGGAGCCGACGATGGAAACCGCTGTTTTGGAAGACGCCGGCGTCAAAGTCACCGGAATCGAATTCGACGACGTTTTGGAGAAGGCGGTGATCACGCTCGACAGGCCGCTCGCGAAAGGCGCCGACGTCGTCGTGAAGATTCCGTTCTCGTCGCAAGTCACCGGCAACAACGGTTTGCGCGAATACAAGTACTCGGTGGGCGATGAGACGAGAAGCATGTTCACCACACAGCCGAGCTACGCCTACCTTCGTCACATCTTTCCGAGTTTCGATCAGGAATCGTTCAAAGCGCCCGCCGGATTGACATTGTCGCATTCGAAAGGATCGAAGGTGGTGGCGAATACCGATGTGACTACCGATGATGATGGGTAAGCGTGTCTTCCTAGGTGCTTGATTCTAGCTGAACCCTTTTAGGGATGCCTTGACGTCGACATTGGGTAAAGTGATCGATCCTGACTTTGTTATCGGCGATCTCAAGTCCCAGCAAGCCAATACCACTGGTGGCCTTGAGTTGAGAGTTTGGACGCGTCCCGAACTGGAGAACAGCACGCGGTATGCTGTCGACATCGCCAATCAAGTGGTCGACGCTCTTGAGCATCTCCTTCAGTCGCGTCTGGATTCGAAGAGGCTCGACATCGTCGGTGTGCCCGGCTTCGAGGCTGGCAATCGTGTGAGTCGCTCATTCATTGTGGTGCCCGAAGAGGAGCTCGTCTACAACGAAGGCGGCAACGATGTTCAGCAGAAGGTTCGGATTGCGAGACGATTGGCGAACCGCATCGCCGCTCAATGGTTCGGTGGCATCACCAGTCCGGAAGAGGTCGGCACCTTCTGGCTCAACGACGCGCTTCCACGCTATTTAGAGGTTGAGGTCCTTCAGAGGATCCTCGGTGTCGATTCCGACGATTTGTGGACGTATGAGATTGAGCAGCTTCTCGAGCACGACGCCAAAGCGAACTCGGTGCCGTTGAGAGTCAAAAATTTGTTCTCATCGACCGAAGCGGCCAATTTCGATCACGTGTTTGTTGGAGGAAAAGGGGCGGCGATTTTGAGAATGTTGAGGAAGTCAATTGGGGATGAGTACTTCAACAAGGCCATCAGAGTGGGAAGAATTTGACGAAAGCCAGTTGATTTTATTTTTTCCAGAATTTCGTCACCTCCTACCGTACCTCGTACCCTTACGATGACGGACTCTGGAAGTCGTTCGACAAATCATTGGGCGATTCGGTGCGCGGATGGAACAACGAGACGCTCGACGTCGGCAAATTCGTTGCCACTTGGGTCGATCAAATCGGATTCCCGTTGGTGGCGGTGGAGAAGCTTGACGGCGACAACGCCGAGTTGTCTCAAGAGCGATTCCGGAACGACAGGAAGACGACGGAGAAGTTCAAATATCGCAACGCGAAATTCTGGTTCAACTGGGAGGTTCCATTGTTTATGAGCTCCGCTGACAAGGCACAATGGCTTCATGAGGCGTTCAGAATCCCATTGAAGGAATCTGAAACGATTTTGCTCAACACCGACGCCAACGGATTCTATCGTGTGAATTATGAGGAGAATCGTTGGAACAATATTGCCAACCAGCTCAAGAACAACCACGAGGTGACTTGGTCTGGTTTTTTGTCATACGGTAATCGTTGTAGGAGTTCACACCGCGCACTCGCGCTCGCCTACTCGCCGATTCGTTCACACTGGCCAACAGCAAGGTGATCCCGTTCGAGACCGCGCTCAATATCACCCAATACCTTCCGAAAGAGACCGCTGTGACGCCGTGGCTCGTCGTCGCCGACAAGTTTGTCGAGCTTCTCGATCGCCTCGAAGGCACCACACTGCAGGATCGCGTTAATGTGAGCCTCTCATCGTCGTCGCGTCTAGGTGAATGAAGGAAATTGCAGAAGTTCGTCGCTGACAAGATCGAGGCGCAACTTCAGCGAGCATTAGCGAGCGATGATGAGCCGGACTATCTGAAGAGTGTGCTCAGGGACAAGCTGTTCGATCTTGCCGCTCGCACGAAACCCGAGAGGTCCAACGCGAAACTCAATGAGGTGTTCCAGACGGGATTCCTCGCCAATTGCGACGGCTCCAAGTTGAGCAGCGAGTGCTCCAAGTATGATAGGCTTCATTATTGATAAGTGTGAGACGGATTCATTTCAGGGTTCCTGGAGACCTACGCGACAAGGCCTATTGTAATGGCGTCGAGTTTGGAAATGACACGGTGTTCCGCACTATTCAGACTTTGGCTCAGAAGGAGATTGATGGAAGGGAGAAAGAGGTGCTGGTGAAGAGTTTGGCGTGCTATCGGGATCCTAGAAGCTTGAGAAGGCTGATTTTGGACTCATTGAATAGCACTAGCTTGACCGCTGAACTTCTCGCAGCAATGAATAAGCGGCCGGTTGGAAGAGAGGTGGCGACGAATTTGATAATCGACAATTGGTCGAAATTGAAGAAGAAGTAAGTGAAAGGCAATCTGCGGACGATTCGACGGTTTTCAGGTTCGCTGACGATCCGGAATCGCTGAACGAGATCGTCAAATCGGGAGTGGTTGTTGAGAATGAGCGTGAGAAGAGCATGATCGAGACCTTCCTCGATCATCATCATAAGAGCACGTCGCCGATATCGGCGTTTGATGAGAAGCTCGAATCGGGAACATCGAGCATTTATTGGAGAAAAGAGCGCACCAATGAGCTCAATGACTATCTTGATGGCAAAATGAAGGGACCATCGAGTTCGGGTGACGCGGAGAATAGCGAGGAGAATTAATTGAGTTGAACTGTATGTTTCGTCGTCTTACTTAATTATCTCATTAATCATAATTATGTGGCATAATCGGAATTCGAATACTTACTAAACCGGTTTAAAATTGTTGAATTGTTGCGATGTATGATAAATAAATGTAGAATTTGAAAAAAAAATTTAGGCCTGATAATGTTATTCAATTTTTGGCGTGCGCCTTTGAACGCGTTACTGTAGTTGCGTTTATTTTTGTTCAGAAAACTCACAAGACTATTTCTTTTTTTTTGTTTTGAAATAATTTTTTACATTTTTTATTGAAATTCATGCTAGAATATAAAAAATTTATAAAATCTCCAAGGTTTCCTGGAATTTGGAGTTTTTTTTGTAAAAATTAATAGAAAAAAAAAATAATAGAAATAATAAAAGGAATTTTTTTATTCTAATAGTTGATAAGATACTAAATCAAATAACATTCAGCAAAGATTTACAATTTTCGATTCAAAACGCCACTGATAAGATAGTCGAAAAAATGGTTCAGCAAAAATGGGCGGAGTTTCAAGGTCCGTTTCGACGTCAGAACCAACAAAAATATAGAAAACGTTAAGCTACTTAACAGTGATTCCCGTTATCGCAGAAAAAAGTCAGACTGTCTCAATATAGACAGATAATGAGTGCACCTATATAAGAAGGAAAAAAAAAATAGCGCCTGATTAGAGCCTAGTCATGATTTTTTTACTATTTTTAGTGGCAATTTGCTCGGCGAGCAATTTTCAGCAGGTAAAGCTTGTCGCCAGAACGATCTATTTTTTGTTTGCAGAATCCTTTCACTCAATTCGACTCGTCAAAAAATGCGGCGATCAGCGGTCAATGCGCGAACGACACGCGAAAATGGATCGCGTCGCTTCGGATGTTCATGACGGCCGCCGAACACTGCACCATCACCTTGAATTGCACCAACGACGATCGGCGCGCGATGCGCGAGAATCGCTACGCATTCCAACGTGAGTCCATCGCCATTCCGTTCATTTGACTATCGTCTCGCAGAATTGGACGCGTTCGGCAAATTTCCGGTGCCGGGTCTCGCCGAGCTCACCAACGTGCTCGACGGCTCCTATCAAGAATGTCAGCGAATCGACGGAATCGCCTACGAGACGAATTATTGCTATTTGATGTTGTTCCCTGGAAAGGTATGTAGGCCAAATTTATTTTTTAAAGGTCTCGTCGAATTGCAGCACACCAAGTGCCATTTTCCCGACGGCCTCTTCTACAGATCAGCCGTGTGTATGCCGAAATCGTGTGGGAAGCATGTAGGCGATGGCTTCATTACGAAAATCAAAAAAAAAAATCGTTTCAGGACCTCGTTCGACTATTCAATGACCATTCCCGTCTGCCGTTCAAAGCGTGCGCGGCATTTTGCGTCAAACGAGACGTCGAAAAAGACTCGGCGTTTTGGGGTTTCACGTGGGGGGCGCGCTTCGCATTTCGCCGTCGTCAATACTCATCGTTTCAGAATATTCATGATCGTCGCCGTCGGCGTTGCCCTTGTGGCAACGGTGATCGATTTTCTGCGCGAGACAATTTTGGGAATCGAGTCGGCCCGCGAGAAAATGCTTGGCCTACGCATCCTCTACGCGTTCTCGTTCTGGACGAACGCCGGTCAAATTTTGTCGGTGAAAGAGCAAAAGGCGGGCTTCATCAAATCGTTGGACTGCATTCGACTATTCTCGATGTCTTGGGTTGTGTTCGGCCACGCCACCTACTATTTCACGTTTTCCGACACGCTCGCGCCGATCTCGACGGTGCGCAACAAGATCTACAATCATTTGGTGTTGGACGCGTTCCTGTCGGTCGACACGTTCTTCATGCTTTCCGGAATCGTCGTCGCTTATCTGTTCTTCAAGGTACGCAAAAGGCGATCGCCTCACAAATCGAATTACACACTTTTGCAGCAGCGCCCGAAGCCGGCAATCGTGAGAAGCCCTCTGACATGGACGCTGTTTTACGTGCATCGCTATCTGAGGTAATGGTCCCTAGAATCGTCGCGATGGTTGTTCGCTTGCAGACTCACACCTCCCGTCATGCTTTTCATTGGATTTTACACCGTCTACATGCCATTTCTCAAGGGTCCCTATATGGCGTCGTTTGGAAGTTTGAATCGTTGACAGACGGATGAAAAAATGAATGAATGCTTCAGATGAATACGCGGCCGAAGTTGACAATTGCAAACAGCGTTGGTGGCAGAATTTAATCTACATCAACAATTTCGGGCCCGAAATGAAATCGGTAGGCGCTGGGGGGTCTCGAAGCGAACGAAACTCAACGATTTCCAGTGCTACGGTATCACTTGGTATCTCGCCGCCGACACACAAATGTACGTGGCGGCGCCGATCGTCCTCATCGCGTTCTACTACAAATCGATTGTGGGTCTCGCAACGGCAACCGTAATCGGGATAGCGAGCATCGTGGCCACCTATGTCATCTATGCGACCCATTCCTATCTGCCGGCGGAATCGATTGGCAACGAGTTGGGCGACTAGTGGTGTTGGAATTGATTTATTTTGATTTTGCAGTCCCCACGGCAACTACTTCAATTTGATCTACGGCAAACCGTGGATACGTTGCACACCGTACCTCGTCGGCATCGTCACCGGCTACTTTTTGGCGATCAACGGCGCCCGAAAGCCGCGATTGCACTTGATGCTGATACTCATCGGATGGGCGTTGGCGTTGGCCGTCGGACTCGCCTGCGTGTTGTCGAACTACGATTATGATCGCGGTGTTGTATGGAGGTTTTCGTTCGCGTCGATCCCGATTTCGATGGTCCCTCTAATTTTCAGCGCGTTTGGCAAAGCGACGTTCAACAATTTCCAGCGGCTTGGATGGTCGCTCGCGCTGGCCTGGACCATTATCGCCAATCATTTGGGATGGGGAGGTGATGAATGATTCGTTATACGGTCGAACCTGGCGTGTCTTTCGTTGCAGGACCCATCAACGCGTTCATGTCGCACCCGATTTGGCAGCCGTTTGGACGATTGTCGTATTGCGCTTATATCGTACACTGGGTGGTTATCGGCTATTATATGAACGTCGGCGAGCGCCCAATTCATTTTTTCAATATCTGGCAAGTGGTAAGATGGTCCCATGAATAAATGGTCCCGTTTTTTTATAAACATACATTTTTTTCAGTATTTGTACTACGCCATTCCCATCACGTTTTTGTCGTTCTTTTTTGCATTTTGGTGGAGCGGTTTGTTTGAATTGTCAACGCTGAAGTAGGGCGTCGCCGACATTTTTCACGAATTTTTGGGGATTTCAGACTTGAAAAAATGCTCATCGAAGCAATAATTGGACGTCAACCGAGCGCGCCGAAAATTGAAGATGTTAGGAAGACTGCTAGCTGGGATGTTCCGCAAAATTGCGCATAATTACACATAATTACTTGGCATTTTGTACATAATGGATCTATTCAGTGAATGTAAATTAAACAAAAACGACAAATTTTCATTATGCAGCGATGTCGTTTTTGTCGCAATAAGCGCTTAATTTTACTGAGGGGTACTGTAGATCGCGGGTCGATATTTCAAAAAAATTGGCACATGCTCCTTGAATATCGATTTTTTTAAAATATTTTTTATATTAAAATTTTCGTATTTTCACTCGTTTTTCGCGGATTTTTTTAAATAATTTAAACTTTTTTTTTGAGTAACACTTTTAAATAATAATTTCATATCGTTTTCGTTTTTTTCTATTCCAAAACTGAATCGATTTTATTCGAATATTGTTTTAATTTAAAGAAATTGAATATTTCAGATCGTTCCATGGCTAATTTGGATAGGTTACGAAATAAGAAAAAGGCTATAGTAAGAAATACAATTTAAACAAAAAACAAATAAATGAATTTATAGATTGCACTGCTTATGAAAAAACGAATTATTTTGGTTTGGATATTGAAACAAAATGCATTGAATGCATCTGAAACAATTGAAGTGATCAAGAAACAGAGCTTCGATCTTTTTTGTGAAAAAGTCAACCGATTAGTAGATTGTGGTGGTATTGAGGTAAGGAAACAAGTAAAACAAGTGAATTTCTGCATAAGTAATGTAGAATAAATTAAGTTCGTGACCGGCGTTTCTAACAGCACGTTCATGGAACTTCTGAAGATATGCCGAAATCACGAAGGTCGAATCAATGCGACAATTCGATTGGCAGTTTTCTTAAAATACACAAGAGAAGGTTATTTTTTAGTTGTTTGTTAGTTTTTTACAAGCATTAAAATTATAAAATTTATAGGTATTAGCCAAAATCTTCTTGCGAAGGAAATTGGAGTTTCGCAATCAACGATTTCTCGACTAGTTAGAGATACAATCGAGGATATGGTATTTTCAAAACCACTATCGGTAAAATTGAAGTTTTAGGTATGACGGCTTGGAAATTGTGGGATTCGATAACGCGCGATTTCAATAGACATGTGTTGCGAATCCAAAATGCTCGATCTGGAACTGGAACATTGGAATCATCATTTCCGTTTGCGGAATATTTACAGTTTTTGGATGGAGTCAGACACAAAAGACAAGTTAAAAAGTAAGTTTACCTGTTTTTTGTTAATTTTTTTTACTACAGTGCCTTCATATGCGGTGATAAAAGTATTGAGTTGCTTGAATCGCGGGGACCCTCGGATAGTCCGAAGACTGCTAAACGAAGAAAATCAGGTTTCTAGCAATAAAAAATGGAGTTTTATGGGTATGTTTTAGACAGCGATGAGCTGATGAGTATGTTGCGCGAGACGAACAGCGAAATCAAGCAGCTGCTTAGATCGAATGATGAGGAAGCCAAGGAAACCCCCAAATGTAAATTTGACCGATTGTGCAGGGTCATGGCCAGCCACGTTGCGGATTGGCCTGAATTGGATCAAATTCAAGCCGAAGCGAAAGCGATCGCTTTCATCATGGATCTCCAACCGACGGGCAAAAGAAATGAGCAGACGACTTCTCTCAGTTTGTTGGACGAAAATTATTTTTAAGTATTTTTTTTATTATATTAACAATTAAATTTAAAAAGATAAACATTAAACATGATAAAGAAGATAATTTTTTAATGCCGTTCTTTGATCTTCGGCATCGCTGTATGGGTCTTGAAGTAAGGGAAAGTTGTGGTCAGGTGGAAGATCGGGAGGAGCACCTAGTGATATGTTATGTACAACTGAAAGTGCTACAATGAGGGCGCGCGAAGAAGACGGGTCCATATTAAGGGCTTTTTTGAAAATCTGGAATTTCGACTGCATCACACCAAAAAAATTTTCAATTTTCACCCTAGTTGCCGACATAATCTCGTTAAAACGCATGTTTTCTGGAGTCAAGGAAAGCTGCCTATAGGGTTGCATAAGAAACTTAGATAGTCCAAATCCGTTATCAGCAATTATAAATGGAGGCATTATAATGGATGAATTCGGAAGCGGGCGATATCCACCTATTGTGGCTACATTTTCGAGGAGTGCTCCCAAAGGCCCATCTCTGAACATTTGGGAGTCCGAATTTACTCCAAGCTCAGAGATTTGCAAATATATAACACGCAAGTTTGCATCACAACAAAAAAGAGAATTAAATGAATAAAACGACTTATAATTATAATTTAACGATCCTGTATGCGCAGGATGCTCGATCTTCCAATGCTTTCCATCCAATATGGCAAAACATGGAATTCTTCGACGAGGAGTTCGATCAGAAGAGTTCATAAATCCTTCTTCCAGACGAATTAATTCTCTTCGATTTTGTGGCAATCGGATTTGTTCTCCGGCAACTTGGACGATATCCTCGATTGTATCTCTAACTAGTCGAGAAATCGTTGATTGCGAAACTCCAATTTCCTTCGCAAGAAGATTTTGGCTAATACCTATAAATTTTATAATTTTAATGCTTGTAAAAAACTAACAAACAACTAAAAAATAACCTTCTCTTGTGTATTTTAAGAAAACTGCCAATCGAATTGTCGCATTGATTCGACCTTCGTGATTTCGGCATATCTTCAGAAGTTCCATGAACGTGCTGTTAGAAACGCCGGTCACGAACTTAATTTATTCTACATTACTTATGCAGAAATTCACTTGTTTTACTTGTTTCCTTACCTCAATACCACCACAATCTACTAATCGGTTGACTTTTTCACAAAAAAGATCGAAGCTCTGTTTCTTGATCACTTCAATTGTTTCAGATGCATTCAATGCATTTTGTTTCAATATCCAAACCAAAATAATTCGTTTTTTCATAAGCAGTGCAATCTATAAATTCATTTATTTGTTTTTTGTTTAAATTGTATTTCTTACTATAGCCTTTTTCTTATTTCGTAACCTATCCAAATTAGCCATGGAACGATCTGAAATATTCAATTTCTTTAAATTAAAACAATATTCGAATAAAATCGATTCAGTTTTGGAATAGAAAAAAACGAAAACGATATGAAATTATTATTTAAAAGTGTTACTCAAAAAAAAGTTTAAATTATTTAAAAAAAAATCCGCGAAAAACGAGTGAAAATACGAAAATTTTAATATAAAAAATATTTTAAAAAAATCGATATTCAAGGAGCATGTGCCAATTTTTTTGAAATATCGACCCGCGATCTACAGTACCCCTCAGTAAAATTAAGCGCTTATTGCGACAAAAACGACATCGCTGCATAATGAAAATTTGTCGTTTTTGTTTAATTTACATTCACTGAATAGATCCATAAATTGTTGAATTTTTGTGGATGCTACGGTACGCAATGGTTCATACATCGTGACGACAAAATGCGGACCCGATGATTTTTTGAATTTTGTCCTTTCTATTTTTGCTTGTTTTCTATTACAAACTTTCAGTTTTTTCAGTTTTTTAATGGAAAGCACTTCTCAAAATGAGGAATGCGATAATGAGCAAGATTTGCTCAAGGTGAACCTCGAAATTTGAATGAAAAAGCAAATGACAGGTTCAGAGGTATAAAACGGTGGCGAATCGGCATTGTTTCCTATTCGACGACGCGCCGTTGCGGCATCAAATCGTGAAATTAATGCTAATGGCAGAGTAATTGGCCGAATTAAAATTAAAAAATCGCGAATTTAAGGCATCGTATAATTGAGACGAACGAATTGCCGCCGGAGCTGCCCGAATTTTATCCGTGCGAGGTGTACCCAGTCGAGAAGCGCGTCGATTTTGCGACATTGTGCAACGACAATTTGAAGCCGTGGAATTCGAAGAAGCGCGCCGAGAGCACAATTCGCTCCAAGACCATCATTCATTATTATAAGGCGAATGAGAGGCAGGAGTTGTGCAACGCGACGAAGGATGACGCGGAGATGTTTTTGAAAATTAATTCATACACACTGCCAAGGTGTCAGGCGCTGAAAAAGAAGGTAAAATTCAACAAATTTTGAGCAATCATTGAAATTTTTGCAGATTTATCAAATGTTCTCGACCGTCGATGGTGCCCGAATCACCCCATCGGTGGTCCTTTACACATTCGATGGCACCGAGCCGGTACCGCGTTTTCAGCCGACGAAGCCGTCGTCGAAACCGTTGGATGATAACATTCGAAAGATTTTGGAGGGCTATTTGAAGGTTGTCGGACCTGAGCAGGCGCTTCGATTGATGGCCAGGGACCATCAAATACCGCCGGAAGGGATGCCGACGATTTCGCAGGTAATTTGTCGATCGAAACGAAAAACAAAGTCAAGGGCGTTTTAGGCGAAATATTGCTCGAGATTGCTCATTAGACAGAATAATAAAGAAATTATTCGTGAAAAGCCGGCGTCGAAAATGGTAGCACTTGAAATTCATATAAGTTTAGAAAAAATTTTTTTAAAGGTTGATTACATGTATGAAACGCCAATCGATATCCCAAATGAGTATGTAAGTCAATTTTGGTTCATCTCTTTCAAGCATTTTAAAGGCGCATGCCGCTAGACTAAAAAAAATTAGGGTTCTTTCATTAAATAGGTGATTGTAAGCGGAAATCTTTACAAAAAATCTCCGACTTCCTGATTTTGATAGAAATTGACCACAATTTGGTCGTTATCAATCAAACAACTTGTTCTGTTTCTCGTGTTTCTCTAACTCTCTCCGTTTTGTGTAGTCTCTCTCTGCGTCTTTTGCCAACCTGAGCGAATATCGCATTTTAGGAGGTCGCCTCGACGTCTTCCGACGAGCCGCCGACAAAAATGTTCTCCGATGGTGTTCTCGCGACGTCGACGGTGCCGAATCCCGATTTTGACGCGATTCTGATTCCGATCGCCGACATTCCCGACGATTCGACGATTCCGGTCGACGAGCGCGCTCTGCGCAATCAATTGGCGTCGCTTTATCGACTCGTCGATCGATTCAAATGGAGTCAGGCGATTTATAATCATATAACGGTGAGCACCGTTTTTTTGTTGAAAATTTCAAAAAAATAGTGCAGGTTCGACTTCCTGGGGACCACGATGAAATTCTGATAAATCCTTTCGGGATGTTCTACAACGAGGTGACGGCGTCATCATTGATCAAAGTCAACCTGGAAGGGAATGTGATTGATCAAGGCTCGACGAATTTCGCAATTAACCAGGTCGAGTTTCGTTTTGTTTTCAGAAAAATTGCCTCTGAAATCCCGAAAATTTGCGGGTCTAAAAAATTTCAACGCAGGAAAAAAAGATTTGTCTTTAAACCCACTGATTTTTGGCTAAAGTTTTCAATTAAAAAAAACCAAAAAAATGTGAAAATGAAATAATTGTTTAAAGGCGCATAGCTAGGCGTGGGTTGGGTCTCATGGCGACCGATTGTTAGCAAAATAAATCGCCAACTTCAGGCTGGCTATGTGCTCCATTCGGCGATCCATGCTGCTCGTCGCGAAGTCCAATGCGTCATCCATCTCCATCATCCATCGGTCGTCGCCGTCTCGGCGATGAAATGCGGATTTTTGCCGATCAGCCAGGAGGCGATGATCGTCGGACCCGTCGCCTACCACGATTTTTGTGTGAGTTTTCATCGCGACGCGATTCGTCATGGATGACATCGTCTTCTTCCAGGGAATTCTTGTCAACGAGGCGGAAAAGGTGTCGATTGTCGAGGATCTCGGCGAGAAGAATGTGATGATCCTTCGCAATCATGGATTCGTCGTCGCCGCCGATTCGATCGAGCACGCGTTTAGCATTGCTTTTCATCTTGTCATCGCTTGTGAGACGCAGGTAGTCTTTTTTTTCTTGTTGACACGTTTTTAATGATAAAGGAAAAGAAAATTGTTGATTTTCGAGAGATTCGCAAAATTTTGAATTTTTCCATCAAAATTGTGCACAATTTTGGAAAATAAATTCAAAAAATTGGAAATGACGTTGAAAAAAAAAGGCGCCTGGGATTTTTTTTCCATCAAATTGGATCATTTTAGGAGATATTTTGAAATTTTATATACCGTAGTTCAAGGCGCATTTGTTTTCCAGGTGAAATGCACACCGAACGGTGATGCGACGAATCTTCACCGGCCGTCTCAGCAAGCCATCGATCAGGCCTATCAAGTCGCCTCTGGTGGAGGTTGGCGAAAAAAAATGAAATAGATTTGATTTTTGAAAATATTTTTGCAGCTGGCGGTGTGAATCGACGAGACGGCGAAGTGCGCGCGGGAAATTGGAAGAAGGGCGAGCTTGAATGGCAGGCCTACATGAGGGCCCTTGATCGAATGGTACGTTGATGAATGTGAAGTCGACAAATTATTTATGGGGTTTCGTTTTAGGGACTCCAAACTGGACACCGATATCGATAAATCGAGCGTGATGTTGTTTTTTGTTTTTTTTTTTCAGCCGAATAAAACGATCTTAGGGCGTTTGAGGTCTCGACTGGAATTTGGTTTTCTGGTGAATCCACGAATTGAACGAAAATCGAATTTGGATGAAAAGCCGGAAATTCGGAATTGGCGTTTATAACTACAGTATCCTTAACGAACATACTGAAATTTTGGACGAATGCACTATATTTTAAATTTTTCGCCAAATTTCTGTAATTTTCCGACCCCAATATTTCAAATTTTGCGAATTTTAAGTGTGTCTCGAAATTTTCCAGCAGAAATTCGATGATATCCCAAAACGAAATTCGACGAAATCCCACTCGTGGCCACTTTTTTCCCAAAATGCCCATGAATGTCAATTTTTTTCGCGAAACCACTGAAAACGAATCTCAGCGGTGTGGGACCCTTTTAAAGGCGCATGTCCCCGGTTGATAGAATGAGTTTCGTCGTCAAAACGTCTGAAATCGCATGCCCCCCACCACCACAACCATTCGAGGTGGACCGTGTTCAAGGCCAAACAAAATCCGATCCTTTTTCTCGGGGCCGTCCCCACGTCGAGAATTCAAACATTGTTATGTCAATACTAGGTGTGATGTGGGAAGAGGGGGGTGGGGTCCAACAGGGGGTGTCGAATTCGAGTGTTTTGTCACACTCGGCCACATTCCGAAAACGTATGAATCGACACGAAAAATGGTAATGGTGTGTCTAGTTGTCGTCAAAGTTTCTTTTTCGAGCCAGTCCGATGCGCCTTTAATTTTTAGTATTTCAATTTTGGTGCGCCTTTAAATTTTTTTGTTCCGACGTGGATCGAATTTTCCATCGATGTGCGTTTAAATCGTCACCCGAATTGAGTTGTGCGCCTTTAAATTTTTTTGTTCCGACGTGGATCGAATTTTCCGTCGATGCGCCTTTAAATCACCAACAATTATGAATATTGGAAAATTGAGAGACTCGATTTTTTCTTGTAAAAAATTGAGGTATGCGCCTTTAAACTTGTGGATTCTGTAGAGCAGGCATGCGCCTTTAAACAGCGCCGCCGAACCCAACAAAATTTTTGGAATCGTCTGAAAATTGCATTTGTTTCCAACAAAATGGTCCGCAGATGACATTTATTTATGATTCTTATTATTATAATGAGGATGAAGGTCGTTTTGTCGAGAGAGAGAAGGACGCGACCTTCCCATTCATTTAGGCCACGCCCACAATTCGTCTTCTTCATCGTCGTCTTCGTGTTGTTGTTGTTGTTTTTTTTTATGGCTTCACTATTTGATTGAGGTGGATTAACTGGCCGCGATTTTGCGATGCCGAAGGCCACAACGGAATTTTTTTTATTTGCTATTTAAAAAAGGAAAAAAAATTTTCACTATGATTTTTTTTGAATAGTTTTTCCTCCATTTTTTTGTCGAATCTGGAATCGCGATAGGACCATTCCATGCGCCTTTAAGCAATTTTGGGGTGGCTCTCTGCGATGCGCCTTTAAATGGGAATTTCGAGAATCGAGAACCTTGTGCGCCTTTGAGGCTTAATTTTTTTTGCCATGCGCCTTTAACCTTCTCTCTCTCTCTCTGTCACCCTCGATGTCAAGTCAAGTAATTTGTGTGTGTGTCGGAAGTACTTTGTACACTTCGACCTACATTTATTTATATTTATGGACGGGCCGACGGTCGGCGACGAGTAATTGCCAATTAAATCAGTCAAAAAAAATTTTTGAGCTACGGTTTTCAGCTTTCATTCGTTTTTTTTTTCGTCGAAACTACAAAAAAACGAATCGATTGCTTCTTCTTGTGGACAATAATTTGAAAATTTAAAATGTGCGCCTTTAAATTTCGAATTTTTGACTTCAAAAAAGAAGGAACCCATTCGTCTTTTTGGTTTCGAAGAAAAAAAAAGTGAATGAAAGCTGAAAAGCGTATAATTATGCAACGCGAATAACCGTTTCGGCATCGTTGACCATCAGAAATCGAAAATTGTGTGAAAACGATGCGATGTTAATTGAATGGATTTTTTTAAAGGCGCATCCCCTCGCCTTTTTCTTTTTGTGTATTATTTTAAAGGCGCATCACCGACATCAGCGAATTTCCGCATGAAACGCGATTCCAGCGAATTGTCGGCAGCACAAATTTGACATATCCGTTTCATCGGAATGCGTGTCTAATCTGACAAGTTTCTCTCGTCGGAATGCGTCCGGACGAATCGGCGGCAAGCTTTTGCATTTAGGTGTTTGCCTCTCAAACGCCACCAATTGTCGCCGGCTGATAAACCAATTTTCGGCCACACACTTAATTGCAGATAATTAGGCGGCGTTTGCGAATGATTATAATATGAAATGGACGAAGAAATCTACAACAATGCCTACTATCCCAATCGGAATCTCTATTATTCGTCGGCGCCCTATCAATATAGGTGAGCTTTTTTTTTGAAAAATTCTTTTAATCGTCAGAAATTGGCGATTTTTGGTCGAAAAATCGCGATTTTTATCGAATTTTGACTCAAAAATGGCCATTTTTGGGGGTTGGCCTTGAAGAAAAAAAAAGATAAAGGCAATCGATGAGATTATAATCCATGAAAAAACCTCCCAGCGCGTAGGGTTTTTGCGCGAACGCCGATTTTCGACCTTGAATTGCTAATGTAAGTGGGGCCACATGATAAATTGGCGTGAAAATTGACATATATGGGCATTTTGGGAAGAAATGGCCACAAAGTGGCCACGAGTGGAATTTTCGATTTTTTTTGTTGTTGTTGAAAAATTGAGTCTTTTAAAATTTTTGCTTAAAAATTTATTTTTTTTCAAACATTTTTTGGGACCACCAAAGGCTTTAAAAAGTTGGGGGCGTATTTATTTTCCATTATTCCAATGGTTTTCCATTTTGAAGATTCGCGATTTTTGTTGGAAAAATGCTAGCTTAAAATTTTTAATTGAAACGAAAAATGATGATTTCGAAAAAAGGTCAATTTTGATGGGGAAAAACAAAATTTTTTTTTCGATTTTTTGAAATCGCCTCAAAATTGAAAAAATTGTAGTTTGATTTTCGCTTTTTCAGCATTTTTTTCCACTAAAAATTAAATCGTCAAAAAACGTTGAAGAAAATGTTTGTCTGTTTGCACACTGACGCAATCTTGCACACATTTCATTCTTCACAATGGCTTTCAAAAACGCCCATTTTTTTTAAATTTAAAATAGACTAATAAATTCGACGCGCCTGATTTTGAATATTTGAATTGCCGCCCTTGGGTCTCGCATGGAAAATCATACTTGAATTCTGTTTTTGCGATTTCTTAAGAGTATAAATGAAAAAGCATAATGTTTTAGAATTTCGAATGCCTTGATTTTTAGCAAAAGGCGGAATTGATTAGGGGACCCATTCAATTGCAGCCAGTACATTAAAAATTCTCAAATTGATCCACCCGCCAAAAATTTTGTTCGCAATTTTTTTGAGTTCTTCAAAAATTTTAAGAATTCTCATATATTTATGTGTTTTCCGATGAAAAATTTAAAAATTTTGGTGGACGTGAAAAGGTGGCCGAATATTTCGCGGCCGCGTGGGAAAAATTTAATTTTTTCAAAAATGATTTTGAGAAAAAAAAATATTCAGAAGTCCATTCGTGTTGTCGCGGCCGTATTTCGACGACGACTACACCGACTACTATCGCGATTTTTTGGCGAAAACCGCCAATTTTGGCGGCTCGCGCAATTATGATCGAAAATTGCGCGTGTTCGACTCATCGACCTATTATATTCGAGTGTTTGCCTATGCACAGGTGAGCCTAAGCGAAAAAAAGCAAATGTGGACCATCGCAATTTTTTAAATTTTTTTTTGAGCGGGAAATTGAATTCGAAATTTTGCAGATTTTTCTCGCCGGCGTTCTTCTCGTCACCGACGTCTCGAAAAATGTCCTATTATGGAATTATGTGCAGTCGAATGGCGCCAAAATTGAAATGGTGTGAACTCATTGGCGGGCCCCCACCCCCACCCCAACCCATCCACCCCTAATTGATTTTCGTGTTCGATTGCAGCTCTCGCATCTCGTCTTTCCGATATTCGCCCTCATCGTCGGCTTCATTTGTTTGACGTCGATTCTGAATCCGTCGAAGACGATGTCGAAATGCGTCGCGATTCTGATTCTCGTCGTCGTCGTGCCCAACTTCATTTTTCCGAGATACTCGATTTTTATGCAAAGTTTGTCATTTTTTTTTCGCAAATTTGGAGGAGATTGGAAGGTCTTGAAGCGAATTGGTGACACGTCATGCGCCTTTAAATGATGAGGGTCTTGGAGCGAATTGGTGACACGTGATGCGCCTTTAAATGACGAGGGTCTTGAAGCGAATCAATACTGTTGTTATGCGCCTTCTTTGTTATGCGCCTTCAATGTAGAGGGTTTAGTCAAGAACAATAATGGTCTTCAGAGGTTTTAAAGGGAAACCAAAGAGAATTTTTCGATTTTGGATTACTGTAGAAAATTTTGAAAATTGCGATTCGCTCCAAGACCCGCTCTCAAAAAAAAAAACTCATGCGCCTTTAATCAATTCGCTTCAAGAGCCGTTCTCGAAAAAAAGAACAAGCGTGCGCCTTTAATGAATAGGGTTTTGAAATGAAAAATGAGAATTTTTCGATTTTGGATTATTGTAGAAAATTTTCGAAAATTACAATTCGTTTCGGGACCCGCTCTTGGAAAAAATTCGCGCGCCTTTAATCAATTCGCTTCAAGACTCGAAATATATCCAATCGTGCGCCTTTAATGAACTGGGTTTCGGAGGAAAAACAATGAGAATTTTTCGATTTTGGATTACTGTAGAAAATTTTGAAAATTGCGATTCGCTTCGGGACCCGCTCTCGCAAAAAAAAACTTCGTGCGCCTTTAATCAATTCGCTTCAAGACGCGTAATATCGAACAATCGTGCGCGTTCAATTCGGTGAGACGCCAACCATTTCCAGGCGCCGTCGAGGCGATCGACGTCGGCCAAATGATGGATCGAAGCGGCCTACTGAAAGACGCCGAGAAGCTGATGATACGCTCCGAGACGCACAATCGAATGTCGAAATTGCTGATGCTCAGCACGTCGCGATGGCCGCTGGGCGTCTCGGTGAGAAATTTTGTAGGAAAAAAAAAACAATTTGAGAACTTCCAAAAAATTGCGAGAATTGTTTTCAGGATCTGACGAATCTACCTCAGGATTTTGTGCTAATGATGCAATATCTGCTCATCGCCTATTCGATATTCTCGCTATCGCTGTTCATTTTCTATTTCATCACGTTGTATTGCCTTATAAGGCTGATATCGGTTCAATAAAAAGCGTTACGAATGAATAGTTCATTTTTTATTGGTCGGATTTTTTAGACCTTCGGAATTCCGCCGACGACGCCGCCCTCGATGCCGCACTCATTGACGCCGCGCAAAATGCGGAAATAGCCTGCAATTGAATGTTGGTCCATTTAACAGGCCACCCGGCCGAAATGCTCACCATTCTCTCCCCAATCGCGATTCCACGAGTTGGCGCACAGCCAATAGGGTGTGCCGTTGTCGACGCCCCAGCCGATCATTTTGACGGCGTGTCCGCCGAGATTGGCGCCGGCGGTGTGCGTGTAGACGCCGCCAGTGTACGCCTCGAAGTCGGCGTAGACGGTGAACGCGACCTCGACGGGACCGTTCGTCATGATCTCCTTCTGGATCTCGGTCGCCTTTTTCGACACCGCGTACGCCGACTGTCCGAAATGCAAATCCTGCTGATAGGTCAATGGGTAGCCGGCTTGGCACTTCTTCTCGCACTTGTTCGTCGGATAGAGATCGTCGGGACACGGCTTGTAGTGGGTGGCGTTGTTGTGGTGCTCGCACGGCGGATACGGGTACGGCTTGCAGCCGGTCTTCGCCGTGTAGTTGCCGCCGGTCACGTAGCCCTTGCTGACCCAGTGCTTCCACGCCTGTATCGGATAGCCGCCTTTGCAGCCGTTGCCGCACATGAGTCCGCAGCACGACAGAATGTCGTCGGCCGATATCGACACTTGCGTTTTGCCGTTGGTGGCGATGCAGATGCGGTCGGAGATCGCCTCGGCGCCCGCCACCGCCCAACACGAGCCGCACGATGATTGATCGCGAATCGTGTCGATCGACGAGCACGACGGCCATTGCGCGCGCGAGTCGAAACTCGCCGGAATTGTGGCGTCGTCGATTTCGGGATGCGATTTCTCGTTGAGCTGAAAAACACCGTTTTTGGCGAGAACTTGCTGCGGACATTTCGATTGGCTCGTAAACATTTTGCCGCTGCCGACAATCTTGCGGGTTTCGCTCCTGGCCGCGGACATTTTCATTGCCGCGCCAAAATCATATTGCGAGCATTTTGCCTTGAGACAGGCTAGATATTTAGCTAGCGCTGCTACGGACATTCTTGCGGGTTTCGCCCCTAGCCGCTTTTGCGGACAATCTTACGAGTTTCGCACCAAGCGCTGCTGCGGACAATCTTGCGGGTTTCGCCCCTAGCCGCTGCTTCGGACATTCTTGCGGGTTTCGCCCCTAGCCGCTGCTGCGGACATTCTTGCGGGTTTCGCCCCTAGCCGCTGCTGCGGACATTCTTGTGGGTTTCGCCTCTAGCCGCTTCTGCGGACAATCTTGTGGGTTACGCGCCGACTCACTCGATCAATTGCCGGCACCTCGACCATCTTGGCGCCCATCAATTGTTTGCGAATCGTGTCCGGATACTTTTTCATGTAGGCGTTCACGTCGACGCGAAACAACTTCTGTTTGCTGTTGACGTAGTCCATGAGAGCTTCTCCCTTGAGCTCGTCGGGATTGATTTCGGCGGCGAGCGCCGACATCGCCAGAAAACTGACGAACAGTGCGACAGCGGTCATCTGAAAATCAAAATTTCTTCATTTTTCTCGGTTTTTTTTTCGGAAAACCTACCATAATTGGTGTGATTGAGCACAAAACGCTGCTGCTGAATTCTTATCAACTCGTTGTCGGTTTTTATAGGCCCCTGATAAATTTTGCCACATCATTCGATAATTTATTGACGATTCCGGAATGACACAGATAAACGGCGGCATAGGCACAATGGAAGCATAGTGGAACGGCTGTGGATATCATAGGAATCTTATATGCAAGTTATATGGAAGCATAATGGAAGCATTTTTTTTGCGGAACCGCGTGTTTCGTATATGGAATGAGCCGTATGCCTTCCATATGGGCAAATAAGAAAACAATTTGATTGCTGTATTCAAAATTTATTTCTTATTAACACATTTATTTAATTTAAAATAAAAAAAAACAACAATGAAATGAATTTCAATTAAGATATAATCAAACCATTAGTTACTGGCAACTGCCGAACTATTCGAATCATTGTCAGTACTGACATCGAGCGGGACGCTGTAATAAGTAGAATTCATATCGTTCACACTTGGTTAAAAAGCCGTGTTATGATATTTTTAAAAACAACAACTATTGCTAAGAAATTAGGCAAAAGTCCTAATGCACATTTAACCTATCCTTTTTCGCAAATATACGCTTGAGAAAGAAACCGTTATCGAATTTTTACCTTTCTCCACTTTTCCTAGTCGCTACACTCGATTATAATGGGCCTATTAATTTGAAAAACTTGTAAACCATTGTTACGTAAACTAAATTTTTCGAGAAAATACAATCAGTTTTTTTACATCAATAATTTTCTTAAAAATAAAAATAATTTATTTTTATTGCATTTTTGGAAACCCTTTAGTGCACAAAATAAAAAGTGAATTGGCGGAAGAAAGAACAACTCCAAAATTTGAAGCAAAAAGGCATTTTGGTTAAAATTTCAAAGACATATGAATACTCACATCTGAGGGTTGCTGGTAGAATCAAGCAGCTTCCTTAATTGCGCCGCGAGCGCTTCCGGCGCTACACCAAATTTCCTTTAAAGTCGTTGGCGCATTCTATCGCTTAATCAAATAAATAAATTAATAGTCATAGCTCAAAATCTTACAGAAGATTATCCATGACTTCTCGAACCATGCGTAATGCTTTCGCTTTGAAGTCATTTGTCGGTTGTTGCCCAAAGCCATGGATAAGAGCATCTGTAATATAGATATTTGCAATAAAGTATAGGATCTTTATATAGTCGGCGTCTGGCGACTTCTGTACTAGAGCCCCACTTAAAAAGATAAATGCCACTGAATGATATTGGTACGAAGGCTGTACGGCAATCGGAAATTTCGGCGATTCGGCTAATGGCAAATTACCGATCGAAATTTTCTTCGGCAATTTGAAAAACCGGCAATTTCGGCAATCGGCAATTCCATTGCCGCACAGCCCTGATTGGAACCAAATAATCAACAAGCTTTAAACTTAGGAAGTACTTTATAAAGACTTCATTGCGCATATTTTTCTAATTGAAACCATTTCTGGAGTCGAACAGGCCAATTTTTGATGATAACAACTTACAAATTGGGCGTACGAAGGTTTAGGAATTGGCGTTGATTTTGTTGTTTGTGAGGACTGTGGAGAAAAATTTTTTTGCTGAGTTGGCGAGTAAATTGGACTATCTGGATCTGAAGTGTCGAGCGAATTTGGTTCCATGTTAGGGACTTCTGGTTCTTTGTTATTGACTTCTAGAGCAGTTTCAGTTATATCTGACAACACTCTCGATCTTGTCTTCATCTGTAAAAAATTTCAAAACATTATGTTTTATTAAAAGAAAAAAGCGAGCGATAATAAAAAATATGTTAAAGTAAATAAAAATAAAACGGATTCGATGAGAAATTAAACACAATTCGATTGAGAAAATATTTAAATTCGATTTTAAAAGTGTCGGAAACGATTTGAAAACATCGTATCGATTTTAAAATTTTCGAATGCTATCAATTTATTTTTGGTTTCGATTTTGATGATAAATATGAAAATTTTTCCTTTATTTTTTAAAAACATTTTTCCTTTAATTTTGAAAAAAATTCATTAATTTTTGACAAAAAAAAACACAAAAAATCTTGAAAATTCATTGAGAAAAAGCAAAAGGACAAAAATTTTGAAAACGAATTTCGAAAATGTGAGGCGTGGCCGCATTGTGCAAAGCGGCGCACGGTTTTGCAATGCTGCGGCACGCCTCTTCTACGCGCGTCTGCTACCAGTTTGGAGCAAATTGTGAGTAGTTTGCGATGCCAATTTCGGAAAAACCGGCAAAAATATATTAATACGACTAAATTGTAGTTGGCAATCTTTAAACAAAGTGAGGAACAGTTGACTGAATTAACATAAATCTGAGTAATTAAATGTCATTAAATGGTAGAAGCTAAATTTCGTCCGTTGTGTATCATGTAATTTTCAAATTTTCATTGTTTATATGATAGCATAAGTTTTTTGTATTGATTTTTCTAGAAATTGTCTTGGTCTGCCGTCCAGACGCCAATTGTATAATGTTTATTGACATATGATTATTTTATCCATATTCCATCCATATTTGTTCCACGGCTCGCAAACACCGGAAGCATATTCATCCCGTTTTCATTCCATCCATATTCGTCCCATAATCCTTCCACAGCCACTAAGAATTACATTATGCTTCCTATATGGAAGCATTATGCTTCCGTTCCACAGATTTCCCACAATGCTTCCATTATGCTTGCGTCGCGCTTAATCAGTGGATAACGATGATTTTTAGACCGGAATTGAGCCTCTTTTTCCGACACACAATTTCTATAGTGTTATCAGGCATGCAAAAGCACGTGACACCTCGAGATAATATTAGCAAAAATGCATCTGCCCCATGCCAGGCTCGAACTGGCGACCTTGGCATAACCTAAGACTATAAGTACCACGCGCTAACCGACTGCGCCAATGGGGCCGGCGGTCAGCACTGCAGTAAATGACGTAGACATGTGTGCTGTCATCGGCGAGGCGGCGAGGGTACAGCATTGTGTGTGTTATATATAGCATGCCTACTATGACGCATGGGGGGAGTCTCCTTAAAGGGAAAATGCTAATCCTAATATGATGATCAATTCGGAAATGAGAGGAATCTCGTCGAGCAACAGCGCATTCCTCACATCGTAAACTTTTGCCAACATGTACGGATTGGTTATTGAAGGCGTTCGATTCATGATTCAGGAGAACTGGGGTACCCAGGTCCTCCAGCAGGTAGGAGACCGGTTTTTATCGGAAAAAAAAGTTGAAAACGAGTCTTTTCAGGTCCAACAGATGACGATGCTCTCGGAGAAGTCGATATCGACGCACGATCAATACCCGGAGAATTATGTGCCGCGAATGTTCGAGGCGATCCATGAGATCACCGGAACGCCGAAGGATCAGATTGGTGTTCTCGCTGGTTTGTCCGAAGCCCGATTTGAGCTCGTTCCATTCGAGTTTCAACAATTTTTATGAGATTTTTTAGGGAAATGAGCATTTTTCAAAATGTTCGGGCTAAAAATTGTCAAGATTAATCCGGTTTTCATGCCAGACCGATTTTTGGCCAAAAAGTTTTCGAAATTTTGCGATTTCTCTCATTCCCCCAAAAAAATTTGAATCGCGGGGTCAAAGTCCACTATTTCCATTTTTTTTTCTTTCAAAAGGTCAAAGTCCAATTTTTTTCCATTTTTCTTTCAAAAGGTCAAAGTCCAATCTGAAAATTTGTGAAATTTTCCCAATAAAAATAGGCAATTTTCCGAATTTTTCTAATTCTAGAGCATTTTTTTTTATTGAAAAAAATGGATTAAGACGATTTAAAGCCAAAAAATGGCTGAAATTTCGCGATTGTGAATTTCTAGGGGTCAAAGTCCAATTTTTGAGAATTTACTGACTATAATTTGCGATTTTCGATAATTTCTGAATAGAAATTGCTAAAGATTCAAAAATTATATTTAAAATCGAATTTTTTCAGTTTAATCACGCCGATTTTTAATTCTTGGAGGTCAAACTCCAAATTTTTTAATTTTCCGAAAAAAATTTTCCTAGAGGTCAAAGTCCAATTATTATTAAGGGGTCCCCCATTTAATAAGGGGTCAAAAAAATTTCAATTTTACTGATTTTCACATTCTTTAAACCTCAAAAATAATAAAATCAAGGCTAAAATTCAAAAAAAGTGAAAGATATTTACGAGAAAATTCATTTAGAAAAAAATCGCGAGTTTTGGCGGCAATTCAAACAGCCGTTCTCATTTCTTGGCATTTTTCGAGTCTCGATGGTCCCTTGATGGTTCCAGGCAGATTTTGTAACCCAAAAAAAAACGCAATGCAAATTGCAGAAAACCAATCCAAAAAACTTCGGCCACGGCCAGAAAAACATCGGCCACGGCCAGATATTTCGAGACAAAGCACAAAAAAAGGGAGTGAAAATTTCCAGGCCGCTTCTTCGTGCACTTCCTCATTCGCAACGGCTACGGCGATCTGATGAACGTGATGGGTCGCCGCTTCTCGGACTTCCTCAAAGGCCTCGACAACATCCACGAGTACTTTCGGTTCAGCTATCCGAAACTGCGCGCGCCGTCGTTCTATTGCAAATCGGAAAACGAGAACGGCCTCATTCTGCACTATCGCAGCCGTCGAACCGGCTATCTGCCGTACGTCATCGGGCTGCTCGTCGAATTGGCGCGCGTCTTCTATCAGCTCAACATTGGCATCGAGGTTGTCGAGTGTGCTTCAAACGCGCAATCATCGCGATTTGTCGGCAGGTGATCGAACAACGCGAGAAGGGCCAAATCTCGCTGGTCGTGCTCAAAATCTCGTTCAACAACGTCGGCCTTCGACAGGACCTTCGGCTGAAGGAGCGCGTCAAGAATCTCAACGAGTATCTGCCCGTCAGCACGCAGTCGTTCTTGCGAATGTTTCCGTTTCATATCGCGTTCAATTCGAACCTCGAGGTTTGACTTTAAAGGCGCATTGGCTTGCTTTTTTTTTGTTTTGATCTACCCAAATTTCATTACATGAGCTTAATTTCATCGCTTTCTGGAAAATTTCCTCTTTTGATCTAAAGGCGCATAGCTCCACAAAAAAATGGTCCCAAGGCAATTTGGAACTCAAAATGTGCTTCAAAATTCGCCTAGCAAGCTCACTAAACGGCTTGCTAGACGGAGTGTCGTTGCGATTTCAGATTCTCATTTGCGGCGAGGCGATCCGAAACCTGATGCCGAACATCCAGGGCCTCTTGATGACCGACGTGTTCGATCTACTGCGACCGTTCATCAAATTCTCGGCCGACGGGGTGCGGTAGATCAATAAAAAAAAATTTTAAAGGCGCACACCGAGTTGTCCAATTTTTTTTTGCAGTGTCTCGCCCATCAGAATTGCCTATTTCGCCTCGAGTCGCTTCAGCCGGTCGTCCGACAAACCGATGAGTCGATCACCGTCAAAATCACCGACGAGCAGAACAAAGCGGCGAGTTACGGTAGCTCTACAGTAATCCGAATCAAATGGGGGGTCTTTTTTTTTGCAGAACCCCAACCGTACGTCACCCTTCAGGGACCAATAATTCATTTGAAGGCCACCGGCACGTTTTTGTTTCTCGCCACTTGCATGTGAGTTCGGTTGACGGTGCAAACACGTCCTCTCCACTCTGCGGACTTCCTGGGGAAAAAAGTCGGGGTCAAAGTCCAATATATTTAACTGTTTGACTGATTTTCCAGAGGTCAAAGTCCACTTTTTTGACGTGGTCCTCAAAAACGTCCGAAAAATGTGAAAATTTAGCGATTTCTCTCATATCTTTTCAAAAAGGTTTTCAGAGGTCAAAGTCCAATTTTTTTACAATTTTCGAACTAAAATTTGCAATTTTCGATTGCTATAAAAGATTTTCCAGTTTAGATGAGCCGATTTTTAATTTTCAAAGGTCAAAGTCCAATTTTTAAATTTCATCCACACCAAATTTCTCAAAAGGTCAAAGTCCAATTATCGATTCCTAGTGGTCCACGTCGAATTGTTGCAGTGTCGACTCGCTGGACGACATGTTCAAAATGGGCCTCTACCTCAACGACTTCGGCGCGTCGGATTGCAATCGCGAGATCATCATGTCGACGATCCAGCAGAGCGACACGCTTCGCACGATGCTCGACAACGAGAAGCGTCGAAGCGAGGTGCTGACGGAAATGACGAAGGAGATCACCGAGGCGAAACGCACCGCGCGCAATCTCCTCTCGCAAATGATGCCCTACGAGGTGGCGACGAAGATGATCAACACCGGCTACACCAAGTTCTCCGAGGCGTTCGATTGTGTCTCGGTCGCGTTCATCCGGGTTCGTTGCCATCGTGGTCCCTTCGTCAAAATTGTCGGCACGTTTAGGTTTGCGAATTTTCGACAATCTCGCTCACCATTGAAGCGTTCGATCTGGTCAATCTACTCAATACGTGAGCTCACCGATTCGCGTCTCAAGCTCAATCGAGTCCTTCCAGCGTCTTCTCGCAATTGGACGAGATCGTCGAGGTGCACGGTGTGTACAAGGTCGAGACGATCGCCGAATCCTATATGATCTCGGCGGGTTGTCCGTATCGCGACGAGGCCGACGCCGAGATGATCGTCGACTTCTGCCTCGACGCCATCGAGCACATCGCGTGCAACTCGTACGCGACGGCGCCGACGCTCAAGAAGCTTCAAATCAAAATCGGCGTGTTCTCGGGACCGGTCGTCGGCGGCGTCGTTGGCGTACGATCGCCGAGGTATTGCCTGTTCGGCGACACGGTGAACACGGCGAGTCGAATGGAGTCGTCGAACAAAGTGGTAGGAGATGAGGCGGAGCCGATTCGCGAACGCGCTTTTTGATTCCAGCCGATGACGATACAAATCGGGCAGCGGACCAAAGATCGACTCGAGAAGCAATCCGGCGCGTTCAAGATTAAACCGAGAGGAAATGCCGAGCTTAAAGTCGCTTGGCCCCTACTATAGCAGTGGGCTCTTCAAATGACGATAGAATTTCAGGGAAAAGGCAGCATGCGAGTGTACGAAGTGGAGAAGAAGAAGGGACGACCCCGCTACAAGAAGCACACGCCGATTCGGAAGAACATTGAGAAGATCGACTTGCCGGCGGATGACATTTTGGACGCTGATGATGCACGCAATTCGGACACGATGAGTCGAATGAGCATTGGGTAAGTGATGAGTGTCTTGTCAACATCCATATAAGGCGATGAATAGTTAATAAGGAGGGGGGGGGGTTGCGTGACAACGCTTTTTGGAGAAAAAATTGTTTTCAGCGAGTCGCTGGAGAGCGAGGAATTGACGAGCAAAGGCGACAACTCGTCGTTTGCCGAATTGAATCAGGTAGGATTGATTGCTACTTCAATTCACTCCCACAATATTGATTTAGAGGATCAAGGAGGCGATTGAACAGACATCGGAGGCTTCGAGGATTCTTGACTTGTAAGCATTGAGATTTGGGATTGTTTGAGATAAGAGTGTTGTTCAAGGAATATGCAAGACGAGAACAATTTGCCGTCGTCGGTGCCGTGGACGGCGCGTCACAGAGATGATCTTCGGAAGCCGCTCGCCGGCGAGACGAATCATCACAACGAGCTGATCTTCGCGGTGCGGCCGAATGAGGAGGTAATCGGAGCAGGGGGGATTTTGCAACATTGATTTTCTCGCAGACACCTCGTCCGACGGCAGGGGAGCTCGACAAGGTGCGCGTCATCGCCGAGAACGCGGCGCCGCGACGCCCAACACAAGAGGAGGAGGAGCTTGAAGCCGCCCAGCACACCTATCAGATTGAGCCCGACGAGCCGGTGATGGCGGACGTCGACGTCGTCGCCGATGATGACGGCGACAATGTGAGTCGAACGACGGCGATTCGCGACGACGATGAGCACAACTTCGGCGAACATCCCGCCGATCAGATACCGCCCGAAGCGCAAGCGCAATTGCCGCCGTCGGGTGAGGCGACGCTCGGCGAGCGCTCGTCGTCGGCGAGCAGCTTCGAGGAAACGCTGCCGACGCCGAAGCCGGCGCCGCCGAAAAAGAAGGCCGCACCGCCGGTGAGTCAATTTTGTTTTGTTTTTTTTTTGAGGGCTTTTGGTTTTGCAGGTTCGTGTGCCGATTCGACGCCGCCGCGATGAGCGCGATCGATGCAAATGCGATGATATTCGACGCGATGAGAAGCTTAAAACAAAAGTGTGCAATATTATGTAACCCATACCACATAGAGTTAATAAATATATATTAGTCTAGCGAAAAAAAAATTGTGAAATGATGATTGCTGGCGCCCGGGGACGAACCCGCCATAGTATTTGTGTGAACCAAAAAGCATCCCGCTACTCTACACCCGCACACACTTTCAAAGCGCTAAACGCCTTATACGTGTGTCCTCTCACTTTTATTCAATCAACATCAATATTATTGGAAAAGCCGGTGTAGGTCAAGGGTCGAAGCGATAACGACGAAATGTCGTACATTTTCTGAAATGTTGAAAATCGTGTGGGATTACGGTGGGCCTTACAATTCCTTCGGTGCCCATTCGATAAAGCGTGATATTGGCAAGTGGCGGCATGGTTTTGAAGCTTGCCGCACGCTCGACCTGAAATTGTTTTTTTTTTTCTTTCAAAAACAAAAATTGCGACACCTCGACGTCAAGCTTCTCATCGAATTGGATTAGATAGAAATGGCTGGCGATTATTTTGGCGGCGAGTGAGTCAACGATGAAAAGCGCTGAAATTGAGGCGAATTTGCGGTGTGATCGCCAAACGCACGATTAATTGCGACATTAGTGAGCTCATAGAAGGCGCGTTTAATGCGCGCACGCAAATCCGGCAGCGTCACCTTCGTGCTGATCGTCTTCAGCGGCTCGGCGTCTTTGTCGATGTCGTAGCCGAGTTTCGCTAGCGATTCTTTGCTGAAGAACAAATGCGAGACGGCGTGCATTGTCGACAATTCGGGCTCGATGCGAATCGGGCCGCATTTTTCGCTGAAAATTGAAAAATCGACGATTTTCGCCACTCGGCAAAATTACCCGATGAATTTTTTGATGAGACACGCCGTCTCGATGGAGGCGATGTCCGGCGAGCAGAATATCACACTGGGGCAGATTTTGCGATCGCACAACTCGCGAGCCATCATTTTGCTGCACACTCGCGCGATTTCCGATAGCGGCGGATCGGCGTCGTTCGATTTTTGCATTTGTGGACGGCGTGCCAACTCGATTGGAACGTTCTGCAAATATGAAAACGTTTTGGGTGGGATTGAACCCGCGCGGGATTTCGTGCCAAAAGTTTGCGCGATTAGGCGCTACTCCAAAAGGGCACACCGCGTCGCGGCACCAATAGGCGTATATGAAACGCTTCCACCCTTACCACATCGAAAGGATCGTAGCAATTCTCTCCTAACATCGACTGGGCCACCCAATCCGGAAAAACCTCGGCAATTGTTTCAGCATGCCTCATAACTATTATCTCATCGCCAATGTAATTTGGCAGCGGTCCAAGCGCTTTGTAAGCGCCCAATGCAAATTCTTCAGTTTGCCTCAACGACTTGCTTGATATATCCGACATTTGATTTTCTTTGGCGCGAGAAATGAATTATTCAATTATTGTTCACCGGTTTTGAATTGTTATCGTTATGTGAAATGACGTGAGAGGTGCGCGATTTCGACGCGCGTCTACGGTGTCCAATATTTGGTCCGCAATTTTGCGTAGTCCGCAGCGCGATGACGCGCCGCGAGACGCGACGCCCCCGAAAATTCGAAATTTCGGTTTCTGTTTTCTTTTTGAATAACTTCAATCGCCAGTTTTTTCGATTTTTTTGTGCTACTTTTATTAAAAATATTTTATTTCAGCTGCAGCGGAGGCTAACTTGGTGGTTATTCTCAAAAAAATGGCTTCGGTACTCGAAATGCGTCGAATTGTCGAGGCAAAGGTGCAGACAATGATTCGACAGAATCCCAAGGTAAAACGCGCGGTTTTTATGCAAATTTCTTATGTTTTTTTTCAGCCAGTTGAAGAGAAAAATGCGGCGGTTGCGAAAAAAGATGATGAAGACCAATTTATTACGGATGACAAACAGAAGGAGAATTTAGAAATCAAGCCGAGCAGTTTTGGCTGGCGGCCGATTTATTCACGGTTTTTTTCTCGCAAATCAAATTCAAATAATTTTAATGATTTAAATTTGAAGGGTTGACATTAACTGTGATAAATGGCTTTTGACACTTGACGAGAACTCAAGGGAAAAACTCGAAAACCCACCGTCGCTTGCTGACGGACTATCAAAAGAGATTGAAGCGGTAGTTAATTGTAATTATAGACGAATTATTTCGTTGTTTTGCAGGAATTACGCTATCTAGGCTGCGAATTGATTCAGCAAGGAGCTATAATGCTGAGATTGCCGCAGACTGCCGCCGCCACCGGTCAAATCATTTTTCAGCGGTTTTATTATCAGAAAAGTTTTGTGAAATACTATTTCGAGGTTGGAAAATGGATGAAATTGGTCATATTAATTGTTGAATTCTAGCATGCCGTCATGGCGTGCCTTTTGCTCGCTTCAAAAATCGAAGAAGAGCCCAGAAGGAATCGAGATGTGTTCAACGCGTTCCACCGATTGGAGAAGCTTCATCGGATTCAGCAGCACGGTCATCCAATAACAAAGTAAGCATTTTGTTGAAATTTCGACGCCAAATTCAACCAGTTTCATAATCAACCAACCATTTAGCGCCCGAAAAAAATTATTTAATTTGTGTTATACATATTTTGGAAAAAAATGCCGGGTAAGTGAGTTGCTGAAAATCGGCGAACATTTCTTTTTTTCCAACTTGTTCTGTTTTCATTGAAAATTGAATCTCAAAAATGAAATGATACAAGTGAATAAAATTGATTTCTCGCAGGCGGCTGCTAGCCAAACACGGACCAACCTATCCCTCGTTGCTTTGGCTGAAAGTGAGAGAAGTTTTTTGATCTTGATTCGCAGCGCATCCGCGGGTTTCTGTTGCAACAGGTAAGCGAATGAACGTGTGGGCAATTTTGCTATCATTGTTTTTGGCTGATTTTCTTCAATATACTTTTTTATTGTTTCTCCCATTTTGCACCAATTTGGGCCATTTGCGCTCACACGTTCTTCTCTTCCGTTTGCAGCAAAAACGCCGTTGTTTTTTTTTTGGGAAGATTGTGAATCTGGTTGGATATTCGCAAATCAAATTTTATTTCTTTGAGCGCGAATTTAAATTTCTGTCGATTTTTGTAGAGAAACCACTCGCGGCCTCAAAGTTCCACTTCTTGATCAGACCTATGTTCGAGCTAAAAATAATGTAAGACTTTGTTTTTTTTTGTTCAACCAATTTTCAATATCGGCAATTTGTAGATGATTTTAATGGAGAGGCGAATATTGGCAACACTTGGATTTGTGGTTCATGTCAAACATCCACATCGATTGATTGTTGCTTATTGTCATGCGTTGGGCTTGACGAATTCCAGGAATGATGTGCTCCAGAAGGCATGGTAAGAATAACGACGCAATTTTTCTATTAGGGAATTCAAATATTGCAGGAGCTATATGAACGATGGGCTTCGGACTGACATTTTCATGCGTTACACGTCTGAAACTATTGCTTGCGCTTGTATATTTCTGGCTGCTAGAACGGTTGACAATCCAATTGCGCTGCCGTCGACCCCATTTAATTGGTAGCATTATTTTAATGAAAAGGAAATTTTGCAAAAATTCAATATGCTTCTAGGTTTGAGGCGTTTGACACGTCGGATCGCGATGTGCAGGCGATTTCGATGCAACTTTTGCGTTTGTACTCGAGGAAGCGCATACCGAACTGGCCGCGAATCAACGCCGAGCTGGACAAGCTTCGTGAGGCGATCAACAAAGGAAAAGCGGCCGAGAAGGCGAAAGAGTTGGCTGAGAAGTTTGAGAAGGCGAATGCCGAGGAGAGGAAGGAGAATGGCAATCGAAAAGAGTCGCCGGAGAGGGATTCGAAGCGCGATAGGCATCGCGAGCGCGATCGTGATCGCAAGGAGAAGTCGTCGAGGCGGAAATCGGCGGAACGCGATCGCGACTACGGTCGCGATCGAGATCGTAAGGATCGGAGGAAGGATCGCGATCGGAATGAGCGACGAGACAAGGATCGGAGAGAGAAGGATCGAAGGAAGCGGAGCAGGAGTCGAAGCAAGAGCAGAGAGCGTAATAAGGTTGGTTCATAGATTTTTAGAAAAATAAGCTGAAGAATAATGATTATGTATTGGTTTCATTCTAGAAGTGAATTGTTAGATGGGAAAAAATTGCGAATGTTTTTAATCGAGGGAAATTGATTTTTTGCAACAGATCCCTGAAAATGATCTAATTGAACACACTTTTTTTGCAGGAAAAGAGCAAGAATCGTGATCGTGACCTCATCCTTGGGAAGCGGTATCGCCGCGATTCCCCGTCGCCGATTCGTTCAAAACGATAAGTCCAATTGGAACCGTAACCCTACTGTACCTCATATATCGCTGAAACGCGCATCTCTGTCTTTTGAGACTAGTTGTTATCAATTTTGTTCGTTTATTTTTGTTTTATATATTTTTTTCATATATACAAGAGTTCGTCTTTGTTTCTTTTTTTGTAAATATTACGGGACCAATGAAAAATGATTTGTTTGTTTTGGGGGGATTTACGCGGCGAGGTCATGGACGGCGGCAGTGTGTGATGATGAGACATTGTTGCTCATATTGTGTTTGTCGTTTCTATGAGTGTCGAGGGTATTATTAGAATAATCGATTTCTGTCAAATTTTGTTTATTCAGCTTGGAATTTGTCGAAATAAACCAAACATTTTTTGTTTTGTTGGGTTCTCAATTGAGAAGGTCCCCAATTTTTGCGGCGAAATTTGCCTTTTTTTGGAATTGTCGTTTTTTGTGATAAAATTTGCAATTTTTCTAGTAGATTTTGAGGAGTTTCTGAAAAAAAAAGACGGTTTAATGATGTAGAAATAATCTTTTTTTTTTTTAAATTTCAGGCCTAAAAATTGAGATTTTCGTTCAAAATTTCGTTTTTTAGGAATTTTCAAGCTTTTTACCAAATTTGGAGAGATTTTTGAGAATTTCCAGCACGAAGAGAACCGTTTTTTGCAAATTATGATTTTTTTGTCAAATTTTTAGGGATTTTCTACATTTTTTTGGCAAAAAAAAACGCTGATTATTAATTTTGAGAATTCGAGCATTTTTTTTCACGACGATCTCGCCAACTTGGTTTTTTTTCGGCAAATTTCGTTGAAAATTGAAGCTTTTTTTCGAATTTTTAGCATTTCTTCGCTTTTCCATTCAAATCATTGTCGTTGTCTCATTAAAAATGCATCAGCGACAAAAAAAAGCAACAAAAAAAATGTGAGGCTGAGTGTGTCTCATTCTTTTTTTTCTTCGCCGCTCTTCTTATCCATCAATTTTATTCTTCAATTTTTTTTTATCCCTTCTTTGCATGTGTCGGCCGAGAAAGAGAGAGAGAGAGTTGTAAATCGAATTTCTTTTGTCGTTGTGTCTTCATCGCCGCCCGGTTTCCATGGGACTCGGAACTCGCGAGTCACACGCTCGTTAAACAAATACACATCCATGTTTTCCGTTAATCAGCGCCTTCGGTTGTTGTCGCCGCATAGTTATGCAAATTTTTTGCCGTCTCCTCGTTAGTTGTCGCCTTGTTTCGCGCGTAAATGGCCCAATTCGCCTCGTTTTCTTGGTCCGAATTCAACTAGTATCTGGCTTATGTGTGCCGCGCTGTTGCAAAACTGCACGCCTATATTGCACCATGACGCCACGCCCCTTTGTAAATCGCTCGTTATTGCATTTTTCAATGTTTTTAACGGATTTTTGCCATTTTTTCAGTGTTGGATTTTTATTTAGGCATTAAAAACTAAGAATTGAATTTGATTTGATAAGAAAATTGAGAAATTACAGACATCTTTTAGTACATTTCAGTTTTTATTTTGAAAATTCCCGTTCTTAGTTGAAAACGCAATTTTCAAAGATTGTCCAGAAAAAAACTCATTCGAAACCCAACGAGAAAATTTGCAATTCCAATTCGTTTTCCCACGTTCAAAAAAGAAAAAAAAATTGTCGATCGAAAAATGTTGTATTGTGCCGATTATGGTCAAACAATCGATGAGCGCAAACATACCATAAAAGTGGGAGGCGACACGTGTATATGGCAGAAATTGTGTTGTTGTAGTAGATCAAATTGATTTAAAGGCGCAATTGAATTTGTCGCCTGCGCCATTTCCATTTCAATTTCCTCATTCTCATCTATCTGTTTTGCGGCCACCCGAAATTCCCTTATACTCGCCAGCAATTTCTATTTGTTTTGTCCCATCAATGCGCCTTTAAAGGTCGCACAATCAGCAATGTGTTCTTTTTTATAACTTTTTCACATGAGGAAATCGCTTCAAAGCAACTGCCGAGGTTGAAACCTTTCAAAAAATCGCATAAAAATGATAAATTAGTGCTTAAACGCCGACTAGTGCGACACACTCGCGACGTCCTGATAACACATGACACGCAAACGACGACGATGAAAGAAGAAGAAAAACTTTTTTCGTCTGACCTCTCTGCGCGCTCTCAAAAATCAACAGTGTCTCGCGCGAAGAAAACGTTCAACCGTCGCGGTTTTCGGCCGCCGCCCTCCTACAAAAAATCATCGTTTGTCCTTTTATGTCCAACGTATAATTAATGAAGAGGCGATTTACCTAAAATTGGGCATTGCCATATTCGCTATGCCTCATTTCTCCTTTTCACCATTAATCCCGGCGCCCCTCGCTTATTAATCTCTTTGGTGGTGGCTGGAAGCCTTCTACATTTTGTTTTACGATGATTTTCCGCTTTTTTTAATGGTCCTCGTAAAAAAAAAGTAGAATCGCAAAAATTGATGGATTCTTCCGGCTCTCGAGCACATCGTCATTCATAATAAGACGTTATTATAATATTTTTTTTTCTTGCAGTGGGTATGCAGACCATTCGATTCAATAAAAATGCGCTCGGTGTGCTCGTCGCGTGCGCGCTTTTCCTCATTTGTGTCATCTCGATGATGACGTCATCGGAAGAGCCGGCGCAGATCAGCCACGTTCGCGACGTTCAATTTCGTTCGGCGCAATTAGATGAATTGAAAAAGGTAATATCATTTATTGTACTTTTTTGCATCAATTTGCAATGTTTTTTTTTTGTTTCAAGTCTGAAATGAAGAGAAAGACGACGAAATTGAAAGAATCGACGATGGAGAATTTGGCAAAAGTGGAACCGCCGAAGGTTGTAATATTGCCGCCGACGGCCGCCGAAGATGCCGATGATTTGGAGAAACGCATCGGCAAACGGCATTATGCCGATGATCCGAATGATGAGAATGGTTTGCGCGGATTTTTGCATTCAAAGAAAATATATTTATTTTTTCTATATTTAGACTTGAGGCGGCAAAAAGTGAAAGAGATGATGGTGCATGCGTGGAGCGGCTATAAAAACTACTCATGGGGCAGCAATGAGTTGAAGCCGATCGCGAAACGAGCAAACTCGCAAAACATTTTCGGCGGCAGCCATATGCCGGCGACAATCATCGACGCGATCGACACGTTGTACCTAATGGATTTGATGGACGAGTTCGATGAGGCGAGACGTTATATCAAGGAGAAATTCTCGATGGACAGCTCGACGACGACGACGCTGTCGGTGTTTGAGACGACGATTCGGATACTCGGCGGACTATTGTCGACGTATGCGTTCACTGGAGATGAGGTCTTCTTGTAAGTGGCCGGCGGGAAGTGAATTGAAGATATGGAAACTGTATGGTATCGGAATTATAGAAAAAGTGGCTATCGTAATTATTAGCTTCTCGCTGCTTCTTTTTTTTTCTGAGAAACGCACTACGGTCGTCACAAGACCCAATTGATTTTTCGCGTGATGAGCCTTTAATCCAAAATTTAATTTTTTAAATTTTGTGGGTAATTTCATAAAAATTTTCTAAAATTTTCGAATATCAAAAAACAGATTTTATTAAAAAAAATGGTACTATGCAAGTTTTTTTTCGATTTTTCTTCCCAGAATCTCGAATTTTTCCGAAGATTATATTACTTCAACTTCTTTTCCTTACGAGACCTATGGCGGTAATTCAAAGGATTAATAGTGCTTTGGATTTTGCAGAACAAAAGCGCGCGAAGTTGGCGAGGCATTATTGCCGGCGTTCAACACGCCGTCGGGAATACCGAAGAGCAATTTGGACGTGAAAACGAAGTACGCGTCGAACTACGGCTGGGCGAACGGCGGCCAATCGATACTCGCCGAATTTGGAAGTTTACACTTGGAGTTTGTCTATTTGAGTCGAGCGTCGAAATCGCCGATATTCGAGAAGAAGGTGCGCAAAGTTCGTGACGCGATGGATCGTGTGCCGAAAATCGATGGGCTCTACTCGAACTATGTGAATCCGGAGACGGGAAAATTCGCCGCCGGCTATCATATGTAAATCTGTTTCTTCTTTTTTTTTCGCCAAAAAATTCATTTTGAGCAACGTTTCAAAGTGGAAATTTAGGTCTTTGGGTGCTCTCGGCGACTCGTTCTATGAGTATCTCATCAAATCCTATGTGCAATCCAATCGGACCGACATGCAAGCGAAACGAATGTATTGGGAAGTGAGCAAAGCGATCGAGGCGCAGTAAGACGAACGAGTCGGACCATTGAGATTCACGACGATTTGATTCAGAATGATTCGCGTTTCGGAGAAGAGCAATCTCACCTATACGGTCGAGCTCAGCGGCGGAATGGTGCAACACAAAATGGGACATTTGGCGTGTTTTGTGCCGGGCATGTTCGCGTTGCAGGCGGCGAACGAGGAGACGCATGAGGAGAAGGTGGGTTGAGCTGGACAAGGTGATTGAAGCAATTACATAGAGTGTTTAGGAGAGGGTGATGAAGTTGGCTGAGGAGCTTGGCAAGACGTGCCATGAGAGTTACATTCGATCGACGACCGGCATCGGACCGGAGATGTTCTATTTCAATGGTGTCGATGAGGCGACGAGCTTACACTCGGAGAATGGCTACATTCAGCGGCCCGAAGTCATCGAAGGCTGGTTTTATTTGTGGAGGCTTACTGGTAATGAGGTGAGTCGGCGTTTTTTTTTTGAGAATGAACGCGCCTTTATCTGAAAAGAAAAAAAAACTTCAATGAAAATGGAGTATTGCCGCGAAATTGATTAAAGGCGCATAACACGGAAACTGAGTTGGGTTTTGTGGCGACTGATGAGACCGAAAAAAAAGATGAGTCGAGAATTTTAGAAATATCGCCAATGGATTTGGGACGCGATTCAGGCGATTGATAAGCATTGTAGAGTTGAAGCTGGCTTTGCCGGTTTGAGGAATGTCTACAAGCCGGATCAGGTTTGGTGGTCGAGCTCCTCACGATCAACTATCTTATTTTTTTAATTTCAGGGATATGATGACACTCAACAATCATTTCTTCTCGCCGAGACCTTTAAATATGCTTATTTGGCGTTTGCTGATAACTCGCTTATCGATTTGAATACTTGGGTTTTTAATACGGAAGCGCATCCATTCCCAATTTTGGATCATTAATTAATTAATTATTATTGTGATTCGTTTTATTGTTTGAATTACGGGTTGAGATTTGCGTTTGTTTTGCCTATTGTTGATGATTGCTTTTAATAAAAGCGTTGAATTATTTGAAGGAATTGTGAAGAAAATGGAAAAAAAGTGAGTGAAATTAAATTCCTTGTGATGGGAAATTTGAATTGCCGCTAGTTGGTCGGTGCAAGCGCGCTCCGTTGCCAATCCAAATAATCATCATTTTGAAATCGGTTTTCATAAAATTTTTTTGTGGATTTTGAGTATTCTGCATTGAATTTTGCCTTTTTATTGTTGAATTCGCGTTTTTGAATGTTAAAATAGCATAATCAATAAATAAATTAATTGTTTGCGTCGATATTTCACGCGTTTTTTTTAATTTTTGCCTCCCATGAAATTGATTTCATTTTTCTAGTGAAAATGCCGGACCATCTTGGAGATGATATGCGTAAAACGAAGAAGGCTGATGCTTCGACGGACGAGGAGAAGCCGTTTCAAGGTTTTTTTTTGCTTTATCGATTTAAAATTTGAAGAATTGATATGCAGCCCTTGACGAAGGCGATATTGCTGTGTTGAAACGATATGGACAAGGGCCATACGCGGAACAGTTGAAACAACTCGAAACTGACATTGAGAATTGTTTGAAGAAGGTTAAAAATTTATTTTTCCAAAAAATATGGTGGCAATTTTGATTTTCAGGTTAACGAACTTTCGGGAATCAAAGAATCAGACACTGGTCTCGCTCCTCCAGCTCTCTGGGATATTGCTGCCGACAAGCAGGCTATGCAGCAAGAGCAGCCGCTTCAGGTGGCCCGATGCACAAAAATTATTCACAATGAGGCGACGAACGAGGCGCGCTATTTAATTAACGTCAAACAATTCGCCAAGTTTGTCGTCGAGCTTGCCGATGCTGTCGCTCCGACCGACGTTGAGGTTTGTCGAGAATGAAATCGTGTTTGTTGAATTTCTTTGGGAATTTTTTAGGAAGGAATGCGAGTTGGCGTCGACCGCAACAAGTACCAGATTCATTTACCGCTTCCCGCCAAGATTGATCCAACCGTCACCATGATGCAGGTCGAGGAGAAGCCCGACGTGACCTATTCGGACGTCGGTGGATGCAAAGAGCAAATTGAGAAGCTGCGCGAGGTCGTTGAGACGCCGCTTCTTCATCCGGAACGCTACGTGAATCTTGGAATTGAGCCACCCAAAGGCGTGCTACTCTACGGACCACCGGGAACCGGAAAAACGTTGTGCGCTCGCGCCGTCGCCAATCGTACCGACGCGTGCTTTATTCGTGTCATCGGCTCAGAATTGGTGCAAAAATACGTTGGCGAAGGTGCAAGAATGGTCCGTGAGCTTTTCGAAATGGCGCGAACCAAAAAGGCGTGCCTCATCTTTTTCGACGAGATCGACGCGGTCGGTGGAGCTCGGTGAGATTTTGGCACATTTTTCAGTATTGAATGCGATGATGAGAAACATGCTAATCATGAAGAAGCTCGTCAGCTTCAACAAAACCATGTTGTAAAAAAATCGACTCTGAGCATTCATTGACAATGAGCTGGACCAGCGTTAACTCCTTAATGCCCAATTTTTTTTAGATTTGATGATGGACAAGGTGGAGATAATGAGGTTCAGCGCACAATGCTTGAATTGATCAATCAACTTGATGGATTCGATCCACGTGGAAATATTAAGGTAAAAAATGAGGTTTCATTATTTTTATCTGTGAAAAATTTGAGGTTCTTATGGCAACTAATCGTCCTGACACCCTTGATCCTGCTCTGATGCGTCCGGGACGGTTGGATCGTAAAGTTGAGTTTGCGTTGCCGGATCTTGCCGGACGCGCGCACATTTTGAAGATTCACGCGAAGCAGATGAGCGTTGAACGCGACATTCGCTATGATCTGCTTGCAAGATTGTGCCCGAACAGCACAGGTAATTTTTTCCCGAAAAAAGATGAAGGAAATTTTGATTATTTTCGCTTGATTTTTAACAAAACCCATTAAAATTCCGTTTTAGGAGCTGAAATTCGATCAGTTTGCACAGAGGCTGGAATGTTTGCGATTCGTGCTAGAAGAAAGGTGGCGACTGAGAAGGATTTCCTTGAAGCCATCAATAAGGTTCGATTTGTTCTCTCGGTGCTTCATTAATTTTCATATGTTTGCAGGTTATCAAGGGATATGCGAAATTCAGCGCCACACCGCGCTATTTGACACATAATTAGTAATTTTGTGCACCGAAATTAACTTATTCTCTTCATTCGATTTTTGTCGCTCCCAAATTTTTTTTGAATTGTACAGATTCCACATTTAATTCCCTTTTATCATATTCGGTTGGTTTTCGTGTAAACTGTGCAGAATAAATGTCACTGACTGGATAATTTTGTTAATTTGGAATGGAAAGTTGAAAGTAAAGCAAAATTTATAGTTCTTATATTATTGTTTATATATATTACACTGTTTCAGATCTTTTTATCTTTCTTTCAGAATGCTTGCAGTAATTCAGGCCCCAATGGGCCGTTCAAAAATTGCGTATAGCACCCATATTTCAGGGGCTATCGCGAGCAATTGGGAAAAGTTTTCAACCAGCAATAAACGCACCTCGGCAGAGCCTCATTGGTCACGTTATCGCCCCAGCGCAAAGCTGTCTTCGGCCGCCATCGAGGCAAACATGAACATTCGCGTGTGCCGACGACTGACGGGTTTCGCCGCATTCTATGGTTTGTGTTGGGAGACGCGGCGCGGTCGGCGCGTCGCGGTCGTCGCGCACTTTCGAATTTTGAATTTCTTTTTGGCGTTGCCACTAGTTTTTTAATGTTTTCTCCGGTTTTTTGATGTATTTTTTTTAATTTTTGTTAATATTTTGTTCGAAGATATGATTTGTACATATTGTCGAATTTTTTTCGCGTATTAAACACTTGAAAACGTTGATAACATATTTCAGGATGCGTGCGTTATGAAAGTTTTGTTTTTTCGACTATTTTCCCGCATTTTGTCTATCATTTTACAACTTTCTTATTACAAATACAATTAATTTCTTTCCAAAATTATATTTTACTTAATAGTTTCGAAATGCAACTTGAATCTTTTAAAATTTAAATAATCTGCTATCTTAATTTCATTATATACCTTTATTTTTTTTCCATTTCTTTCTTTTTTATTAAACATTGTTTTAGGTTTCAACAGCATTCAAAAAGACAACGATGGCTGCGTAAGTTGACTAATCATTTAATAAAAATCAAATTTCGATTTTAGTCAAGCAAAACCAAGATCCGAAATGACCGCCGAAGAGCTGAATGCCAAGGAGCAGGACGAGTTCGCGATGGGACCACTCTCAATTCTCACCAATTCCGTTAAAAACAATGCTCAGGTTTCTAAATAATTGGTAGAGTATTTATAGAATGCGAGTTTTCCTTCAGGTGCTCATCAACTGCAGAAACAACAAGAAGCTTCTGGGCCGCGTGAAAGCCTTCGATCGTCACTGCAACATGGTGCTGGAAAATGTGAAAGAGATGTGGACAGAGGTGCCAAAAACCGGAAAAGGCAAAAAGAAGGCCAAGTCGGTGGCAAAGGACCGATTCATCTCGAAGATGTTCCTCCGTGGTGACTCGGTGATTCTGGTGGTAAAGAATCCTCTCGCGCTTTCCTCCGAATAATTTTGCTTTGTAATTCTACGCACATTGTTATACGTTCCTTTTATTTGTTCTCCAATAAATTATTGAGAAATTATTTTTTTTTGATAGAACCAGTAAACCGTAAAATAGCGGAAATCTTTTTTTTTAATTCGTTTGTCTGAAAAATTCTCGTGAACCCGAAAAACCAGTTTGTCATTTTCAATCGAATGATACGCCGGCTCGCCGCCGCCGTCATTCTCCCAAAAAAGGACATTTTTGTTTGCATTTTGATTTTTGTCACAATCGATTTAAACAATTTTCAGGTTTTCAGCCGCCGAAATATGCCGTCGGTTCGCGTCGTGACCAATATTCCGGATTCGAAGGTCCCTACCGATTTCGAGGTCCGCCTCACCGAGGTTCTTGCCAAATCGATGGGAAAACCGAGCAATCGAATTGCCGTCGAGGTGGGTCGATCGCTTCGAGACGCTGTTTCAGTTGAAGCATGCACCTTTATGCCATTTTTAAAGGAGCATTGCGCTACTGATTTGCTGGGTCTCGTCGCGATTTCTATTTTTCTACAGAAATAAATCAACTTTTATTAAAGATTTCCGCTGGAGCCCGATTGGTTCATGCATGCTCGAAGGAACCAACCACTGTGGTGACGGTAAGAAATTTTTTTCACCAAATTTTGATGATGATAAATTTTTATCGACAAAAATGTGGCATTTAATATTAGCAATTTGCAACCGATAATTATTGTTGTGGAAAGCTTAATTTGAAAACTAAAACAATTGAATGGGACCCTACTCCGTCAGTTGACACTTTTTGTCAAAAACCAAATTAAGCTATGATCTTTCGCAATGGGATCGTTGTAAAATGCAAAATTGGCTTCGACATGGTTTTCCCTACAAGACCCATGGCGCGAATTCAAATAAAATTATCGATGAATTGAAGATTCAATCAATTGGCGCCGTTTCTGCTGAGGACAATATCCGAACGACTGGCGCCGTCACCGCGTTCATGAGCGGCGAGCTCGGACTTCCAAGCGACAAGGTTGGTCTCGTGGGTGTCGAAATGCTGACCGATGCTCCGATTTGCAGGTGCTCCTTTTCTTCAGCAACATGTCGCCGGAGATGGTCGGCTTCCAGGGCACCACCGTCGCCGCTGCGTCTTCATCATAATCCTCATTTTGATTATTTTCGAGATTTAGATTTTGGATAAAGTATGTCTATTTTTCTGTTGTTCAAAGTTTTGAATTCAAAAATTCGGTGATTCGATCGTTCGTAAAATGATTTAAATTTTAGGGAAAATCTTCAGAATTCCGCTCATGATTTCACTGGAGTAAGAAGAATTTTTAACAAAAATCCGAAATTTTGGCAAAAAATTTTTCGTTATCGCCGCAAAACGCGAATGGAATTCGGGCACGACAACCGGCGAATCAAACTCACCGTAAAACTACACTGGGTGCTCGGTGGTTTTTGCCATTGTAATCCTTTTAACCTTAAGAATAAATTCCAAATTGTTTTCTTTGGGTATTTTCTTGAACAAATTCAAATTCATTCACTTGTTCATCAACCGCGAGCTTCCTCCTCAACGGCTCATCCTTACAGGTGCTCCTTTATACCGATGAAAATCGTCGATACTCCGTATTGCGACACAACCGAAAACCATCTTTTTCGGGTCGTCCGAATCATGCAATTCTTATCATGTCCCGAGAAAACGGATGTGAGTGATTGGGCGGAGACTCGCGTGTTTTATCGGAGCACACGTGCGAACCGTATTTAAACCAACTCGGACAGGTCAATGATTAGCTTCTGCTCGACATCGAACATGGTAAGTCGCATTTTCTATTGGATCGGCAACATTTCGTCGGATTTCAGAAGTGTTTCATCATTGCTGCCGCGCTCTGTGCCGCCACCCTCGCCTTCGTCGTCCCAGATGGTATTCCAACAATCTTCATGGCTTAACAGGATCCTTGAATTTCAGAAGTCGCTAAACGCGAGATGCTCACTGGAGCTGAACTCGTCGACTACGTCAACAGTGTGCAAAAGGACTTTGTTCTTGAGCACAGTGACTTGACTGTTGAGGACATTATGCCGAAGTTGATGCACCCGAAGTACGCCGCTGCTCATTCCGACGAACTCCTTGCCACCGCCGTCACCGAGGAAGCCGCCTCGATTCCAGCGTCGTTCGATGCTCGCGCCAAATGGCCACACTGCAGCTCGATCAAATTGGTCCGTGACCAAACCAACTGCGGATCGTGCTGGGCCTTCTCCACCGCCGAGACCATGTCCGACCGTACCTGCATCGCCTCCAACGGAGCCCAACAGCCAATCCTCGCCCCAGAAGACGCGCTCTCGTGCTGCGGATCGACATGCGGATACGGTTGCGAGGGAGGATACCCAATTGAGGCCCTTCGCTATTGGGGCAAGACTGGTGTTGTCACTGGTGGAGATTACCACGGATCCGGATGCTTGCCATACACCATCGCGCCATGCAGCGGAAACTGCAAAGAGGCCTCGACACCGAAATGCGTCAAATCGTGCCAATCGGGATACTCGAAGTCCTTCTCCGCCGACAAGCACTTTGGAAAGTCGGCCTACGCCGTCGCCAAGACCGTCTCCGCCATTCAGACTGAGATCATGAACAACGGACCAGTCACCGGAGCGTTCTCCGTCTACGAGGACTTCTACAAGTACAAGAGCGGAGTCTACCATGTAAGATTCGAATGTTTGAATTTCTCATCTCAAGGGTCCTTTAATTTCAGCACACCGCCGGAAAGCTTCTCGGAGGACACGCTATCAAGATCATCGGATGGGGAACCGAAGGAGGAAAGAACTATTGGCTCGTCGCCAACTCGTGGGGATCCAGCTGGGGAGAGAGCGGATTCTTCAAGATCCTCCGCGGAACCAACGAGTGCGGAATTGAGCACGCCGTCGTCGCCGGACTCGCCAAGGTCTAATTCAAGCAAATTGCACTATGAATAAATTACTTTTCTAATTTTTTTTCAATTCTCTGGCAACTCAAAACCAATGGGATCCGACAAATTCGGATCCGTAATCAACCTTATCCGATTGGTAATTCTACGGATAAGATTGGAAAATTGTCGGATCCGAATAGATTTTCTTCGAATCCAATTGGTAATTATTTCAATTCGTTTTGTTTTATTATTTCAATTCGAATCGGATTCGACAAATAACCAATCTCATCCGTATTACCAATCGGATAAGGTTGATTCCTGAACCGAATTTTGTCGGATCCCATTGGTTTTGAGTTACCAGAGTTGTCAAAATTGTGCGTTTGAATCCCAACATTGGGAATGATCTGCTTCTCATTGATAAGAATTGTCGAAATCGAACTTGATAATCAGTTTTTGTGGAAAAAAATCACGAGGTCGTCAGTGATTAGAGAAGAGCGCTGAATACGCAAAATGTGAACTTTAATGAAAATTCGAAAAAGGAAGTAAATAATATCTCGGTGCTAAGTAGTACGAGTCTCCTAGACATCACGTGCCGTTTCGAGCTGCTTCTTTAGTCATGGATTGTTTTTTCGCTGAGTGACATTTCAAAAAACTTCAAAACTTTGAAAAAAGTGTTGAAAAATTAATGAAAAATTTGAGTAATGGCCTAGGAATTTCTAGGCCACGTTGAGCATATTTTCAAATTTCAGTGATTTGCGTTCAGATTTTGCACATGTTTTTAGATTTTTATAATCAATTTTGCGATATTTTCAATGAAAATAACTATTAAAAATTTTCAAATATATGTTTCTTAGAGATTTTCAAATAAAAGCGCGATTTGACAGCTGAATGAACTTTTTTTTGATCATGTAATTGATAAAAATGTTTGATTTTTGCAGGTGATCTCTCCGCGTGATTATTTTGATTGCATTGTTCGGAAGAATGATGTGAATAGAGCTTTTGATTTTCAATTTCATATATGACCTTAAAACTCTGAGAATTCTCCGCATTCCTCTCTAATTCTGACGACACTCTCAACTCTTCTCGGTAAACGGATGCATTTTATGAACACCAGAGAAACGGAAGACCGATGGGCGGAGTTTGTGCAATTCGACGTCTTATCGCGAATTTCCCTCAATCTTTGCGATAAGATGCCTGTATAAAAGAGCGTGATGGAAATTAATCGTAGCTTCTGCTCGACAACACTCCATTATGGTATGTTAAAATTTTGAAATGCTTTTAAATTTTATCTATTGGCATTTCAGAAGTGTTTCATCGTTGCCGCCGCGCTCTGCGCCGCCACCCTCGCCTTCGTCGTCCCAGATGGTAATCCAACAATCTTCATGGCTTAATGAAGTCCTTGAATTTCAGAAGTCGCTAAACGCGAGATGCTCACTGGAGCTGAACTCGTCGACTACGTCAACAGTGTGCAAAAGGACTTTGTTCTTGAGCACAGTGACTTGACTGTTGAGGACATTATGCCGAAGTTGATGCACCCGAAGTACGCCGCTGCTCATTCCGACGAACTCCTTGCCACCGCCGTCACCGAGGAAGCCGCCTCGATTCCAGCGTCGTTCGATGCTCGCGCCAAATGGCCACACTGCAGCTCGATCAAATTGGTCCGTGACCAAACCAACTGCGGTTCGTGCTGGGCCTTCTCCACCGCCGAGACCATGTCCGACCGTACCTGCATCGCCTCCAACGGAGCCCAACAGCCAATCCTCGCCCCAGAAGACGCGCTCTCGTGCTGCGGATCGACATGCGGATACGGTTGCGAGGGAGGATACCCAATTGAGGCCCTTCGCTATTGGGGCGAGACTGGTGTTGTCACTGGTGGAGATTACCACGGATCCGGATGCTTGCCATACACCATCGCGCCATGCAGCGGAAACTGCAAAGAGGCCTCGACACCGAAATGCGTCAAATCGTGCCAATCGGGATACTCGAAGTCCTTCTCCGCCGACAAGCACTTTGGAAAGTCGGCCTACGCCGTCGCCAAGACCGTCTCCGCCATCCAGACTGAGATCATGAACAACGGACCAGTCACCGGAGCGTTCACCGTCTACGAGGACTTCTACAAGTACAAGAGCGGAGTCTACCATGTAAGATTCGAGTGATTAAGCTTCTAATCCCAATGGTTTCTTAATTTTAGCACACCGCTGGAAAGAGTCTCGGAGGACACGCCATCAAGATCATCGGATGGGGAAATGAAGGAGGAAAGGACTATTGGCTCGTCGCCAACTCGTGGGGATCCAGCTGGGGAGAGAGCGGATTCTTCAAGATCCTCCGCGGAACCAACGAGTGCGGAATCGAGCACGCCGTCGTCGCCGGACTCGCCATGGTCTAAAGCATTCAACAATGTAAAATTGTCATGTACATGCACCTTTAATAATGCTAATAATAAACAGATGTTCATATCACATATTTATTGAGATAATTGAGAAAATTAGGGCTAGACGAGACCGGCAACAACGCCGCTCTCGATGCCACATTCGTCCACGCCGCGTCGGAATCGAAAGAAGCCGTCCTCTCCCCAACCGGATCCCCACGAGTTGGCGGCGAGCCAATAATCATTGCCATTCTCGCTTCCCCATCCAATGATTTTGATGGCGTGGCCACCAAGGTCGGGGCCAGCGACATGCTGAAAATTGAGAGACCATTGGAAAAAGAGCGGTGGGGGGGGGTCCCTTACATGGTATACTCCGCTTTTATACTTGTAAAAGTCCTCATGGACGGTGATCGCCGCGCTAACCGGTCCATTGGTCATGATCTCCGTCTGAATGGCGGCGACGGTCTTGGCGACAGCGTAGGCCGATTTTCCAAAGTGCTTGTCGTCGGAGAAGGACTTCGAGTATCCCGATTGGCACGTCTCGTGGCACTGCGGAGTCTCGGCCGGCTTGCAGTGAGCGTGATCGCACGGCGGCACAGTGTACGGCTTGCAGCCGCCTCCCAGATAGTCGCCGCCGGTGACGACGCCGCGTCGATTGAAGAACTCCAACGCTTTGATGAGATAACCGCCCGAGCAGCCCAAACCGCACGATTGTCCGCAGCACGCGAGCGCGTCCTCGGCCGACAAAATCGGTTGTCGCGCGCCGCGCGTCGCAATACAAACGCGATCCGACATCACCTCGGCGGCGGCGAACGCCCAACACGCGCCGCAATTCGTCTGATCGCGTATGAGGCGAATCGACGCGCAATTCGGCAAGTGTTCACGAGCGTCGAACGCGTCGGGAATCGCGTCGGCGACGTCGTCGACGGCGCCGGCGAGCGTCTCGTCGGAATGCGCGTCGGCGTACCGACTCAACATCACCTTCGTTCGCATCTCGTCGATGGTGGCGTTGACGAGGCCGACGACGAAATCGTCTTGGATTCGATTGACGTACTCGACCAAATCGACGCCGCTGATTTTCGAGACGTCTGAGAAGCGATGGATTCGAGATCGTCGGCCAACGACCCATCTCACCTGGAATGCTCGACGAGTACGACCTTCTTGCCGCCAGCGCGATGACGATGGTGAGCAGAAGCTTCTGCAATATTGACGGACCATTGGAAGGGAGGGGCCGAAACGTACCATTATGATATCAATGTGAGACGGGGGACCTCATTTCGACGGCTACCAACGCCTTAAATAATTTTCATGTTTTTGTTTTTTTTTCGACAAAAAATAATTAATGATAGCGTGGAGATCAAAAAACGCAACGGTTTGGTTTGAGACTACCGTAGTCTTGGATTACGGTAGCTTAAACTTAATTACTAATTGGGGGTTTTTGCTATAGCGCACTGTGTACTCCACACGGACAATGTCAATTCAACAATAATTATTCCTTACTACCGTAATCTCGGAGGATTACTGTAGCTTAGAAATGTTCTAGTAGATTGAACTTGATGGATTACTGTAGGTCGATGCGCCTTTAAACTTTTGCCTTTGAATGGAATTGTTTACCAATGTTGATTTACGTCATCACTCGATAAGAATTAGATGGAGAGCAAACATTGAGGCTGAATTAATTAATTACCCATCGCGTGGAACTCGGTGGGTAATTAAAAACTTAATTAACCCATAAAAACCATTGGAATCGGCGAGAGTCATCCGGTGAGATGTCCGCAGCACAATATTGTTGCTCGCTTACTATTTTTTTGTTTAATTTTGAAGCGCGCTTAAATGCCACGCTAATTGGTCTCATTAATTGGTAGGTGTGGTGTGGAAATTGTCCAATTTCATCGTATTAGTCGGACCATAAAATTGCGTGGCGCATACACGTCATTTTGTGTGCGGACCCACAAGCCACGCCCATCACCCGCCATCACCACTATCGGCTCGCTCGCTTTTTTTTTGTTAGTGGGAGTCGCATTGTCTCCGAATCGGTCGACTAGAAGTGAATTTGGTTGTTTTTGTGTTTAGACACCGCCATTTAAGCGTTTTTCTCTTCGAAGAAAATAAATGCTCGTTTTTTCTAGTTTTTTCCCGATTTTTTAAATCTACAGTACCCTTCTTCGATTACGGTAGCGGGATTACTGTAGGTTGAATAAATGTGTCGCGGAGCGGACGCGCGGTTTCTTGTACGCACATCTCCCTCAACCGTCGGAAGTCATGTTGGCAGTTTTGCTAACTCTTGTGCTGGGTTGCGAAAGGTCGATGGCTCGAGACCTCCGCCAAGATTTTGTTTTTGCAATTCATTTTCGACCTATTCACACCGTTAATCATCAAGAAATAGCTTACCCGAAAGAATATTTTGAAAATTGCGAAGAGACCAAGCGAGAAAGCGGACCATTGCAGCGAAATGAGAATGACGCTAGGGACCATGTTTCAATCTTTCATATTTTCCCTGCCAACCAAAAATAAAAAAAAAATGCAAAAAATACATTATTTTTTTATATCTATCTTATGTATATATATATTATTATGCGTATATTATACGCATGAATGAACGCATTATGCATTGTTTAGTTGAATAGCCGACATTAGGAGTTCCACATTCTGTTTTTTTTGACCTACCGTATACGTACAAAGGTAGCGACGCTCATTGCAATGCAGCACATTTGCTCCTAATTTTTCTTTTCTTTTTTTGGTTGGTGACGCGCCGAAAATGAATATTCAATGAATTTTTGCGGGAGAATATATATACATGTATATTACATATAAGGAATTGATGCTGCGGACAATTGGCGGGATTTTTCGGGGGGACGCACTGATAGAATGAAGTGTCGCGGAGCACGACTTACTTGTACGCACTGCGCGCACCTTCAACAATTGGTCTTAGGTGAAAATTTATTAGTGTTTCAGCCCGTCACACGAGAGGTCGCGGGTTCGACTCCCGCCGAGAAAGTTTTCAGTTTTGCATGCAATTTAGATCGCATTTCTCGCCTATTTCCAATTCTTTCGCACTTCCTTTACTGAATATATCCTCCAAACTCTCACCCGCTTTTTGAGTCCAAATTTGTACTCGCGCTATTCCAAAAAAGAAAGAAGGATTAGAAGAAGGAGGAGAGATCTGATGTCATTTGGGGGCGTGTCCTGCGGTGGTCATTTTCTCGAATCTGCTGTTTATTTTTTTTGAGCTTCTTTGCGAGCTTCTCCTTCTTTTTTAATTAGCCTTTCTCTTTTTTTGTTAAGATTATTATTATTTTTGTTGCCGGCGAACAATAGTTGTTGAATTATTCAAAATTATGATGCATGTCTTATTTGGAGCGCGGCGACGACGAAAATCACTAGACGGTTTTTTTCATCGCATCAGACATTCATTGACGCAAGGTCATCGCGTTGTGTGCATTTTTGCGTCGAATTCGCTGTTTTCCACTTTTTCAGCTTTTGATGATTCAAATCTAATAGGCTTAAATTGTTGCTAATCTTGATTAGCGAGTACGATACCGGGGATGAGCGGTGACGTCATTTTTTTCTAACCCGCGAGTTGTCGGCAGATGTATGTCGACTATTTCTTTCTCTCCCCCGCTGGTAATTGTCGTCGCCGACACATCGATAAATATTTCATTTTTTTTTGGCAAAATTCCAGAGCTGAAAGATTGCGAAAATCGCCTAAAATATTCAAATATTTACGTCACCCGACACACAATCATTTCCCGGTTTTTTTTTGTCGATTGGTTGTGGCTCGAAAAAAATGAGGGAAGGCGCCAAAAAAAAAAACAGTGGAAATCTCTTCAAAAATGCATTGGCGGCGGCTGAAAGGGACGCAAAGTTGCGCCAAAAATTAGGTATGAATTCGCCGCGGGGCGACATTCAATTTTCTGTCACGCCCGACGATTTTCACCTTTCTCGTTTTCTTTTGTTGATTATTTTGTGCGCAGAAATAAATAAACAGCGCGCCCTCAATCTTTTTTTTTTGAGAGCGTTTCATTCAATTAGGCGCAACCGCGCGCGCGCGCCTTCAGGGCCCAACTTGCCAGAATCTGATTATGAGCGATATAATAAGCGTGCAAAAAACGAAGGCTTGGAGCGGGATTGAACCTGTGGGGCTTCGCGCGCCGGTCAAAAGCACAATGACATTCCAATCCAATCACTGTTTCGCGAGGCGCCAAAGGCGTATAAGAATCCCGCGCGCCCTCGCTCCGCGACACCTCCCACCAACAGCGGACATCCATCCGGGCGCCGGGCGCGCCATGCTATTTTTCGCGGCGAATCGCCCCATAATTGACGCTCAATTATTCATGCGCCTTTAAATTGTCGCAAATCTTTGCTTATTTCTCATTCCCGAGTCCCAGAAACGGGGCGATTCGATCGATTTCCAAGTGGGGGTCCTAGCAACGGTGCCGTAAATAATCCCTAATTTGGTGGTTGTTTTTTTTTATTGCGTCTAGCGTGCTCTCTCGCCACCTATGATATCATGTATACATGATTCGATTGGGGCGATATATAGAATATAAGAAAAGAGAGTCTCGGAATGGGGGCGGAGCCATCACGGTGTGAGAAGGCCGAGGGGGGGGTCGAGTCGAGTTATTTGCATTCCAAATTTACTTGAAGGTTTCCCCCCTTGCCGAATTAATGACACTTTTGCGCAGAGAGATACGTTTTCTCGGAGGCAACTTTCAGCTTCTTCTTCTTCTTCTTCTTCTTCATTCGCCTGCCATTCGTCAATTTATCATTTTTATTTATTTATTCATTTTTTTGCCATCATTTGATGACTTCCCTGATGTCGTCGTGGCGATTGATGGACGCCGGCGAAACCCGCGAAATTGTCCGCAGCAATTCGTTTATGACGGCCGTATCATAATAGCGGCACCCCGCGAATTGTCCGCAGCTCCCTCCTCACTCCTCTTGGATGCTGGCGAAACCCGCGAATTGTCGGCACATGGGTTTCCCAAAAAAATAGTAACGAAAAGAAGAGAAACTCAAAAGCCGCCAATTTTTGATCAAATAAAGCCATATAAAAGCTCGTAAAATTTATGGAAAGCCCCAATCTCTGTGATTTATTTTCCATGAAGAGAAAAAAAAATTGTGGGGGGATGTCGTATTTCTTTTTCGTTCCCCCCTTATCCATTGTCATTTTTCGATTTTTGTAGGTAATCACGAGAAATGTTGCGACATTCAGTTGTGCTACTCGCCGCCTTCCACTGTGCGCTCACTTTCAGCATTCGCGACATTATCAACGGCAAACGCGCCGATTCCGCAGGTTTTTGAGTGTTCCGGGCTTCAATATTCGAAAATTCGTTTGCCTCAGTTCCGTGCCCAACGTGGCATCCGTTCGCGTGTCCGTCCGGCGAATGTGTTCCCATCAAATATCTGTGCGACGGCTCGCCGGACTGCTCCGACGAGTACGATGAGAACAAGAGCATGTGTACGGCGGCGACGCGGCCGCCCGTCGAGGAGACGCAGGCGTTCCTCAAGGCGCTGATGGCGGCGCACGGCAAAGATTTTTTGGTGAAGGTGAACTGTTTGGATCATCGGCGACCCGCGAGGTGTCCGCAGATGATTCTTCATATATAAAAGAAGAGACATCTATGGGGTTTCTTGCGCGTAATCAATGCTTGGGGGCGACCCGCGAGGTGTCCGCAGATGATTTTTCATATATGAAAGAGCAGACAACTTTCGATGTTCCCGCGCGCGTAATCAATGTTGGGGGAGACCCGCGAGGTGTCCGCAGATGATTCTTCATATATGAAAGAGGAGAAATCCATTGGGTTTCTCGCGCGTAATCAATGTTTGCGGGCGACCCGCGAGTTGTCCGCAGATGATTGCCATCAAGCCTCTCGCACCTAAATTGATATCCTACCCTCCAAATTGCGTTTGCAGGTGTTCGGGCCGAAAGCGAAATCGGAATTGTCGGGAATGGGCGGCGTCGACAAGGTGGCGGTGGCGTTGTCGCGTAAGTTGGTCCGTCGCCGACAAACCCGCGGGGGGCGAGGCGACGGTGTCGTCGGTGTCGAACAATCGTCCGATTTAGAGACGCCAACGGCGGACCTGTTCGCCGCCGAGATGAAGCTCGACGACGCCGAAACGCAGCACATGCTCGAGGTGATGGAAGGAATTCTCAACGGCTCGACCGATGAGCTCACCTCGAACGAGTCGGCCGATTTTCGGTTTTTCGTCCAAAAACTGCAAGTGAGTCGTGTTGTTGATTTTTTTTTTGCATTTTTTTCTGGATTCCCCAATTTCCAGGAGACCGGCTTCTTCTAGACGATCTGTGGGTGCCGTCGTGACCCCCCATACGTGTGTTCAACAACAAAATCAATTCAATTCCACAAAGCATACATCGCGTCGAACGAAAAATTCAGACCCCCCCCCTCCAAAAAAAATTTTTGTCGTCGTCTTCCAAGAATGTTAGATCGCAATTTTCCTCATTCATTCTTTTTTTGCCCGCCACCCTCCCTCTCGCCAATTTGCACCCATATAAATCACACCAATGAATAAACCATTTCTCCATGTTACCAGCTTTGACCGGATTTTCAAAAAAAAAAAAAGAAAAAATAATTTATTATGCGCTATATCAAAAATTGGTGTATTTCTTTTGGAAAGACTAGAATATTGATTTTTGGTCCGAAGAAGAAGAAGAAGCATCGGTATTGAATGAACCCGTTTGAAGGAGGAAGCTATTGGTGGTCCCTACACGTAGGTCATCGTTTGTGGCGTCACGTAGGGCGACGCGCTGCCGCCCGTCGGGCTCTTCCATTGATGGCTCGGCGGCGCGGTGCCGTAGCCGCTCTCGCGTCCCGACCCGTCATCCCACTGGCGCGGCGACTCGTTGGCGATTCTGTGGACCATCAAATTTGGTTGCGATCTCTCGCCTGAATGTCTCGCTTACCGGCTGATCTCTCTGTCGTAGCTGGCGTCGCTCAGCGACGCCGGCGATTGCGTCGTCGTCGTCGGCGGTTGCGGCGGCCGACAGCTCGGCGGCGGTCGTCGAACCGACGCCATTCGTTTCGTCGTCGTCGTCAAATAGCCGATCTCCTCATAGTGGTCCGACGGCGGCGGCGGGACCATCGAAATCGTGTGGTACGCGCTGTTCTCGTGCGGATTGAGGCGAAGTGTCGTCGATTCGGAATGGCGCATCGGCGGCGGCGGCGGCGGCGCCATTCCGACGTACGAGCGCAACGTCGTCGGCGTGTGCTGAAACACGCGACTGCCCGCCGTCGAATCGTTCGTGTAGACCATCTGACGGGGCTTCATCGAATTGTACGTCCAGAGGTGCTCGCGCGAGACCAGCATCGAGTCCGACGACAACTTCTTCGACGACGACGACGTCGCCCGATCGCGATGCCTGCAAATTTCACGACGATGAAATTGTCCGCAGATGGCCGCCGTCAAGTGGCCTTGTCAATTTTGTACCCTCATAATCGTGGGTCGAAATTTAATTAAATCGCAACCTCAAGTGTTTATAGTGGTCCCCACCAACGAACCTTTGTCGAACGCGTCGCGCGACCGTCGCGCAAATCGCGACAAGCAGGAGAATCGAGACGACGGCGACGCCGATGAGCACGTTGACGATGAGCTCGTCGTCATCGTTGACGACGACGTCGTCGCTCATCGATGAGATGGTGTCGCGAATGTCGGAGATGCTCACAAATTGATTCGATGTGCCGCATTGCTCGTCGACGGCCTGCAATTATATTGATTTTCATCTGCCGACAATCATACGGGTCTGGTTTGCCTGGGGGTTTTTTTTTTCAAAGGGACCATGCAAAATTTGAGTGGTCCGCTCGCTAATCGGCAACCCCCAAGTTTTTCGAGCGAGCCGAAACAATTTGCATATTGATGATTGATTGCGCTACCCCCCACGGGAAGGAAGGGACCAATTTATTAGGGACCCCCCCCTCTATACCGAAAGACATGAAACAATTCATCAAGTGGAGAGAGAGGGGGGGGGGTGGATTAAATGAAAATCTTGACAAAGTTTTGATTACGGACCATTGAAGCCGCAAGGGACCATTCCAACAGTCTATCAATTCGTTGAAGTTCTAAGGACCATAAAGTTATTTCTAGGTGCCAAAAAGGAATGTAATTGAAATCTCAGAAAACAGATGGCAATTTTTTTTCTGGGGACCATTAAAATAGTAGAAAATATTCTAGGGACCACCCAAAAAAAAGGATGTCATTTTTAAGAACCATAAATTGGAAAGACATGTTCTTAGAAGCAGGAAAAAATGCTATCATATTTCTAGGGACCATAAAAAAAGAAATGATAGCAATTTTTTCTAGGGGCCACAAAAAATAGTGTGAGACCATTGAAATAGCACTAAGCACGTGCTGGGGACCATTAAAGTAGTAGAAAATATTCTAGGGATCACCCAAAAAAGGTTGTCCATTTTAAGGACCATAAATTGCTGAAACATGTTCTAGGCAGCAGAAAAAATTGCTGCCATATTTCTGGGGACCATCAAAAATGAAATGATAGCAATTTTTCAAGGGACCACAAAAATTAGTGCGAGACCATTGAAATAGAACTAAGCACGTTCTGGGGACCATTCAAAAAAGAACTGGCGATTATCTCTTACCTCATCGAGCGTCTCATCGCTGATGAGATGCCAAATCAGACTCGGGTCGGGCGGCGGCGGAAGATCGAACACGGGCGGCTCGCTGACACAATGGCACATCATCCCATGAAAAGAGTAACGAGGAGAAGGCGGCCTGAAATTCGAAACACGGTTGCCAAGAGAAGAATAGAAATGCGTCGAGGAGCAGCACTCAAGAAAAGTACACGAAAACTTTTGAGCACAAGAGTTGTCGAATTATAATAATAATAATGGTCCCGAGAAGATTCAACAATTCCTCCCCCCCTCGTCCCAAACCTCTCGACCTTCAAATGTATGTATTGAGATTTTTTGCGCGAACAATTTCGGACCAAATGGCCCGAATCGTCGACAATTATACGCCGGCCGGCGTTTGCCATTTTTTTCTCGCTCCCGGCGATGATTTCTGGCGGGCGCGCTCATGCGCGAATTCGTTTTTTCGCCCAAAAAATGGCTTTTTTTTTGAAAGCTTCAATTTCAGAGAAATTCCACGAAAATTATGGAGTCTCTCTCTCTCTCTATCGAAAAAAAAAAACTTTTTTTTTGAAATTTGCAAAAAAATGATTTTTGCTGGAAAATTCGCGAAAAAAATGAGAAAATTGATTGAAAAATGCGCGATTTTTGTCAGAACGCGAAAAAAAAATGATGAGAAGAAAATTGGTTGAGAAAATTCGGATTTGGGTCAACATTTCGCCAATTTAATTCGAAAAATGATCAAAAATGGATTTTTATGGCAAAAATTGCAAAAAAGTCATATTTCTATGTGAAAAATGACTAGAAATTCGGCAAAAATCGTATTTTCTAAAAAAAAATTGAAAAAAAATGACAATTTAGTTCAAAAAATGGTCGAAAATTTGTCAAATTGTTGAATTTCAGGCCAAATTTTGCAAAAAATTTAATTTCCATCAAAAAATTTACTAGAATTTTGCCAAAAATGGAACTTCGTGGCAAAATTTGCAAGAAAGTCATATTTCTATGTGAAAAATGGCGTAAAATTCGGCAAAAATTGGTTTTCAAAGAAAAATCGAAGAAAAAATGTCAATTCAATTCGAAAAAATGACAAGAAACTCGCCAAAAATAAAATTTCAAGCCAAATTTTGCAAAAAATCTCATTTCCATCTAAAAAATGACTAGAAATTCGTCAAAAATTGATTTTCAAGAAAAATCGAAGAAAAAATGTCAATTCAATTGGAAAAATGATCGAAAATTGGCGAAAAATGAAATTTCAAGCCAAATTTTGCAAAAAATCTCATTTTCATCTAAAAAATGACTAGAAATTCTCCAAAAATGGCAAAAATTGAGATTTCAATTCGTCGAAAAATGGCGACCTTCGGTGACACTAATTAATCAAATCAATCAATTAATTATCGTCGCCCAAATTTTTACAATGAAGGTCGATATCAAAGAGGTCCCACCAAAAAAAAAGGGATGATTGACAACAGCAACCGGATTACCGCACAGAAAAAAAAACAAGGGAAAGAAGGACAAGAGCGCTCTCGCTATGAGAATTCCCTTAAAAGGAAGGTAGGGGGGGGCCGCGCGCGCGGGACACCCAAAAACCGACCGAGGTCAAACATTTACGCAATTGCAGTTCATAATATAATTAAGATCTCTCAAAAAAAAACGATTCGTTGGTTTTCATATACAGTTTTTCATGCTAATTCGAGTGCGACTAATCACATTTGAGGGGGTGGGCGATGCGCGCGCGGCCCGCGCTACGCCAGGGGCTGGTTTTCGTGATGGGAACAAGGACAATGTGAACGGAACTCAATTAACTCGTTTGGCTTTTTTTTTCTATTCCGTTTCGATCAACTACTATTGAATGGGTTGGTGTGCTGCGGACATCCTACCGGGGCCCAACAACACCAACTACCGTAATCCAAGGAAAGTTTGGGGATGGGTAAATGTAGCAAACAGCGAACAATGGTCGATTCCTCCTTCTCTAATAATGTGGGCGTGGCTAGGAGAGAGAGAGAGAGACGCAGAGTTGAGTGGTGCACTCCCACCCATGACACCATGGTGTGAATTGTCTGGATTAGAGAGAGCCACCCAAAATTGGGTATCATCATTGTTGGCGTCTTGATTGGGTGATAATCACCATTTGGTGGCAGATGGTGGCAATGGTTACGGTAGGTCACCGAGAAAGTCAGAATTTCTACAAAAAGTGGCTTGAATCAATAATATAATCGAGACAAAATTGTCCGCAGATGGAAAATATTGAGAGAGAGAGCCGACGAAAAGAAATGAGCAGAAGCCTACCTTTTTTTGGGGGGCCAAGCAAAAAGTCAACACAAAAAACTTTTTTTTTGGACCCCCCCCCACCGCCTCAAAAGCATGTTTTGTGGCAGCTTCTTCTCCAATAAGAAAAACTTTTTTTTTTGGTGGAGAAGCCCCCCGAAATCGCGCAAAATAGAATCATTTCTCTGACACCCCCCAATTCATTTGGGAGAGGATGGAGCTCGAGATTCATTCTTTTCTCTCTCTATTTTTTTTTCTTCGAGGAGCTCGACGAGGTCCGTCCTTCTGCCAAACAGCCATCATCATAAACGTTGGGCAATCGGTTGCGCGCACGCTTGGCACGATTTACGATATCATCGAGCTCCAGCTCAGCTCGAACACCCCCAAAAAATGGTTGACAATGATTTATGATGTTTGTTGGGTGAGATGATTTTGATTCGACGCCAGATGATGACCACCAGAACCCCCCGGCCGGCCATAATTTCTCCGTGGCTGTTGATGCTCGACGGAAATTGGCGTGTGTGTATGTGTGCTCGTTTATTGCACCCAGAGTTTTTTGACAAGAATGCTACTAATTTTGGCGATTCATGGGAACGTTGTTCGATTTCGAGTTTAAAGGCGCATAGGCCCAAAAAAAGTCAAGATTTTAATGTACTTGAGCCATTTTCAGGCAGCTTGTTTAAAGGCGCATATGCCCAAAAAAGTCAAGAGTTTAAAGGGCTTGAGAATTTCAGGCAGCTTGTTTAAAGGCGCATGAAGGTTTCTTAAAGGTGTGGGGACTCTAAAAACGCATCAGGAGAAATCAAAAAACTAAGGGTTTAAAGGAGCATCAGCATTTTTGGAAGCTTGTTCAAAGGGGCATGAAGATTTTTTTCTTAAATTGGGAAATCGAGAACCAAGATTTTAAAGGAGTATTAGCCATTTTTGGAAGCTTGTTTAAAAGCGCATAAGGGGGAAATCGAATAGCCAAAAAGTTTAAAGGAGTTTGACCATTTTAGGCATCTTGCGCTAAAAATTGATTTAAAGGAGCATGAAGGTATTTGGGAGAAATATGGAGTTTCTGAAGAAATATTAAAGGCGCATTTTCGACATGATATACGAAGAATTGCCGAGACTAATCCAGTCGTCTCAACTTGAGATGGTCTCGAAATAATGGCGTCGAGGATTAGCGGCGGCGGTTGAACAAAAAAAAACGACGACGAAGGTACAAATAATAAAATGGATTTAGTAGTATTCGGTCAGTTTTTACGAGTTATTCCAATGGAAATGGAAATTTTGGGGGGGGGGGCGGAAAAATGTCAGTTTTTCGTCGGCTGTCCATCCAAAAATTTGGGTGAAGCTGAGGAAGCGCGACGACGGACGACGTGATTGAATTTTCCGTCCCCATTATTTAATAAAAACCGCCGACGACGTCTTCAGAATTGTAACCCCCCACGCTAATGAACCATTTAGTACTAGTGGAGAACTCGTCACGCAACATTTTGTAATCGGCGCCATTCAACCAGGCTTCCTATTGAATTGCTAATTTCTGACGGGTCCCCCCCCCCCAAAAAGCAAACCGCCATGGCGGTATTGTTGTCTTTTGATGGAATTTCGAAAGCGGCAAGATATTTGAGATGTTCGTCATGTTTTTTTTTCGCTTCAAGTTGAACGCGCAAAATTTCGATTGATTTTGCACATCGTTTTTGACGCAAAATTGCAACTTCTCGAAAAGTTTCGATTTTGCATTGAATTTGACGCAAAATTGCACATTTCTAATATTTCAAAGTAAAAAATGCAACAAATTTAATATTGCATTGAATTCTACGCAAAAATGCACAAAAATACATTTTTGCGCTTAATTTGACGCTAAATTGCACATTTCTGATATTTTGAAGGGAAAAATGGTGAAAATTTCAATCTTACATTGAAAACTACGTAAAAATGCACGAAATTGAATTTTTGCGCTTAATTTGACGCTAAATTGCACATTTATGATATTTTGAAGGGAAAAATGCGAAAATTTCAATCTTACATTGAATTCTACGCAAAAATGCACTGAAGAGCATTTTTGCACATTTTTTGACGCCAAATTGCACATTTATGCTAATTTGAAAATAAAAATGCAAAATTGTTGATTTTACACTATATTTTACGCAAAAATGCGCGAATTTTTTGTTGCGCTTTATTTGACGCCAAATTACACACAATTGTCAAAACCACTTACACCGCTTAATTTCACTTGAACACCACACTGGAATTGACATGAAATTGCGGACCTAATTAAGCGCACCAAATAAACACTTGAAATTCACTTTCAATTAATTAATGGCCAAAGTTTTCCAAAGAGAGGTGAAGGGACCCAAATTGGCGGACCATAAAAGGCGGTGAGCGGGAAAAAAAAAACAACAACAGGCGATGACGCAACGACGACATGACGGTTCGCGTATGCGAACAGGTGTGCCATAAAACATTTTCGATATTTCTATTGGCTGACTAGAATAGTATCGATACGGAAACGATGGTGGGGGTGTGAAAATATGGAAATGTTGTCGGCGGCGTCGTCGACGGCGAACATCAAAGCCGCCGAGTTTATTGACACAACGATCTGGTCAAGCACATTAGCACCATTGAGTGGGAAAAAAAATGGAAACATAGTGGTGAGCAAACAAATATCGGTTTTATTTGGAGGTGTTCAAATGGTATCCATTTATGGTCCCGCTGTGCGAGATCCCGGTTCGTCGAAATTTGAGGGGGGTCCCTTCTAATAGGGTACCCAGCTGCGGACCGTGTTGTGTCATCCACTTAACCAATTTGTATAATATATGCATTGTTAACAGTTATTGGAAACACGCAACACACCTTGTAAG